CAACGCTGGTTTTTTTGGGGGGAGCCCCGTCAGCTCCCCGGAGCTAACTACCCACAGAGGAAAGTAGAGGGACACATCTGGGAGACGGTCGCTGCACGCTCCGCAACTCAAAACCGAGACAACTGGCTGCAACTGCCGACCCAAGGCGACACAGGCCCGACTAGGCCCAGGAACGAGTACAAGACCACGCACAGTCAGGACCCTGTCCAACCGCCAAAAACCCCGCGCCGAACGTCAAACCAGGCCACGTTGCCAATAACAGCAGCAAGAGCCGCAAACGTACAAACGTCGTGAGCACGAGGATAGACCGCAGACTGGCTAGCCGTAAGAATCCTGTGGATGACCTGGGAAACCCACACCTGCATACAGGAAAGAAGGGAAACTGGAGCAACCCAAAACGCGTCCACGGACACAGAAGCGGAGGCACGCAAAAAACAGCGGAGAACCGCCATGGGCCACAAAACACGATACACCCCCAGCCTAATCAACCATGCATCAAAACTCCAAGGACCCCTCCGGAAAACAGCAGTCTTAACCTTTGCCAGACAAGAAGGAGATGGCTGGAGACGAACAAATCTACCGCCCCGACCAAAGGAGCAGAAAACCAGAACATGAGGGGCCACCATAAACCAAGGAGAAGAAAGAAAAGAGCATTCCGCCCAAAGACTAGGATGGCACAGGCGGCGCATGAGCAGGTCGGAGGTGAAACAACGCACGAGACAGCTTGCTGAACGGCTTAGAAGTAACATCAACACCGAAAGCAAGCGAAAGCGGCTCTGCCAGCACCGTGCGATACGAGGCAACAGTATGCGGCAAAATGATGGCCTCGAATCCCCACAAGAAAGGAACAAGACAACGCTAAAAAACACAGCCACCTAAAAAGGGACAGAAGGAAAAGGAACAACCACCAAAAAACCCACACCGCTGCCAAGAAGAAGCACGCAGGTGGGACACCAGCAACGAAGCCACCTGACCACCAACAGAAGGTGAGACTCGAGGCACAGCCGAATGAGCCGAGGAAGAGGCGGAGCCGTGGGAAGACCCCGGGTGCGATCATCGAGCAGGCAGAGCCGAAAACCTGAGCCGGCAAAGAAGGAGATGGAACGTCTGCCGTACCAAAAAATATCCCAACCCAAGTGAGCTGTCAGGAGGTTGGAGACTAAGACCCCGACAGACCCCAGAGAAGGGACACCGCGAGACTCCGAAAACGCCAACAGGCCGGGAAAGCCAGGAACCAGAATTGAAACCTAGCAATAGTGAGCCAAAAGGCACAAACAAAACATATAACGTGTAGGACAAAAGGAAGCTGAGGAACGAAGAAGGTAGGCAGCAAACGGGGAACGAAGGGACCAGACCAACACCAAAAGCCGCTGGACATGTCCCAACACGTCCTCGGAAGACAGAAGATCCAGAGGGGACAAGACCACCACAAGCAAACCCTCAGAGGAAATGACAGGGCAGAGAAATACAAGCCAAGGAACACATGGGGCACACGTAACGGGATAAACATGTTGAACTGAACGCCCAAATGAGCTGTAGAAAAGAGAAGAAGCACACCAGTGTCGGGAGGAGACAATAGGAACGCATGAGGTAGGGAAGTGGCAGAGGCCAACCCCACACCCAGTGTCAAGTGCAGAGAAGATAGCCTAGAAAGCTCAAGAACCTGCACAGAAGTCGAATGACAGGCGAGAGGCAGGACTAAGAGCCAAAGCTCTTCCCCAGCAAGCACAACTAGGTGAGGACAGAGAATCCAATGTTCATGGAAAACTGAAGCCTGGTACAGCAAGATCTGCAAGGAATGAGGGGGCCCAGAAAATCATGGGAACAAAGAACCCAAACAAGGAAGGCCCTAGGAAGAAGCACGGAAGGGCCAAAGAAAACGCCACAACCATATCCCAACACTCAACCACAGTATCAAAACCGCAGTAAAACGTCACCACACAACACCCCTGAACACAAAAACATGTGCCACGTATCAGGCACCCCCTCCTTTGTACCCTGGAACACGGTGGAGGTGGGGCCCTGAAACGCAAGCATGGGTGGACATGCATAGGAGAGGGACTGGATGGGCATAGTCAGGAGCCGCCTTGTATGGGCCAAGAGGCCTCCTGCAGTCACCTGTGTTCTGACGTTCGAATAGGGTGGTAAGGAACAAGAGCCGTCATGTATGGGCCAATAGGCCCGCTGCAGGCACCCCAGTATATATGTTCCATGTTCTCATGTACGTATGTACTCCAATTCGTACCCCCAAAACGAACCAGCGCCTGGATGAAGGAGACGTCAGACCACATAAACTCACTTGCAGAACATAGGTACGGAAGGGTCATGACAATGTTACTAGGTTGGTGCTGCCAGAGGCAGCAAGGGTATCATGCACCCTCAGCCCAGAAAAATGGGAGCACCACCTGCGGAAGCAGACCAGAGCTGCTCATGCAGAAGAGGAGGGGAGAGGTGAAGGAGGAGCCCCCCACCCAAAACGCAGGGAAAACCCAGTGTCCTCCCCATAACGACACTCCAGAACACACCCAGGAGCAACGGGGCACGGACTGGAGAACAAGAAGAGCGAGAGGCAAAGCACTCAAGAGAAAATGGACGGAGAACACCAGCACTTGTGCACACCGCCTGAACCAAAACAAACTCCCACTGCACATGCGTAGGACACTAAAGTAGCCCAAAAGTTTGTATCCAGAGTGATTCGCGTAAGAGAAGAAACAGCCCAATGCACGGGAACAGAAGCCAAAAAGGAGTAAGCAACAACACACATAGCCGGCTTAGTTAATGAAATAATGAACCTAACTGGAACCCAACCGGGCCACAAGCAGCCCAACTGGGCGACAAGTAGCCCAACCGGGCCACAAGCAGCCCAACCTGGCATCCGGGACCAGGAGTATGGAAGGAAAACAAGCAGTGCCGAGACAGCACGGAGAGAAGATACATAAACAAATGAACGAGACGGCTGAAAACCAAGAGGAAACATGGAAGAGGACCAACAAGCCCTAGAAAGGACCGGAGGGAAGCCTCACCGAAAGACGACAGACGTTCCAATAATACGGGAAGGAGCAAAAACCATCCTGAACTGTCGAGAACACAGAAACAAGTACAAATGACGAAGGCATAAAAAGGCCCAGTCGCACCCGAGACCAAAAGTCATGCAGAATCCCAAGAAGTGGGGAACATGACGGAGAAGTCCCGTCCCAAGAAAAAGGGGGGAATAACGGAGAAGAGCACCCACCGACAAGATGGAACCAATGGGCTTAAGGGACAAGGAACCGAGCCCGGGGAGGGGCCGAGGCCCAACAAGTCTTGTGAAGAGTGGGGAGGGAAAACCCACACTCCGCTCAACTGCAAGCCCCGCCCAGAGGGTAGAAAAAACCCCGGCGGGGTCCAACGGCGCCTGAGGCCCCCCAAGTCAGCTCCTCCCCAGCCCCGGGAACCCACACGGCAGGCCCTGGGGCCAAGCCGTTCCCCCAAAGCCCCAGCCTCAAGAAAAAACCGGGGCAGCCATGAAAAGCACAAAGCAAGGGAGCCCACTGGCAGACTCTTACAACACGGCTGGAGGAACAGGCTCGAATGACCCCGTTGCTACCCCGGAAGGGGAATTCCCCGAGACCAACCGAGTCTCAAAACCATGGTAACCCCGCCCCAACCTCGAAGCCACAGACGGGAAGGACCCGGATGCAGGGGGGACAGGGGACCCGACAAGACCACCAACCAAAACGGGGCAGCCTCAGGGCTTTCGGGGAGCAAACAACCTAGCGCATTGCCACCAAAACCCAAAGTACAATGCCCGTGCTGCCTGCACCCACATAGTCAGCATAAGACTGGGTAACTGAGTCACAAACAAGCAACAAAACTAGCAGGACTCAGGGCCGAAGGTGTCACCGACCCTACAGGCAGCAGACAGAGGCAAAACCGAGAGAGTCACCCTGAGAAAAGGGGACAAAGCAACCCTCAAACTCACACAAAGCGAGGGGGGCTGGAACTCCGGGGCCACATCCATCGGGCCCATGCTCCCCCTAGGGGTTTCCCAGGGTCCTGAGCGTTTACTATAAAAGGACTTGTGCTCAGGTAATCCCAGGCAGAGTACTACTAGCCGGCGGCCATGTCTACCAGACAACTTTCTAAGAACTGAACCCCCGGGACATGTACACTCATGGGGACCTAGCTGGGGGAACCCCCGTTAGAAGGAAGAGAACTCAGTACATAGAGGGGAAAGAAATAAAAGCAGACCCCCACCAGGTAGAAAAAGAAAACCCCGCAAGAGTACAGAGTACCCAGGCAGAACAGAGCCGGCCTCTATGATTTGTGAAAACAAGCTGCGCAGTATCCTGAGCCCCTACCAGTGCAAACTGCCCCTTACCCTAAGGCGAACAAGGGAGACGGAACCCCCTATCACACAAAGGGCGACCGAAAACCAAGCAGTAAACAGCCTAGCAGAAGCAGGACCCAAGGAACTTGTGGAAGGTAACCCCAAGCCCCAAGGGCAGTACTTACAGGGCACCTAAGGAAGGCAACCTTAGGTGCATGCAGCCCGAGTACTGGAGACTCACTCCCGGCTCACGCACCACCTAGAAGACAGACACCACATTCTAGGTAGAGTGCTGAAAAAACCACTGGAGCCGGAGCACACAACCGGCGCCATTAGCATCAACCGAAGAACTGGGGTGTGGATTGCCGGCATGGGGGTCTGGGGCTCCCCCTTCTCCCTCCCAGGGAGGGGGGAGCTGCACAGACAGTTGCGCGGTGACGTGTGATGTCATACTAGTTTGCTCGTATCTTTTTGGGGAGTTCTATCCACTAGTTCGGCGTTAGCTAGCAATTTTAACCAGAATAGGGGTTTGTTTTGGGACGCCCTTACCTTTCTGGGTGCATGACCCGGTCGATGGCAGACATAGAATGCTTCCAACCACACGGGGTTTCTATAGGCCATTGCTCCCCTTGCCTCTCTGAGGGGCCAGGTTCTGGCTCGTGGTTGCCGGTAGGCCCACAGAACTCCATACACATGACTGATGCCAAAGTCTGACATTTGCATAACAGCCTGTATAGCTTCGGGGAGCCGACGGGGCTCCCCCCCAGAAAATTAATCAACAAAGCTAGAAAAACTCTCCTTCGAATCTTTTGTTTAATAATTTAGTTGCACCTGAGGGTTGTATAAGTGACCTTTACTAGGACTTTTATCATTTAGTTTAACCTGAGCTTAGATAATTTAGCTTTGCCTGAGACTAAGATAATAAAGTTTCACCTGAGGTTTGGATGATTTAGCTCCTCTGCTCAACTATCAAATACAAACACTGAACTCAGATGATCACAACTACTGCAATAAGAACAATGTAATCCACCCCATTGCTACACATTTGGTGGATATGACTCAAGAAATATTGGCAGTGATAATAATTCACTCACATTAACAGAAATGCTCTTAAAAACTGATTAAGAACACATTATTAATAAATATAAAAATTAGAATCAATAAATAAAGCCTTTTCTACTATAAACTGTGCCTGGGAAAATATATGTGAAGTGGCAAGTACTGGAATTATGAAAATGTTGATACAAGGTATATATCCTCTTGGCTATGTCTAACAATTCTCTCATTAGCATCTATTGGGTGACTAATCTTGTAGTAATTACTTCATAATGTTATAATGTCAGGTCATAATGTTAAATAATATAAAATGACACAATTTACAGCATCCTATGATGTTAAGTAGTCAACTCTTAATAAACTGTTAAACCAAATAATCAAATTTTACACTGAGAAGTCAGTCTGGAGAGACAAAATGTAACACATACTGGTTGACTATAAACAAAAGCATGAATCAAAGACATATAATTCAGCACAAGATGACTCTTCAGCAGTTGTTAGGGACTTCCAGGTAAATAATTGGATCATTAAATGTTTCTGTGGTATTGATGCCATTGTTCAACACCTTAGTAAAATTCAATACAGGGTTATCCTACTATTCTTTTCTACATATCAAGAACCAGCATTAACTTTTCTACATTAACAAAGGCTCCTAAGCCATTTATCTGGCACAGGTGGCACGACACCGGAAGTTTAGCAGCGAGCTTTGAGCGATCTTTGCCATCCTTTACGAGAGCAGATCAACATAACGCTGCTTCAGTGCGGCCCAAGAGAATGTATTGAGGTCCAGATTGACCTTTTTGGAGCGCACCAACTGAGGACGGGAACACCACTGGGCCAGGCTCTTCTGCAGTTGCTGCGTTGTGTTGTACAGACATTCCTGGAAAAAGGCAAGGAAGGCACGGGTGAATATGCATTGTCTAATACACTCGAGCTGTGAGAAATGCTTTAGTAATTGTGTTCTGAGACACCACATGTAGACACATACTTCAACCCTCACTTGCAAGATGAAATCCTCCATGAAATGGACAGAGAGAGAAAGAGAAGGCTCTTGGAAATTTCACCGAACATGCCTCCTGAAGCCCACATCAAAAGGATAGTCTTGCAAATACTACATCAATGGCATATGCAAAACTAGCTAATATCAGATCTGCCTTTAGAAATTTGTGTAAGGAATCATTTAGAACCTGTATATCACGTATGTCGGCCCAATTCTGGAATATGCGTCTCCAGTGTGAAGTCCATACCTAGTCAAGCACAAGATAAAGTTGTAGAATGCTCAAAGGTATACCAGGAGACTAGTTCCAGAACTACAAGGTATAAGTACAAGGAAAGACTACATGAACTGAACCTCATGTCGCTGGAATACTGAAGGGTTAAGCGGAGACATAATTACCACACGTATAATTCTTAGGAGGATTGATAGGTTAGATAAAGACAGACTATTTAAAATGGATGGTACTTGCACATGGAGACAGGTGGAAACTGAGTACTCAAATGAGCCACAGAATCATTAGAAAGAATTTTTTCAGTGTCAAGAGTAGCTAATGGAATGCACTATGAAGTGTTGTGGTGGAGTAAGACTCCATGCACAGTTTCAAATGCAGATATGATAAGAGCCCACTAGGCTCAGGAACCTGTATACCAGTTGAGTGACAATTGAGGTGGGACCAAAGAGCCAAAGCTCAACCCCCCACAAGCACAATTAGGCAAGTATAATTACTGATAGATCTGTACTTGAACCATCATACTTGGAAACACTATTCCTCAATGTCCACTTATTCCACTCAATGTTTGCTGATGATGCAAAAATTACGAGGAGGAATAAGACTGAAGAATAAGACCAAGAAATAAATAGAAAGAGGCTACAAGATGACCTAGACATATTGAAGGTCATTCCATTATAATTGTAGGAATGGTCCAACAAATGGTTATTAACTTTAACCAAAGTAAATTTAAGATAATGAAACTAAGTGGAGAGAATAGGAGGCCAGACACATGGTACCGAATGGGAGATGAAGTCCTCCATGAAACGGACAGAAAGATCTAGGAGTTGATATCACACCGAACCCATCTCTTGACGTCAAAATCAAAAGAACATCAGCAGCGTATGCGAGACTGGCTAACATCGGAAATGCCTTTAGAAACTTGTATAAGATATCATTTAGAACCTTGTATACCACATATGTAAGACCAATCCTGGAGTATGCGACTCCAGCATGGAGTCCATATCTTGTCAAGCATAAGACGAAGTTGGAGAAGGTTCAAAGGTATGCCACTAGACTAGTCCCAGGCCTAAGAGGTATGAGTTACGAGGAAAGGCTGTGTGAACTGCACCTCACATCGCTGGCAGACAGAATAGTTCAGGTAGACAAGATCACCAAATACAATTCTCATGGGAATTGATAGGTGTTGTGAACCCCATATAGCCTCATGATTTAGGCCCTGCCCCAAAGTGATAGTTATTCCTCACTTGGTCCTACGGAGGACCCAGATGAATGTTTTAGTATACGTTGGCAGAATAAGAACCACTGTTGGATATTACAAAAGAGGCATTAAGACAATATGAGCAACTTTATGGAAGCAGGATGAGAAGTCAACAGTATGTGGAGTTCCCCAAGGAAGGGGATGATGTCATAGCTAGTGGAGTGTCGTATGCAAAGATGACGTCGTCATTAGTGACGTGCTGTGTGCAGAAGATTTGCGACATCACTTGCCAGTGTGAGGTCAAGGAGAGAGAACGCACTTCATAGCTTCTGAGGAAAGAAGATATTTTGGTGTTTTGGCGAGAAATCTGAAGGGATCTTCGAAGGAAGGAAGTGCTGTGAGCTGTAGGATGATTTGTGGGGTGCATCTCATTTAGTGGTTACAAGAAAGGCGATCTGACACCCTGGTAGTCCACATTAGTAGACCCAAAGAAGAGGTCTGTTTATCTTTTGAAGAGGATCTGTTGACAGGTAAACAGACCTGGTACCTGTGTATTGACCCTACACTCAAGTCAGGACATAGAGAAGTCGACAGTGACAGTCGAATGAAGAATTTATGGGTGACCTGCAAAAGGTAAACTCCAGGCGCCATCTTGACATTGGGAAGCAAGCATCGTCACTCCTGCAATTTTGCAGTAAGAGCTCTTTGGTTACCATAGTTTACCTAGTGCAGAGAGGATTAGTGCCCAGTGATCTTACAATGGTGTTTACACACAAATTAGTCATGCATGTAGCGATGAGATGATATATGTTAAAATGAAATAGCATGATGGAGGCAAGAGCAATACATGCTCACGCAATGATGGTTGGTGATCGAGAGATAGAGTTCGCCGACTGGTGAAGATTTTTTGAGAGGACTTGCCCGGAGAGGAAAGGGGAAATACCATTCACAATGCGGGCTAACTGATGATTTTGGGGTGTTGGAGAAATTTTATTTTTATCACTTTATAGTTGTTTATGGAAAAAGATTATTTAGTTATGATAAACTTGCAGGTTAATGCATGATAGATGTAGTTTCGTGTATGGAGCTGTAAGAAGTTTACAACTACTGTACAGGCATACCTCAGAATAAGAGTTTAATCCGTTCCTGGAGACGCCTCGCCTTCCGAAAACTCGCATTCCGAAGTTAATTTCCCCATAAGAAATAAAGGGAAATGAATTAATCCGTTCCTGACTACCCCAAAAACCCCACATCAAACTAAATTTTTATACCTAATTCATCTAAATAAACCTACAAAACTGTGTTCCAGTTATTACTTACCTTGCTGTCGAGTGCTGTAGGCGTATGGAAGATGGTGAGGAGGGGGGAGGAGGAGAGGAGTTACTGTTTGGAAGGGGAGTCCCCTTCCATAATCACATCACATAACCCCATGCCTTGTAACACTATGGATACCACTTCTCTTTCTAAATTTTTAAAACCAGCCCTGCTTGCCTTAAACTCTTTCTTATCTGCATCACTCGTTGCAGGGGTATTCTTTAGAAGGTCTTCGTGCAACACCCTGGCTTTCTCACAAATAATGGCCTCCGAAACACTATCACCCCTCAACTCCTTGTCGTGTATCCAAATTAATAACAACTTTTCCACTTCTTCAAGTATTTGTGGTCTTTGTGCCGTTAATGTTCTTACTCCTTTTGCCACTTTAGCACCCATAATCTTATTTTTCTTCTTAAGTATAGTGCATATTGTTGATGTGGCTTTGTTGTACTGCCTACAAAGTTCAACAACACGTGTACCGTTCTCATGCTTCCGAATGATCTCTTGTTTCTCCTCTATTGTCATCCTCACATGAGCTTTCTGGCCTTTATCCTTACCACTGGCTTTCTTGGGACCCATGGTGAGATATATAATAACAAATTGTATAGACAAATCACCAAAAATCCAACAAAACACTGAAAATCCGCGAGAAGAATTGATGTGGGGGTAGTCACTGAGCGCGAGACAATAATAAACTGAGGGGCGGCGGGGCGGAGGGGTGACGAACGCGCTAGGTCGGCTGTACGCGTATCAACAAACTCGCGTCCAAACTCGCCTCCCGAAGTAACCATCGCCTTCCGAGACAAATTTTTGGAGTAAATACACCTCGCCTTCCGAAAACCTCGCATACAGGGACAATCGCATTCCGAGGTACCACTGTACTTGAGGACCAATCGATGGATGATTCTACTGTTTGTTTACTAGAAGATTAATTGGCAAGGAAGAAGCCTGCCTGATTACAAGGGAGATCAATCTGCAAAGCAATATATGGACGATCTTTTGTCAAATGTGTTTGTTTGCGAAAAGAATGTATATGTTGGTGTACTTGACGCAGTGAAAGGAAGCAAGAGAATTTATTCATTATTACTGATTTATATGTTGAAGCCTAGCTCTGATGATAATGTGTTTTCTGCCCAGCAAATTGATAAAGAAGAGAGAGCAGTAGCCTAGTGATGAACAATTTTTGTAGAGACTATATGGAAGAATAATGACATTTATTGAGGCAACGATTTCTGGTGGTGACAATGTTATATTCCCAGGTTTTTGTTGGTGTATGGCATTTGATGACTACTTTTGTATTTGTTTGATATTTATATATTTATGTATGCCATAATTTCTTGAGCTGATGCTTTACTAAATTCTGGAGGTGATTGTGGCTAAGACAAAAGCTGTAAGTTGGGAACCCCGACCAAAGCACCATCTAATCATTATACTATTTTTATTTTCTTGTGTGTGTAATAAATGTTTGTCTATTAGATAACTTTGTTTGCTCTTGTTCCTGTGAGAGCTTTAATAGAAAGAAAAAGACATAAATACTCTGACCTGCAGACCAGATAACAATGATGTGAAACTAAGGAAACTTTGAAGGAGGATACCCGAGTTGAGGAGAGAAGGGCGAGTCATCGTTTGCCCATTTCTTGGGTGTGAACACGTGACAGCAGGTGGTTTCTAAGCCCGAGTTCCCATCTTAGTAATGTTAAGATCTTTCTCAGCAATTTGGTATGATTCTGGCAGATTCTTAAGTGAGTGGCCAGACATAGTGCAGTGTAAGAAGTGGCAGCATCAGAGGGTGTCTGCTTTCCTGATTGTTTTTCATGGTCACACTTATTAATTTGAGGGCCCCTGCCAGGATGTTCCTCACCCATTTGTAGTTGTGATAAGTTGGGGCGGTTCTGTCTGGGAGGACCTCCCCCCATTTTAGTAGTTACAGGTGTGATACAGGGTAGAAAAGGACAAATTATTTAACATGGGTTGTACTCACAACAGGAGACACAGGTGGAAACAGAGTACCCAAATGAGCCACAAAGACATTAGGAAGAACTTTCTCAGTATCAGAGCAGTTAATAAATGGAATGCATTAAGTAATGATGTGGTGGAGGTTGACTTCATACATATTTTCATATGTAGGTATGAAAGAGCTCAATAAGCTCAGGAACCTGGATCAGTAGATCAATAGTTGAGAGGCTGGACCAAAGAGTTGAAGCCAACCCCTGCAAGCACAACTAGGTGAGTACTTGAATCATCATGATCTGAGATACACTTGAACCATCATCATAATATGCCCAATGGTAGGGGTGCAGCACTATCCGCATGCTATAGTATGCTCTTCAGTTAATACTCCCTTTATTCATTTCTCTCTCTGTTTGCTTGCTCCAAAGCTCATCAGTCTCAATCTGCTGAGCATATCAAGATCGGCCGGCCTATTCCCTATTGAAGAGCTCATAATATCCATAATATCCATATACTGCACTGACAGAGTTCTTCTCCAATATGCCTTCTGCCAATATCAGGACATAACACATTGGCATTCAACATTCAAATTGGGTGCTGGCAGTCTATTTTCTCCCACCTCTGCCTCATTCCCATAGGTGGTATGTAACACCTGGCTGAGTGAAATGCATCTGAGGCAGTGCTTCTTCACCAGACTCCCCCTTCATCATTGATAATCTTGCCGCCTTTAAGTCCTCCTTTTAATTTCTTTTATATTATTATTTCTTTGTGTGTAGGGCTATAAAATAAGGTTTCTCTTGTGGGGCCTCATTTCTGGGTTCACCCTCAGTAGCTACATGTTCTAGCCCTATTTCTACCTACTTCCCAGTGGCTTTAGGTTGGACCTGGACTAGAGTAGGATGGGCTCCTAACTCAGACTAGTGATGGATTGGGCTGCCAACTAGTGAAAAAGGTGAAAAGTCATTTGATATGCTAGTTAGTTTGTCAAGAGTTTTGTCTAGTAATTCAGAACTCTCAAAAACTGGTTCAGGGTTTAGCTTTCTGCCCACAGATGCTCTTCACCATAGGTGGGGTCTTGTCCCTGGTTTGTAGTCTCATGGGTGCCTGGTAAATCTAGTGGCCTGTGACAGTCAATGTGTAAGCTGATGGTGGATGCCCAGAAAGTATTACAGCGCAAGACAAAATAGTAAAAGTTATAAAGTAACATTCAGCTATTCATACTATCTTCTGCACTCGGTATCACCACAAAAAACATGCACTGCTAAACTTCAACAAGAATTCCATGATAGGATTTAAATTATTTTACATATGAGATGTAATAAATATAAACTGCCAGAAACACATCATTCAGTCATTCCTCTTGACAATCAAGTTCTAGTCAGTTCAATCTGCTTCCACTTTTCATGTGTTGTTCACATAAATATCACGTTCATTCTAGTAGTCAAGTTCTTTATGTGAAATGTCTGCTTAATACCTGTGGGAATATTTCCGGGTAAACCAGTCTGTTAGGACATATTGGAAAGCAGCCTGCTCCAACAGCTTCTAGCATAGCCACACCAAAAAACTCGTGGTGAGCTGTTGACACCACAACGTCTCCAGAGTGTAACACTTCCCAGTATCTGAAAAGGAGTACATGGTAAGACAAAAATTCATCTGAGTATATAATTTATTCATTTATATAAGCTGTTACTGTAATGATGTTATTGGCATCATATAAACAAAATTCATCTAGCCTTTGGGTTAGGCTGACAATTTGAGCTGAACTTCAGGAGGTAGAATCAAACAAAAAGAAATAGGATTCTGTGGAAGACTTAGTCTGCCTCTTATTCTTTCCCTGGGAGTGATTTCACAAGACATTTAACTGCCCTTTCAATCATCCACATATGCAATCTCCCCATCAAATTAACGAAGAAAGAGGATACATTAGGGGCCCAACAGCTGAGTGTATTCGTAGTCCTGAGGTTCCGGGTTCAACCCCCAGTGGAGGCGAAAACAAATGGGCAGAGTTTCTTTCACCCTGATGCCCCTGTTCGCCTAGCAGTAAATAGGAACCTGAAAGTTAAGACAGCTGCTACGGGCAGCTTCCTGTGGGTGTGTAACAAAAACGAGGCCTGGTCGAGGACTGGGCCGCAGGGACGCTAAGCCCCGAAATCATCTCAAGATAACAAATACTGAACAAGGTAACTGGCTAAGCCCACATTTAGTACACCATGAGTATATAAAAAGGGCTTTGAGTGAAATTAAAAGCTCCTTTTTGAGTTGGCTCATCAGTTGTGTCCTGACCCACCCCAGGACAATGTCAGATACACCAGAGCTCCAGTGATTTTTACATGCACTTAATATTCGTATGACCCAAGTGTGTTTGAGTGATTTGATAAAATAACTGTGCCCAAAAATACACCAGGAGTGTTGTCAGGTGTTGGGTGCATGCAGGTATCAGGACTTCTCAACACTTTTAGACAATCACTGGCTGAGTGGTTATAGTACAGAACTGCCAGGGAGAGACAACCTGGTAGGTACAACCTGGTACTTTGGCAGACCAGGTTCAAATATGTGAGATCATAGACTTTACAGTTATACATTGGCTTGGAGACCATTCAAGATTTATGCACACAGATGTATAGTATATAATAAATATATATATTGTAATATATTTTTTGTTAAAATAAAATATATATAGGGGGTACCACCTCTGGTTGTTTGTAGGGACCCTCAAGCCTCAAAGAAGAGGATATGCAGCACCTGGGGGAGCCTCGTCAGGCTCCCATGTGCGCTGGCACATATTGTCTTCTCCTACCAAATACATGGATGGCGATATACTAAAGAAATTGTTCACAACTTTTGTTAGGCCAAAGCTAGAATATGCAGCAGTTGTGTGGTGCCCATATCTTAAGAAGCACATCAACAAACTGGAAAAGGTGCAAAGACATGCTACTAAGTGGCTCCCAGAACTGAAGGGCAAGAGCTACGAGGAGAGGTTAGAGGCATTAAATATGCCAAAACTAGAAGACAGAAGAAAAGGAGGTGATATGATCACTACATACAAAATAGTAACAGGAATTGATAAAATCGATAGGGAAGATTTCCTGAGACCTGGAACTTTAAGAACAAGAGGTCATAGATATAAACTAGCTAAACACAGATGCCGAAGAAATATAAGAAAATTCACTTTCGCAAACAGAGTGGTAGACGGTTGGAAGAAGTTAGGGGAGAAGGTGGTGGAGGCCAAGACCGTCAGTAGTTTCAAAGCGTTATATGACAAAGAGTGCTGGGAAGACGGGACACCACGAGTGTAGCTCTCATCCTGTAACTACACTTAGGTAATTACACTTAGGTAATTACCATCCCCTTATTTATTTATATATATAATGAACTTTATTGTACACAAATACATGATTACAAAATGTGGCATTAACACATACACAACACGACCATTACAAGTAAAATGAAAAACACACCACCGGGATACATTAATAAATGTCACAGACATATTCGATCATTGTTGCAAGTCAAACACCTCTTTAAACTCCTCCGAGGTTGGACTCTTGCCCAAGATGCAACAGGCATTTCCCCCCTCTGAATTGCAACACTGAGGAGCTGGAACAAGAAGCTTTTTGCTCTGTTTTTTTGTAACACTGATCAATTTGTTCCCCAGTTCCTTCAAGAACTTCAATGCACATTTTTCCCATGAACTGAGGATCTCCAAACCGATCGGAACAAAGCTGTAACAGTGTGCTAGACCTCTGTATTTGAGTGCTTTTTTGCATTTCCCTGAAAGAAGCAGCATTACCTCCTTCAATTGTGCTGTGTTGGAAATAGGTACTGGCCAGTGTGGAAGTGCATTTGTAGTCCCACATCACTTGTTTGCCATCCTTCCAAGGATGCATGGTAATTACCTAAGTGCAATTACCTAAGTGTAGTTATAGGATGAGAGCTATGTTCGTTGTGTCCCACCTTCCCAGTACTCTTTATCGTTTAATGTTATGAAACTACCGACAGTATTGGCCTCCACCACCTTTTCACTTAGTTGTTCCAACCGTCTACCACATCTGGATGCTTCTGAGGTTTGTCGAGTCTGAATAAGTGTGGTTCTCTTTGTGCTGGGCAGCGGACTGTGGTGAGGCTCCTCTTGTTGATGTCTTTGACTTCTTCGTGTCTTGCAATCTTACCCTGTGATTTACGACACACCAGACCATGATGACCGTATTGGTCTGCCATCATGCTTCCACAGATGCACCTATGTTCGGTGTGGATGGGGACGGCAAGGTGACGGGCAATTTCAATGCGGAGGACGTCATGATTGAGACGAGTTCCTAGGGCTGTATCAGGCACAGCAAATAACAAATTCCCGTCATGGGGGGTGCTGTTACCTTTAGGAGGTGAGCTTTGTTCTCAGCAGATGCCTTTTCAAGCATTGCTGAGGCAGTCTTTTCAATTATGGGGCTATGCCAGTGGGCCTGTTTGTGGTCTTTTGGGGCTTTGGTTTTTGGGGCAGCAAGTCAACGGTTTTTCATTGACTAGCTGCTTCGATGAACTTTGGATCATGAGTTCCCACCGAGTCTCTCATGAGTCTGGTAGGATCTTCCCTACTAATTCATTGGCTGCTGTCCATGAGGATAAGAATGCTTTAAGTGCTACATCAGTTGCCTTTCGTAGGCCTATTCCCCCAAATCTCACTAATAGTGTTGCTTGGTCTCACTGACTCATCTAAATCTAGAGTGAGTGACTTCCTGAATTTTGACTTAAAGGAGCTCATCATATTGACTTAGCAGTGGGTTGCCAAAAGTGGGCGCACACCTTAAAAAGCACGTTAGCCTTCGTAAGGTAAGGCACTTTGTGAGAAGGTAGAGGGTATCATGGAAGTCCAAGTCCCCTATTCTCTCTTCCATCCTCTTTAGATCATTAAACTTTTCTTCAAGTACTGCAGCAGTGGCATTGTGACCCAGAGGTGCTCTAAGTAGTGTGCTGTCCTTGGGTTCAATGACCGAGACTTCCGGTAAAACTGATTTCCCTGCATTAATGACTACCTCGCTGGATGAAATAATTTTGCACTTTGAGGGGTTAAGGACAAGATTTTTTCCCTGTGACTTCACCAGCTGCAGGTCTTCCAGCAGGGAGTGTTGTGTGCCTGCCAGAGTGCCATCATCCAGGAACCAGATATTGAGCTCACTGGACAGTTTGCTTGTGATTTCTCAAACTGCTATGCAAAAGAGGAAGGGTGCAAGGAGGGGTCTCTATTTAATTTCCTCTGCTGAGGTGACTTTGTGTTCGCCAAACAGGAGCATTGAGTCTTTGCTGTAACCTGCTGACACAAAGGGAAGAACGCTTGGGCAATGTTCCTGGAGTGCTGTGAGGACTACTTCCCTTTTTACAGAGTTGAAAGCATTTGTTAAATAAATTCTGTAACATATTATTTATAAATAATAGATTCACACATTTATTTTATATATATATATATATATATATATATATATATATATATATATATATATATATATATATATATATATATATATATATATATATATATATATATATATATATATATATATATATATATATATATATATATATATATATATATATATATATATATATATATATATATATATATATATATATATATATATATATATATATATATATATATATATATATATATATATATATATATATATATATATATATATATATATATACACACACACACATACATGTACTGTATAAATAATAGACAGTATTTAAATATATTTATTCATATATTAATTCCTTACTTTTCCTTATTTTCTGCATAACCCCAATGCGTGATGAAATTTGAGAGCCGCTGACGTGCTTCAGCAAACACTGGCGGGTTCTCTGTATAGGACTGACCCAAGATGCTGATGCGAAAATTCAGTCCTGCCTCAGCTAGCTGGAAGAGAACTTGGAACAGGGTTGCTGGATCCTTGTCATGTTCCCTGAGAAAGGAGAAGAACAGTGGCATAAAATGAGGCGTTAGTGGTGGAAAAACGTATCACTGTCATCATCATTATCACCACCACAATCATTAATCATCTTCACCCCATTTTTACCATTATAGGATGAGGAAAATATTAATTTCTTCAAAACTGTAACATTGAAGTTATTGGCATTGTATTATACAATATCCAGTTACTCTTTGGGCATGGTATATGATCTCAATTTGACTCCCCAACAGGAAGAGTCGAACTAGAGGGGACAGGCTGTGTGGCCCATCAGGTAAGAACACAGTTAGCCTGTCTGCTATTCTTTGAACAGAAAAACAAGTTAGCATGAGACTCTTAACACTCTCGCGCCTAGGGCGTGCGCTTCGTTTGTATGCACGAACTACTCCTGGCGGTGCGGGCGACTATGCGGCGACACCGAAATGTGTTTACTCGTTTCAGTTTTTTCACCTTAATTCTTGTGCTACATCATTCGTTTTGGTATCATTGTGTTCGCAATTAAAATCCCTGCAGGTGTATATGCATATAAAGTCCAAAAGCCTGGCGTGACTCCCCTTAGCAAGGCCTAAAGTTACTCGTGAACGAGCACCAATTGGAACACCCGCAACCTAATGTGTATACTTGTTCAGTTTGATAACATCAATTATCGTGTTACGTCGCTCGTTTTGGTATCAAACTGTTCGCAATATAAAGGCGCGTATTGTAAAACTAGTCCCATAATAATAGAGCAATAAATTTAATTTTAACAAATATTTTACATTTTGGACGCATATCATCACAAAATTATTTATATCTTTCCAGTGTTCTGACATCAATTTTCGTATTACATCTTTCATTTGGGTATCAAATTGTGCACACTCTAAAGGCGTTCATTTTAAAACTACTCCCAGATTGATTGGATAAAATTACAATTTTTAACAAACATTTTAAAATGTGGATGTTGCTCGCATCACCGACTCGGACACAAGAGAAAAACGGTTGACACCAGGGGAGTTAGAAGAGTGCAAAAGTGTTAACTGATCTCTGGATCACCAGAGCAGGCAATCCTCCAATCATTGCATAGTGGTGCTCCATGAGAGGAAAGGGTGAGCATGGAGAGGAAAAAGGGAGATGAATGAGGAAATGAAAGACACAAAAGGCTGGTGAATAAAGTAAATTATACAGTCAAGTGACCCAGGGCGCATAGTTTGGTGACCCGGGCCAGAAAGGGAGGCTTGGGAGACATACCTGTATCTCATGTGGACACCAGCAGAGAATGACACAAATGCTTGACATAGGTAGCGTAGAGGTGGCAGAACTACAACCTCACTAGACATCAGGAGAAAGAAAAATGGAGAAGACACTCAAACAAATCTAGAGAAATCTGACAAGAGTCCTATTGTCAGAACAGAAGTCCGACAGAGATGACAGCCAAAACAACCATGGTGAAATATCTCACAACCTAAAATGAAAGGAGATAGAACTTGGAACCCAACATATGTGATCCAGCCACCAGAAAAAATGCCACCAGAACCATTTGAGGAGAGAAGATAAAGAGAAGATAAATCCATCAGACACACACAGCCCAGAAACAGGGAATGCATACCTCAATCAGAATGCAGGAGAGAACTCAACAAGAACAATATCACATGAGGAAAGTGGAATTAGCAAACAACAGCCACTAATGATAAAAAACCAGTGTTGAACGTAATGAGACGCCATTTTCTGGGTGAGCCCTGGAGGCTTTCTGGAGCTATCGGGCTAATATGTGATACATTAGCCAAGGGCATTAGTCAGTGGTGTTCAAGATACTGGGGACCATGAGCCAGAAACTGGCCCCCTTCAGAGAGGCACGGGTGGCAATGGCCCCTGGAATAAAAAACTGTGGCTCTGGGTTTTCCTTATCTGCCATTGACAGGGGTTAGGCACCCAGAAAGGTAGGCATAACAAAACAAACCCACATGGTAAGAAAATTGCAACCGAAAACCAGAGAGGCAGAACTCCATCAATTCCCAAGGAAACAAGCAAACGTCACCCCCCCCCCCCCAGCCATTCGTCCGCTCAGCCTTCCCTCCCGGGGGCCCAGACACCCCGCGCCGGCCACCCAGCAACTGCAGTTCAGAGGCTAAGCATCAAAACAATGCAAAAATCATCAAGTGGGAGGAGAGAGGGTGCCAGGGAGCCTCTGGGGCTCACCCAGAAAATGGCCTTTATTTACATTCAACACTGGTTTTTGTGGGGAGCCCCTTCGGCTCCATGGAGCTACATAACCAAAGATAAGGAATAGAGGGACTTACTCGGGAGGCGGCTCCCACACACTCCTTAACTCGAAGGCGAAACAACTGGCTGCAACCTGTGACCCAAAGCCACACACAAACACCCAGGACCAGGAATATTGACCAAATAACAGGTGGCCAGGACCCTGTTCAACCTCCAAAATCCCTGTGCGAGAATATCAGCCCAAGACATGTTGCTGAAGACGGAAGCCAAAGCAGCAAACTTCCGAACGTCATGGGTACGAGGATAGACTGCAGGCTGGCTAGACCGAATAGCCCTGTGGATGACCTGGGAGACCTGAAGACACTGGGAGACACAAACCACACTAGAGTCCAGGGGTGCCAGATTTGAGTTGCCGAAAGTCGCGAGCTGAAGAACTAAATGTCACAAACTTTACAATAAAAGTAACCAAATATTTTTTTTCTGATTGATTTGCTTTTCAGAATAAATAGCCCAGCTTATTTTAACTGTCGCCGAGAAAGTAGTATGTAGCGACATACATAGCTGGCTTTTTAATTAAATACAATTATCCTAATTGGTAACACAATTGGGCTACAAGTAGCCCAATCTGGCATCCCTGCACTAGACCAGAGTGTCAAGACCACTCTGGCTAGCCAGTTATAAGTTTTGGACCCACTCAGGACAATTCCTTGCAATTCTACCTACTCTCTCTCCATTCCATGATTTTAGTAGAAATTTTTAATACTGTATGTTCAAATGGTAATCATGGATCAAACCAAGTATCCTACAGTTATAGGCAATCATTATTTATGTATAAGGTAAATAATAAGAAAATCATTTAATAAATTAAGCACATCAAATTATCTTGGATAAGTACCCAGTAAGTCTCTGATATCACATCCAAGCTAAAGATAAAAGACAGTGCAAGAGTTCTCTTACCAGCGGTGTGGCCAGATAATGTGGAGAGGTTCCAGGGCATCTTTTGGACATCGGGTTTTGTGGGAGATAGTCACGGGGAAGTATATCACCTGTGGGTTGCATTCAGTGTTCAAACTTACAAATCATTTGGAGACCTCTGTTTAATCTACTAAATGGCTGAAATAGCAATGCAGTTGACAGATCCCAAATAAAGAAATCTGGAAAAAAATAATAAGACAAATTAAGGCCATTATGCTAAAAAGTATGTGTGAGGATGTAATATCTGGGAAGATGTAATATCTGGAAGAATGAAAGACAAACACTGATGGATGGAAAACCAGAGAGCAATACAGTGTGCTCCCAGTACACAGGAAATAACAGTGCACCATACTGCCATTCTAAGAGAAGAGGTACCAGACCTTAAACTTCAGACAGGGTTGTACAGAGAAGATGGGATAAATATAAACAGAAATTGAATTTTATTAAACACTAATGTAATCCATCAATTCATATACCACCCCTAACACCATCATTTTATCAGCAACCTAATGTATTCCATTCATTTATAAACACCAGTACATATAATGTATGTAAGAATGTTGAGTATGCAGCACAAGCATGGAATCCCCACCTGAAGAAGCACAATAATCTGCATATGCAGAAAATTTATAATAAAGAACCTAAGTGATAAATAAATCCTGGAAATGTATATTTTTTTACACCATACATTTAGCTCTCCTAGTGCACTTCTACCAACAAAGCCCACAGCTTACCTGACTCTTCTCCCTGATGCTCTGGGCGATGACTTGGGCATCAGCCCTGTGGTCAGGCTGCAGCTTGAGATGGCGTGGAAGCTCACGCAGGAAAGATTCGAAGTTGTACTGAGAGTTGAACACTATAACATCTGCCACCAAGCTGTCAAAGTTACAAATGAATGTTGAATGGACAATACATGTTTTTCATCTTAGTAATACACCATGCAAGCTGTTATTTAGGATATTCTGTGATCAGATAACATGCATTATTCCTTTCAATAAGTAGTTATTAAGTAGTCATGGGACAGCTAACAGCCTTAACCCATTGTTGCATCACTCACCAGGATAATATTTGGTTGTAGCCGTATTGAAAGTCCCGGTCTTTCTGCTTGCGGACAGGATAAACGAGTTGATTTTCGTGAAAGTATAGAATCTTCCGCAATTTTCCCAAGTCAGGACGAAGGCCAATCAGCTCGCAAAGGTTAAGAGTTGACGAAGCAAACAGAGTCTAGAATATAGAAGAATATGGTATAATGATTAATGTGTCTAACAAATTCCATTTATGAGGATAATCAGCATCCAGATTGATACACAGACTGATAATTTATTTGGTATTAAAAGAAAGGCTGGGTCTCTTAGGACTGGTGCACCTCCTTAATTAGGGCTTGGCTGAACCAGCACATAGCTTGGGGAGACACTGAAGGGAACTTCCCAGATAAAGAGAATAGTATGGAATGAAATGGTCATTTGTAAGCAGCATCTCAGTTGCTTTCCTAGCCTAGGCCATGGATTCACCCAGGTCACTGTCTAGCACCAGACTCTGGTTGCCTGTGAGCACCACCAAAGCATGTACGTTTTCAAATGATCTTGTGTAGTCCAGGGGCAGACAAACAGTGAAGAATGTACCTCAATATACTTACAGAGAGAAACAATCAGAACTGCAAATATAGCCAATCATCATTGAAAATACATAACTATAAACAACACTAGATACACCAACCACTACTAAGTACTGGAGGTGGGAATCCCCACTTAAGGCCCAGTTCAGTCAAGCATGATGGGAAAGACTGGATCAGAAGCACAGAAGTAGGAAGCAAATAAGGTGAGGCTCAGAAAGAATTTCACACCACTTTATACCCTATTTCTGAGCGTGGTTGCTGAGCGTGGTTGCTCTGGTTGCTTTCCTGGCCAATTCCACACTGCAAGAATAATTTACCTTTGGTGGTCATTCCAAGCCAGACGTAGTGATTTTCAATGACTCCCTAGCACATAATATGACCATACGCAGATGACTAAAAATTCTGTGGGACCGGTGCCAGAATGTCATCTTGCCTGGCTGCTTGTGATCATGGTCATATGACACTAGATTTAATCTTGGGAGGCAACCCAATGTGACAGCTCAGTAAGGAAATATGCACACACACACACACTCAGTTGGTTTACCCAAATCCCATGATAATAATCAAGGGAATGCATTTATAGGATTTATATGAATGAAGCTTACAAGACACTAGGCCAATTAGTTGCTCACAAAATTATAATATAAAACAATCCCATAGGAATCATTTTATAATATTCAAGAGGTGGAATTTTGTATCTTCAAGTTATAAACTAAATTTTGTCTGAAGAAATTATATATTATAATAATCTTAGAGAAACCACATATAAAATTCCAGAGGTGGTACTTTTGTACAGGTACTTCGTACTGTAACATGAAGCATGCAGTATGGACAACGATGATGTGTTAAAGACACCGTATTTTATGGAGATTATATTTACAGACATCATCTTGCTACAAGATGCATTTAACAAGACTACTGTGGCAATATATTGTTTATAAATACAGTACAAATCATTATCTAATATGTTGTCCTTAACTTAGCATTCTGTACCTTGAATTCATGAGTTTGAGGAATCTTTTGGTGGAAGTAGAGTGCAGCAGTGCGAGCCCTCCAGTGCCACTTTTTGCTGGGGAGGGTAAATAGAGCCGCATCCTCACTCCCAATTACCGAGTCATCTGAGGAAGGCGTATTCTCCATCTTAAATTAACCTACCCCATATATTCTATCTTAAATTAACTTTACAAATATATTTTTCCTTCACAGGTTAATCTAGCCCAACACAACAGTTATTGTGACTCTCTTATGCAATTAATACACTGTACTGTACTTTTTATGTACACTTAGCCAGTTACAGATGTACAGTACCTGTACTATATTTATAAATAAAGTCTTTGAATGATTGATTGTATTAGATAAAATACATTTCATTTACAAATCTGAGCCAGCTGAAATACTGTACAATGAAAAAAAAAAAAGAGAGACTTGGACACTAGAACATGCTCAACATCTATGCATTACAAGATACGCTTTACATAATAATTGGTATAACACTAACCATTTCTAAGACAAGTAATAAGCTGCTTGTGAGAGCCCCCGTAGAAAGGCTCAATAATAAGAAGTTGAGCATTAGGAGGACAAGCATCTTCGACCCCTGCGCCCCCCCATGCTTCACTCCCATCTTCCGTGTCCATCACCTGGTCCTCCGCCGTACCATCCGAATCCCCATCACTCTCTGCCCCAGGAATTAATCCAGATCCCGCAGCAGTTGCTGGGGCTGTTGCAGCAAGTACAGGTGCTCCGGAGGGCCTAGAACTTACTGCTCCTGAAACAAATGGTTTGCAGATTATTCAAAATGTTATCATTATTATTACTCTGTTCTCACTTTTATGGGCTGAGGAGGGAAGCATTTGCCCAAAGAGGATATGAACAATAGAGGAAAAGAAGGCTAAAGATGTTTAAACACACATTGCCATTGCTTGTCTATATACTGTACTCAATACAGCTACCAGAAATACTGTCATTTATCTTGTACAATTAAATATTTAGTCATTCCAGACAAAGTGCCCCAGAGTGCAAAATTCTCAACACCTACTAGTTGGAATTTAAGAATTTTTAATGTACAAGAATGGTGCTGTATTATAACACAAGAGAACAGTACTACCTAAAACAATTCTGCAAATCTGTGGGCAATGCACCAGACCATCAAATGAGTGCCCTAGATTGTCGGGTGATGCACTGACAAGGTAAAAGTAGCACTCCAGAACATTGGCCAAGTGCCTAAGGTCCCCAGATGGCTGTTCTGGTTCACTGAGCAGGTTCCTCAACACTCCAGATGAGTGACCAGTTCTCCAAGCATATCCTCTGGTGTCTTGGATAGTGTGCTCTGGTGTCTCGGATGTATGCTCTGGTGTCTTGGTTGTGTGCTCTGGCATCTCAGAAGTGTCCTCCAATACTGTATCTTGAATGTATCATCCAGTGTCTTTGGATGTGTCCTCCTATGTCATGGATGTGTCATCCAGTATCTCTGGGAATGTGTTCTGGTATCTCAGGTCCTGCCCAGTTATTTTCTTTTCTTTGCACCATGATTCACAGCGTGTTGACCAGGGGTGTGAAAGTTATGAAAAATGTCCATAGGGTCATGTCTCGCTTCTTACATATGGTGAAGATGACGTTTCCAAAGCCTTGCTTCACATTATAGGCCTCTGTGTTGGTTTCTCACATTCACTGACCAGGATTTGGGTAGAACACCACTGTTCTTGGTTTGTCTTGTGGTTTCGGGTTGGTCTTTGCTCATATCACTGACCCTATGGTATGGCTACTGGCAAGTTCCCTTCTTTTCCAGTTCTAAAATGGGCTAAGATTTCTGTGAGACTCACCAATTACTTTACTTTTTTTACGTTACTTGGTGCTCAGAATGGTCGCCAGACTTACAAGAAAGCGTATTCCAGAACCTCAACTCTAGGTCTCTATTCTAGCCTTCACTATGAATAGCTAATTTGGGACTCACATCATCAGTCATGCCTGCTGACCAGGATTTGACTTCAGAGTGTTTTGATCCACTAGGGCTAATACTTCAAAGTTCCAAGTCTCTATTTCAGTGGGACATATTATAAGCAGATTTTGATGCTTCTGTATATAATATTTCTATTTGTTGTCTTGGTATTTGAGGGTCAGTACTGTTTCCCAAGGAATACTAAACAGTTAAAAAATAATTTTTCCCAGTTAACATCTCAATTGTTGAAATTAAATTGCTTAAATCCTGCCCCCCACCCCACTAACTGGTGGGATGTAGCCTCCTCAAATAGAACTACCAATGGGTAGGCCTAACCACATATGATCGCCCATTCTATTATATTCCAGTTATGCCATTGGGGGACTCATCCTGAAAATAATTCTGCACTTTCCCAATGTCATGGTGTTGGTAATCTATCCATCACTAAAAGTACTAAATGCATTTTATAATACTGCATAACAATTAAACAATATATGCAAAATATATATACAGTATTTGTAATATCTTGTACAATATATAAACAAACATGAGGTAAAGGGAGTGAGCTTTGAACTCCAACCATCCTACATAAACAAAAGAAAAATGTTCTAGGGAGACTGACCAGCTGTATTCCGTAGCACTTCAGCATTCCCAGACACACTATACTGCCAGCCCGATCGCAGCTGAGCAGAGAACCCAGGCAGGCCTGCTAATGGTAGGCGAGGAAAGAATGGGTGAGTAAGCGGTGCCACAGGTGTTATGATCCCGGCATTCGTGAGGGCTGGGTTGCCCGCAGAGGTTGTTACCACATTATTCAAATTGGCAGCTGCAACGCGCCCCAAAGCAGCACCATTAATTGCAGCAGTGCCAGAAGGTCCTGGAAGTGCTGCTAGCGTTCCTATGGGAGGTGGCAAAGGAGTGGTAGCAGGAGTGCCGTCATTAGAGCTGCCCCCCCCTAAACTGGCGAGAAAACTTGCCTCGGCATTGCCAACAACCCCAGACATCAAGCTCTTGATTTTGGTGATATCGGACTTGCTAATTGCTTTCTTTACGTCTATTGGCCGACTTTTGATAGAGTGATTTCGAGTTACTGTGAAGGAAGAAAATTTTAGTGAAAGTTTTGCATTACTAACCCATTAAACACCTTAAAGTGATTTGAAGAACTTTCTATAATATTAAATATACAATGATATACAAACTAAATGAAAAACTTACATAGAACTTTATCAACCGGATCATAGTCGTTAAAGTCAACAAAAGCAAAACCTCGATGCCGGCCGCTAGTCTTGTCGTACATTATGTTGACGCAAGTAACTCTACCAAAGTGGGCAAAATAAGATTCCAAGTCATCCTCCTTTACGTCCTGTAAAACAATAAAACACAATACTGTATAAACCACTCATTTGTAATTTAGCTCATTATAGTACTGTATTTCATTTTATTACCGAGTTTACCAGGTGGCCAATAACACTAGTGGCTCAACGAGGACAGGAAGCCGGCGACTTGTCAAAGGTCAAACTGTTTATTTTTTACCTTGTTATTTGTGACCTTGTTATGACCAAGGTTTATGACCATAATCCAGTTTGTTTTGAAAGCCAATAATTTTTTCATGTGTGAGTGTAAGTGTATGAAAGAAGGCAAGGGATTACAGGTTTTTCTACATTTTCATATATTTTAAATTATATAATCAGAAACCTCACATCACATAGTACAGTCTGAAATGCAGGCAACAGGGACCCAATCCTCGGCACCATAGCCAAAACATCAAGCCCACCCCAAAGCCTGACCAGCAAACAACTCCAGGACAGATCAGATATGGAGCATGGGAGAGTGAGCCAGAGACAAGCCTGTGATCCCTTGCAATCAAGAGGAGCAAAGGCAAATTCACTTGTAGCTGCCAACTGCCCACATTCTGAGGCAGGGCCAAGGAAAACTGGCACGTGTCAGCATCTCAAAAGACAAACTATGCAGTGAGAACTGATTTGCCCTGCACCTCGGGAGCAGTTTGGTATGGGTTCAAGTCATTGCCAGGGAGGATTGTCTTGGTGGCAATCCTTAACTCTTCACTTCACTTCACCCAACAGTATTTGGGTACCTGGTTGTAAACTAACTTATCAGTTGCATTCCAGGAAGACTTGTGAGTAAGGCTTACCATGAGCCATTGGAAGAGAAAGCTCTAAGCCTGCTAACAAGAGCCAGAGGTCCTCCATTCTTGTATCCACCTACATAAATAAAATAAACTAAACATTCAGGCTCTGAGGGCTTGGAATGGTAAAAACCATTCCAAGCCCCCAAAGAAAACAAAGAGGATTGTCCTGAAGCCTCATACCACAACCAACTGACAGAGGCAGACTCACACTCAAAAGAAGCGGGATCTATCAAAGAAGCAAGGTCCCGGTCCCACAGGAGAAACTGGAACAGGTCTGACCATCAGAAGCTGGGTACTGATGAGATATTGGGAAAATACAGTAAAAGGATGGGAACCTGGAAACACTGGCATTCAGGGAATGATGAACGGGCAGTCAACCAAGGAATTAAGCTCAAACTGCAATGGAGGATAAATAAAGTCCCCTGTGCTAAGCAAAAATCCCTCAGAAGATAATAGTACAGTACTTTCTTGATGGGGTTCTGGGAGTTCTTCTTCTCCCCAAGCCTGGCCCGAGGCCAGACTTGACTTGTGAAAGATTGGTCCACCATGCTGTTGCTTGGAGTGGCCCGCAGGCCCACATATCCACGACAGGCCGGTTGGTCCGGCACTTCTTGAAGAAAATTATCTAGTTTTCTCTCGAAAATGTCCATAGTTATTCTGGCAATGTTTCTTATATTCGCTAGGAAGATGTTGCACAATCGTGGACTTCTGATGTTTATACAATATTCTCTGATTGTGCCAATGGCACCCCTACTCTTCACTGGCTCTATTCTGCATTTTCTTCCATTTCGTTCACTCCAGTATGTTGTTATTTTACTGTGAAGATTTGAGAAGTAGCCCACCAGTATATTCCATGTGTATCTCTCTCGTCTCCTTTCTATTGACTACATTTGGAGAGCACCGAAATGATCCCAATAATTTAGGTGCTTTATCACGTCTATGTATGCCGTATATGAACAAATCCACAAGGGCCATAACGAGGGTTCGAACCTATGTCCAAGAGCATCCCAGACGCTGCCTTAATCGACTGCGCTACGACATGGTAAAAGAATTGCAACCATAAGTTCTACTGAACTTACTGTAGTGTAGTGTAGTGTTATGTCGTATACGTTCTCTGTATTCCTTCTATTTCAGCAATCTCTCCTGCTCCAAAGGAGGAAGTGAGTATTGAGCAGTGCTCAAGATGGGACAGTACAAGTGATTTGAATAGTACAACCATTGTGATGGGATCCCTGGATTTGAATGTTCTCGTAATCCATCTTATCATTTTTCTGGCTGATACAATATCTGCTTGGTTATGCTCCCTAAACATTAGGTCGTCAGACATCATTATTCCCAAATTCTTTACATGCTGTTTTCCTACTATGGGCAGATTTGATTGTGTTTTGTACCGTATATTATGTTTAAGGTCCTCATTTTTACCATATCTGAGTACATGGAATTTATTACTGCTAAACACCATGTTACTTTTTGTTGCCCAGTCAAAAACTTTATTAATATCTGCTTGAAGTTTTTCAATGTCTTCAGCAGAGGTAATTTTCATACTGATTTTTGTCATCTGCAAAGGATGATACGAAGCTGTGATTTGTATTTTGTCTGTATCTGATAAGAGAACAAGAAAAAGCAGTGGTGATAGGACTGTACCCTGAGGTACAGAGCTTTTAACTGCGCTTGGACGCGATTTTATATGGTTGACTGTTATTCTGTGTTCTATTCAACAGAAAACCGAGTATCCAGCATCTTACTTTACCGGTTATTCCCATTGACCTCATTTTGTGTGCTATCACTCCATGGTCACATTATCAAATGCCTTTGCAAAGTCCGTGAATACCACATCTGCATTCTGTTTTTTCTAATGCCTCAGTGACTTTGTCGTAGTGGTCAAGTAGCTGTGAGAGGCACGATCTTCCCGCTCTAAATCCATGTTGGCCTGGGTTGTGAAGGTCACAACCCAGGCCAACTATGGTCTCTATGAAACTGGTGACCTGACTCCTGATCACTCTCTCAAATACTTTTATTACGTGGAATGTTAGTGCAACTGGTCTATAATTCTTTGTCAATGCTTTGCTCCCTCCCTTGTGTAGAGGGGCTATGTCTGCTGATTTAAACGTATCTGGTGTCATCCCCGTGTCCAGGCTCTTCCTCCACTCAATACTGAGTGCTGGTGCTACTGGCCCCTTGTATTTCTTTATAAATATTGAATTTCATGAATCTGGACCTGAAGCTGAGTGCATGGAGCATGTTTGTAATTTCTCTTTCAACATCTGCCACGCTCGTGTTGATATCAGTTATATTTACAGGGGTTTGGATATCACCCATAAAGAAGTTATCCAGATCTTCCACTGTCATGCTGTTTATCGGAGTGCTAAACATGTCCTCATGCTACCTTTTTTAGGATTTCACTAATTTCTTTGTTATCCTCAGTGTATGAACCTTCACTCATACGAATAGGTCCAATACTGGCAGTGGTTTTTGCCTTTGATTTTGCATATGTGAAGAAATATTTTGAGTTTTCCTTTATTTCTTGAATTGTTTTCTGTTCTAGTTGCCTTTCTTCAATCTGATATGAGTGTTTCAGTCTTTGTTCAATTTCTTCAATCTTCCTGTTTGAATTATTCCTTCTTTGTAGTAAAAGTTCTGTCTGCCTAAGCATTTCCATTATTTTTTTCCTTATTTTATAGTGTTGTCTGCGTTCTCTTTCAACACTGGACCTCTTTCTGGCTTTCCTCAAAGGAACATGTTTTAGACAGACTTCTTATGCTTCCAAAGTCAGTTTTTCTATTCCTTCTGTAGGATTTTTATTACTTAGAAGTTTCCAATGGAATGTTTGTAAATTCCCTGTTTAGTTTCTCCCAGTCTATCCTTTTATTATTAGAACTGAATTTACTGAATAACCCCTCTTGCTTGAGCATTGTTTTAGGTCTATTCTGAGTATTGAAGGGCAACCACAGACACCTCCTTGGGATCCTCACAATTACCAAGGCCCCAATTACTTGTACCAAACCTCTTGGAAAAGCTAGGCTCCACACCAGATGCCTGAGAAGACCAACAGGCATTGGGGGAATACCTGACAAACATGGCAAGGGAAGGCACAGGCAAAGAACAGAAACAGAAACTAATAAACAACCCACACTGTTCACCCCTAAACCAACAAAAACCCCAGCCTACGTCAATCACCAGGTCCCACAGAAGAGCTGAAACCCATACATTACCTGGAATGAGACTCCTTGAGTGGAGGCAGAACAAAGCACAGCACACACATATCTAGTATCATGACTGATATCTTGTGCAGTTTACAATGATGGACACTGTGTACAATGAAGATGTTACAATCATGGCAGTCTTTACAGAGATGTTACAGTGCTGGAGATCGGGGACAATCAAAATGTCATATTAGCCCACTTTACTAGAAATCTTTCTCCCAACACTCCTGAATTATTAATTGATGACCCACCTGGGGAAGACCTCCAATAAATATCCTTGTATGAGTTGCATCAGGATGGTTGGCAGTTGGGAGGAAGGTCGGGTTTGTGTCACTTCGTGGTACAGCACGTTTCGTTTCCACCAAGCGCCCATCAACCTTGTGTGGCCTTGCTCGTTGCACTGCATCCACATGGTCAGGGTTCATAAAGGTAACAAATCCAAATCCTCGAGACCTGTAATGGGACAGCTGATGATATGAAAATTCTCAACTGTACACTTGAGCTACAATTGTTGTTTCCCATGTTCTTCATCATTCATAAGATCATAATTCCATCAAGAGCCTTTTTCTACCTAACTACTTCATAACATGAGGCACATATGTAGAGAAAACAGCTGGTTATGAGAAATAATTCACTTTTCAAGACAACAGCATCCTAATACTACAACACAAAATTTGCATCATAACAATTAGTGCACCTTTCCCAACTTGGTTCTCAAACAAGATGACCCAGGTTAAAATCTCTGAAGATTTGGGATGATTGGGCGCTGTTCCTTTACTGGTTTCATATGTAAAAGATACCTTGAACAGTAATTATGTAGGACATACACAAGTCTGTGTATTTACATATGTGGGCTAGATCAGCATTTTAAAATGCTGATCTAACATTGTAACATTGTTTTTTTTAATTTATTGATTGTTCAATAAATCCAGAACTATCTGTTTAAGAGATCTTTAACCATGTCCATGGAGGACAGAAGAACATTATTACAGGTATAATCCAGGTATAAACCAAAATACACATCGTGTTCTGATGAACACATGCATGCAAATCCTTAAAAATATCTAAGAAGACTTTAACCTGTAAAATGTTTTAAGAAGATTTTTTTTCTGCTATATAGTACCTTCAATTATAACAAAAGGTCTAGACAAAAGCTTCAAAATAATAAACCTCCATTTCTTGACAGTTTCCAAACAAGAAAAATTCATTTTTCTAAACAGCTTTTTATTAGGAGAAACCCATTTCTTTAACCTTAATACAAAACAGAACTTAACTTTGCTTTGTTACGTGGCTCTGCATTGGGAAGGGGGGGGGGGAGGAATAACCGCGTGGCTATTCTGCACTGCCTTCAGTGGCATCAGTGGACAGTCACGTGGCTATGCCCTCAGTGTACAATCACATGGCATGCCCTCAGTGTACAGTCACGTGGCTATGCCCTCAGTGGTCACATGGCTATACACTCAGTGTACTATGTGGCTATACCCTCAATGCCCTCAGTGCACAGTCACGTGGCTATGCCCTCAGTGGCACTCAGTCACGTGGCTATGCCCTCAGTGCACAGTCACGTGGCTATGCCCTCAGTGCACAGTCACGTGGCTATGCCCTCAGTGCACAGTCACGTGGCTATGCCCTCAGTGCACAGTCACGTGGCTATGCCCTCAGTGCACAGTCACGTGGCTATGCCCTCAGTGCACAGTCACGTGGCTATGCCCTCAGTGCACAGTCACGTGGCTATGCCCTCAGTGCACAGTCACGTGGCTATGCCCTCAGTGCACAGTCACGTGGCTATGCCCTCAGTGCACAGTCCCGTGGCTATGCCCTCAGTGCACAGTCACGTGGCTATGCCCTCAGTGCACAGTCACGTGGCTATGCCCTCAGTGCACAGTCACGTGGCTATGCCCTCAGTGCACAGTCACGTGGCTATGCCCTCAGTGCACAGTCACGTGGCTATGCCCTCAGTGCACAGTCACGTGGCTATGCCCTCAGTGCAATGGCCACTTGGCTATGCACTCAGTGCAGGGTCACATGGCAAAGCCCTCAGTACAGAGCCACATGGCTATGCCCTCAGTTCACAGTCACGTGGCTATGCCCTCAGTACACAATCACGTGGCTATGTACCCTCAGTATACAGTCACGTGGCTTTGCCCTCAGTGTACAGTCACGTGGCTTTGCCCTCAGTGTACAGTCACGTGGCTATGCCCTCAGTGCACAGTCACGTGGCTGTGTCATCAGTGTACAGTGCTATGGTTATCTCCTGCATAGCAGAAGTTCCTGCCTGTTCCTTTACCGCCTACATATCAGCATGCTCCAACATCAAGATTCAACATAAACAACAATACGTGCCAAAACGTATTGTCTAGACACACCTCCTTCCCCCTCCCCACCCAACAGTACACGAGACACTTGCACCTGCTGTCTCGCTGGTTGACCAGACGCCACCTCTCCCTCTCTACCTCTCCTAACTACCTCTCTCGCTCGTCTAACTGCCGGCTTCTTGTTTCCAACTCCAATATTCCTGCCAAATATGACGCCACAGCCCATATAAGAAGCCCTGCCAGTGTCCAGAGTGTCGGATTTCTCTTCTAGTGCTCATTGCTGCCCCAGCTACTCTCACCTCCGGGTGATGGTAGACGCACATAGCAATTCTGTATAAAGTATTACCTTCACCTTTGTTATTAATGTAAATTTCACATTTATATATTTCTACTTTAACTGTGTTTAAGCCAAGTGGATAAGGGGTTTTGTCATTAATTATTACTTGTCAGTTTGTGTAAAATTATAGACTTTTTTGTTATATTAAATGTTGAAAGTTTTTATTCTCTTGTTTTTACCCGCAGCTCTCACACGGTAGAGGTATCAGCAGTTTTTTTTACTTTGTTTTCTCTTTTTTTTTTATTAATGTGTGATTGGCACAACACCTGCCAGAATAGTTACTGCTCTATACCAGATTCTCATCACAACAGTCACATGGCTATGCCCTCAGTGCAGTCATGTGGCTATACCCTCAGTGCACAGTCACGTGACCCTGCACTTTACGTGTAACATTTTGTTACATGTAAAATTCACTATCAAGTTTATAAAATCCCCAACCCCTGATAGGGCATAGCCGCGCGACCCTGCAGTGAGGGCATAGCCGTGCGAACCTGCACTGTGGACATAGCTGCGCAACCCTGTAGTGGGGGCATAACTGTTTAACCGAGCAGTGGGGGGGGGGATAGCCGCACGACCCTGCAGTGGAGGCATAATCGCACAACTCTGCAGTGGTGGCATAGCCGTGCGACCCTGCAGTGGAGGCATAGCCATGTGACTCTGTAGCACGTGACTCTGCGGTGAGGGCATAGCCACATGACTCTGCAGTGAGGGCATAGCCACATGACTGCAGTGAGGGCATAACCATGTGACTCTGCAGTGAGGGCATAACCATGTGACTCTGCAGTGAGGGCATAACCATGTGACTGCAGTGAGGGCATAGCCATGTGACTCTGTAGCACGTGACTCTGCAGTGAGGGCATAGCCGCGTGACTCTGTAGTGAGGGCATAGCCACGTGACTGCAGTGAGGGCATAGCCAAGTGACTGTGGTGAGAGTACAGGGAAGTGCCAATGTAGTAGGAGTACTGTATAACCAAAACAAAACCAAGTTATGGAGAAAAGGATTAGATATTCCCTTCCCATTATTATGCCTATATACATGGGTTCCCCACTTTTGAACATCTCACTTACTGTTATGACCTGTGTGGTCTTGGACAGAGGAACATGATAATGTTGCAAACAGGTAAAATGAATACTGCACATTCGAGGCAGTTATAATAAATAAATAAATAATAAATAAATAAATAAGTTGAGGCATTGTTGCCAGACTTTTAAGTGATTACTGGCATGTATGTTCCTGGCTAGTTTTAAAATAATGTGTAAATTAGTGAATTAATAAAGAGCCAGAGAAGTACATTAAATATGATGTGACAATATAAGAGATTGGTAATGGTCAAATGAGTCAGAGCAGACTGCTACTGCATGATCATTTAGGCTACTCTGAGGCACTGTGGGAACACGGATTCAATTGGTAACAGAACTGGATGGCAGGCGATCATTTGTATTGACTCTTGGGAAATTGCCTCAGATAAGTCCTAGTATTATTGTAAGTACAGGTTACTGATCTACTTTAATAACTTTTCTTACTGTATGCAACTCTATGCTTGCTCCACTGTTATTGTGTTTGTGGGAATGAGTTTAGAGAGGATTTTCTTATGTTTGTGGGGGGTTATGGGATATTTCAACTGTACTTCCTTCAGAGGTTTTTGGGCCTGCCTAGAATGTTTCGTTTGTGAGTCTTAATCCCTGGACCAGGGGGATTCTGAGCATAAGGTAAATGTCAACAGGCAGTACCAGGGGTTTTGTCATAGGAAAGGGTTCTGTGATTATTAAACCATAAAGTATACATACTAATTATTCCTTGTGTCCAGTGTGGAGATGTCTATCATACCCTAAACTAGATATACTGTATTTGTGGGAGTACTTTCCCTGGGGGCCAGGCCTTGACCCACCCCACCAGGAGAGTTTGCTAGATTGTATGTTTGAAATGAATAAGGTGGCCCATGGAGCACAGTATAGTGGTAGCTTTACAATGAGTATACCACAACAATTATCACATCCCTGTAACACTTACGAACCTCGAGTTTTAGAAATGGCCGACAAGTCTCTGTACATCTCTCTAGACAAACTAATTCCTAAGTCCTCACATTATATACAGTGCTACTAATGCATTGTTACTGTACATTTTCAGAAGGAATACTTCCTCAATAATAGCCAAAAAGAAGAGGAAGTGTGTTGGCAAGCGCCCACCTGTTGTTGGTCGGGTCCTTCATGACGACAGCATCGACAACCTCTCCCCATGTTGAGAAGTGTTCCTTTAGGCTCTCGTCTGTTGTGGTGTAGTCAATGCCTCCCACAAATATCTTGCGCATGTGTATTGGGGCCCACATCTTACTGTAAGATTACAATGAAAGCTTTAAAAGAGTATGCAAATTTAGTTTCAATTCCACCTAACAACAGTAGTGCCACTATTCCTATAAGGCATCAAGAGTGCCCATACAAACAGGGCCATAATATCAGCATGAGTGTTATTATTTACATTATTACCCCACAATACAGGAGTTTATATGTTCCTTTAAGAACCATCAGTCACAAACTGAGAACCAATGTTTCCAAAATTACTACAAACATTTCAATTAATTTTACTAATTCTGCAAATTGTTTATTCCCTGTATGACTCCTCTATATTATTATTAGTGCCAAACTCATCACAATGTTTCCCTAGTGATCAAGCGAGGTCAGGATGCGACTCTTCGGGGTCTGGCCGCTGCTGCTAAGCTTAGCATCGCAAAACTTAAGCATTCACAGCCTCGAGTAACAACATCACCTAACATTCCCCAAGGCTGAATAAGTACCAACTATCAGTTCTGTTTACAGAACATGATAGGTGGACAGAACATGATGGGTAGACAGACCGGACAGGTGGGTCCGTTCTTCACTTAACCACCAGTTTGGAGTTGAATACCTGTGAAAAACACATTTTTTACTGATCAACTTTGGAAACCAACACTGGCAAAATTGTCACTGGCCACTGACCAATTTCCACCAAATTGCTGTGGCACAATTCCTCGTGGACATGTCACTTTGGACCTAAGATGGTTAGCCAATGGGTTTTAAAACCTAAAGTTTTAACCTTACCCAAACCAATCTAACCCAGCCAAACCCAAGATAACATGGCCAAACCTATGCTAACACTGCCTAACATAACCTAGCAGCCTAATCTTATATAACACACACTAAAATAACAATTCGTGCGGTTTTAACTATTAGAAAACGAACTTTGTCGAAATGCCAAAGTAAAACGTTACCGTCCTTCACATAGTGTAGTGCATCATAAGTCACTACCGGCCTCCACAGTGCCCCCCACAACGCCCCCCACCACTCCAGGCCCCCCCACAACCTTACCCCACACATCACAGCCAAGATATAACCAAAAACCCCTCCCCACCACACACCACAACACTTCCTGGGACCGCACAAGACACACAGTAAACATTACACTCACAACTTGAGAAAAACATGTAATTTCCACCAAAACTACTCCAACTGCTCATATATTAACGAGACACAGACGTAGGCCACAAGAAAACACGACCATTTTAACTGAAAATGATGATAATTAGCTCCGGGGGGAGGATAAATAGGAGGAAATGAGGGAGTAATCACCGCGAGGCGACCCCAGCGACGCTGTGTTGACTGTACCAGCAACGTCTGCTGCCCGGGATGTTGATCCCAGGACGGTCTGCTGACTCCTGCTGCTATTGGTGGTCCCCAGGCCCCTCCTCCTGCTGCTGGTGGTCCCCAGGCCCCTCCTCCTGCTGCTGTTGGTGGTCCCCAGGCCCCTCCTGCTGCTGTTGGTGGTCTCCAAGCCCCTCCTGCTGCTGTTGGTGGTCCCCAGGCCCCTCCTCCTGCTGCTGGTGGTCCCCAGGCCCCTCCTCCTGCTGCTGTTGGTGGTCCCCAGGCCCCTCCTCCTGCTGTTGGTGGTCCCCAAGCCCCTCCTGCTGCTGTTGGTGGTCCCCAGGCCCCTCCTGCTGCTGTTGGTGGTCCCCAGGCCCCTCCTCCTGCTGCTGGTGGTCCCCAGGCCCCTCCTCCTGCTGCTGTTGGTGGTCCCCAGGCCCCTCCTCCTGCTGTTGGTGGTCCCCAAGCCCCTCCTGCTGCTGTTGGTGGTCCCCAAGCCCTTCCTGCTGCTGTTGGTGGTCCCCAGGCCCCTCCTCCTGCTGCTGGTGGTCCCCAGGCCCCTCCTCCTGCTGCTGTTGGTGGTCCCCAGGCCCCTCCTCCTGCTGTTGGTGGTCCCCAAGCCCCTCCTGCTGCTGTTGGTGGTCCCCAAGCCCCTCCTCCTGATGGTGGTCCCCAGGCCCCTCCTCCTGCTGCTGGTGGTCCCCAGGCCCCTCCTCCTGCTGCTGTTAGTGGTCCCCAGGCCCCTCCTCCTGCTGTTGGTGGTCCCCAAGCCCCTCCTGCTGCTGTTGGTGGTCCCCAAGCCCCTCCTGATGTTGGTGGTCCCCAAGCCCCTCCTGCTGCTGTTGGTGGTCCCCAAGCCCCTCCTTCTGCTGTTGGTGGTCCCCAGGCCCCTCCTCCTGCTGTTGGTGGTCCCCAAGCCCCTCTTGCTGCTGTTGGTGGTCCCCAAGCCCCTCCTCCTGCTGTTGGTGGTCCCCAAGCCCCTCCTCCTGCTGTTGGTGGTCCCCAGGCCCCTCCTCCTGCTGTTGGTGGTCCCCAGGCCCCTCCTCCTGCTGTTGGTGGTCCCCAAGCCCCTCCTCCTGCTGTTGGTGGTCCCCAAGCCCCTCCTCCTGCTGTTGGTGGTCCCCAAGCCCCTCCTGCTGCTGTTGGTGGTCCCCAAGCCCCTCCTCCTGCTGTTGGTGGTCCCCAAGCCCCTCCTGCTGCTGTTGGTGGTCCCCAAGCCCCTCCTCCTGCTGTTGGTGGTCCCCAGGCCCCTCCTCCTGCTGTTGGTGGTCCCCAAGCCCCTCTTGCTGCTGTTGGTGGCCCCTCCTCCTGCTGTTGGTGGTCCCCAGGCCCCTCCTCCTGCTATTGGTGGTCCCCAAGCCCCTCCTCCTGCTGTTGGTGGTCCCCAAGCCCCTCCTCCTGCTGTTGGTGGTCCCCAGGCCCCTCCTCCTGCTGTTGGTGGTCCCCAGGCCCCTCCTCCTGCTGTTGGTGGTCCCCAAGCCCCTCCTCCAGCTGTTGGTGGTCCCCAAGCCCCTCCTCCTGCTGTTGGTGGTCCCCAGGCCCCTCCTCCTGCTGTTGGTGGTCCCCAAGCCCCTCCTCCTGCTGTTGGTGGTCCCCAAGCCCCTCCTCCTGCTGTTGGTGGTCCCCAGGCCCCTCCTCCTGCTGCTGCTGGTGGTCCCCAGGCCCCTCCTCCTGCTGTTGGTGGTCCCCAAGCCCCTCCTGCTGCTGTTGGTGGTCCCCAACCCCCTCCTGCTGCTGTTGGTGGTCTCCAAGCCCCTCCTTCTGCTGTTGGTGGTCCCCAAGCCCCTCCTCCTGCTGTTGGTGGTCCCCAGGCCCCTCCTCCTGCTGCTTGGTGGTCCCCAGGCCCCTCCTCCTGCTGTTGGTGGTCCCCAGGCCCCTCCTGCTGCTGTTGGTGGTCCCCAAGCCCCTCCTCCTGCTGTTGGTGGTCCCCAAGCCCCTCCTGCTGCTGTTGGTGGTCTCCAAGCCCCTCCTTCTGCTGTTGGTGGTCCCCAAGCCCCTCCTCCTGCTGTTGGTGGTCCCCAAGCCCCTCCTCCTGCTGTTGGTGGTCCCCAGGCCCCTCCTCCTGCTGTTGGTGGTCCCCAGGCCCCTCCTCCTGCTGTTGGTGGTCCCCAGGCCCCTCCTCCTGCTGCTGCTGGTGGTCCCCAGGCCCCTCCTGCTGTTGGTGGTCCCCAAGCCCCTCCTGCTGTTGGTGGTCCCCAACCCCCTCCTGCTGCTGTTGGTGGTCTCCAAGCCCCTCCTTCTGCTGTTGGTGGTCCCCAAGCCCCTCCTCCTGCTGTTGGTGGTCCCCAAGCCCCTCCTGCTGCTGTTGGTGGTCCCCAAGCCCCTCCTTCTGCTGTTGGTGGTCCCCGAGCCCCTCCTTCTGCTGTTGGTGGTCCCCAAGCCCCTCCTGCTGCTGTTGGTGGTCCCCAAGCCCCTCCTTCTGCTGTTGGTGGTCCCCAAGCCCCTCCTCCTGCTGTTGGTGGTCCCCAGGCCCCTCCTGCTGCTGTTGGTGGTCCCCAAGCCCCTCCTTCTGCTGTTGGTGGTCCCCAAGCCCCTCCTCCTGCTGTTGGTGGTCCCCAGGCCCCTCCTGCTGCTGTTGGTGGTCCCCAAGCCCCTCCTTCTGCTGTTGGTGGTCCCCAAGCCCCTCCTCCTGCTGTTGGTGGTCCCCAGGCCCCGCCTGCTGCTGTTGGTGGTCCCCAAGCCCCTCCTCCTGCTGTTGGTGGTCCCCAAGCCCCTCCTCCTGCTGTTGGTGGTCCCCAAGCCCCTCCTCCTGCTGTTGGTGGTCCCCAGGCCCCGCCTGCTGCTGTTGGTGGTCCCCAAGCCCCTCCTCCTGCTGTTGGTGGTCCCCAGGCCCCATCTGCTGTTGGCGGTCCCCAGGCCCCACCTCCTGCTGTTGGCTACCCGTTGTTGTTGTATTAAATTTAGCTACTCAGAACAAAATGTCCATGTAGCAGGGAGTATAGTGAGCCCGTAAAGGTGGCGACCTATGGCTGACCTAAGTACCGATGGGATGTGCGCGCGTTGCCCGGCGCAATATAATTCACTCATATCCTTCATACAGAAACTTTCCTGTTTTTGCAAGCAAGATTATTTTTTGTTAGTGAGTCTGCGTTTTCATTACCATCTATGCCAGTGTGACTTGGTATCCAATTTAGGGTGATTGACAGCCCTAGATTGTGTGCCTCTTTTCCTATATGTAGGATTTCAGTGATGGGTTTTATATTATCTCTGTACTGGCTGGTTAGCAATGCCTGAAGGTGGATAGAATGATGGTAGTGAATGATAGGTGGAGAAGAGGTCGCCTGCACGAACTTAAATACCCTTGGGACAAAGTCTCGCCCTTACTGCTGCTAAACACAAGACAAGAACAAATCCACAAGGGCCGTGACGGCCTATTGACATAGCTCGGGTGCAGTGGGGGGGGGTTGTGTAAAAGCCTGGTTTGTGCCTCGGAGAGGCTACGGGATCCAGTAAGTTCAGAAGAACTTCGGTTTCAACCCTTTTACCCTGTCGTAGCTCAGTCGATTAAGGCAGTGTCTGGGATGCTCCCGGACGCAGGTTCGAATCCTCGTCACGGCCCTTGTGGATTTGTTCATTTGATGCATCACGTTAGTGTGATCTGTGTGTGTGTGACAGGACACAAAGCATTCAGTTCCTCCGAAAATGCCCGTTGCCCACGTATTTTGACAAGCTTTATCTCTACAAATACATCAGTTGGGGTGTTAAAGCCTTTGATAATGAACTGCATGAAAGACTGGCATGGAAATTACAGGCACGTGGAATAAATGGTAGAATGCAGTCCCCGTGGTGTAGTGGTAAGACGCTCGCCTGGCGTTTCGCGAGCGCTTTGTCCTGGGTTCGTATCCTGACCGGGGAGGATTGACTGGGCGCCAATTCTTAACTGTAGCCTCTGTTAACCCAACTGTAAAATGAGTTACAAACAGAATGTTGGATGTCTAAATAGAGCTAGTACATACTATGCCTAAAGCCACTAATACGCACAGCGTTTCAGGCAAGATGTGGGAAAAACACTTAGACTGAAACTTAAGACTAACTGAGATCAAAACAGAAATTAAATTGAAAAAAAATTGTAACAGTAGAAATTGCAACAGAACAGCAGAAGTAATTTTAACTAAATAAACGCAATTTTCTTCAAGTTTATACATGTCGAAGATCAGCAGTTAAACAAGGGCGGAGATCAGTTTATACCTGCCTACCTAAAATTATGTTAGATTAAGGATCTGCCAGAAACGCTATGCGTTTTAGTGGCTTTATAAGAATGTAAAAATAAATAAATAAATAAATTTAAACTTAAATAAATAAATAAATAATAAATACCTCTAAGGGCACCAAAGTTCAGCTTGCCCGGGTCAGCGGCAACCCTAGGACCGGCTCTGATTTGAGTATTATCATTAATTTATCAAGTTTTTCATTAAGCAGGTATTTAAACTAACCCCCCTCAGCAACACTGTGATATCATAATATTTACCTTAAATTCAGGTGAAACCGTATCCCCTGTCGCAGCTGGGCGACGCAGGAGAAGAAGCGACCAAATGGTAATGTAAACAAGAGTTGCTGGGATGTTGGTGGTGGACTGTTGCCGAAATTTTCTTCATTTTTGGCACTTCATCTCACTTTTTTATCCTTTGAGTATCTTCTAACAAGTACCAAGTGTCGTACCCGACGTTGGATACACTTAAAATGCCAATTTTAAGAGGTAAAAAGTTTTTTTCTGGTTAAAAGGCAGGTTGGTACTTTGTCACCCGTTGTATGTTAGTCACTTGTAGTTGTTTAAGGTTTATATTGTGCTCTTAGTTTACTTTTGGTCAATTCACAGTGTACATTTAAGTTTCTTTATGATATACGTTCTGTGCTGTTTTGGAAAGTGGGTCATATTGAAAAGTAAGCAAGTTCATAAAGGGTTAAAAAGATGTCGATTTGCGTCGTCGATAGTCTTCAAACAAATCTCGGCTGGATGCTTTGGTGACGGTGCTGCAGGTAGCTGCGTGGTTTTTCCTGCAGTGGTCAACCCCCTTACCCCCTCAAATGGGTGGTGGAGGTAGATTTCAATATCGTTTACTCTGTGTTTCAGCAGGCAGTGTTATCACTTCTTTAGAAGTCTGGCTAGTAATTGTCTGTATTGTCTTTCACACCATTTCCTCATCACATGTTGCCAGTGGCAGTAGGGGAGGTTTTTCCAGTTGCTTGGGGTGGCTGGCATTATCGTCCTATCCTTGAGTTGGGTGTTTTTGTGGAGTGGTTCCTTTCCCTCTTGTGTGCTTTGAGAGGCCAGTTTTTCTGCTTGCTGCTCCTCCTGGCTGAGGCATTTGTTATTGGGGTTCTTTGCAACTGCTTATTTGTGGCTCGTCCTTTTTCCAGTGTTGTGGGGTGAGGTAAAACAAATGCTCTGCCAGACTTGTGGCTTTGTTGATTAAACAGTTACAGTACAGTTACATCCTGCAACAAAAAACAAGCAATGTAATAAACAACACACACATATAGTCCAAGCATTGTCTATTCACAATAACAAGAAATAAATTATGGGAGCACACCTCCACAGACCTGTACTCATGCCAGACAAATCTGATCTGCCGGCCACCAAACAATAACAAACAAGCGATCATCCATCTGGCACAACTACAGCTCCACTCCGATATGATAGACACATTTTTACTACATTCACCTCTGCCTTGCATTTGACATAGTCTCGAAGATGCGTAGGGGTACTGTGCATCCTTCCTGATCGTTGAAGGGACTCCTGCAATATTGAAGGATCTAGCGTTCCAGTTGGTTCCTGCACACACCACTGTCTCGAGGGCGTGTTACTTCAAAGATAGGTACCCAAGTAGGTGTTTCTAGATGTCTAGGTAGGTGTTCGGGGCAAAGTAGTTCAGGATGAGGTGGTTCAGGACGAGGCGGGTTGGGGCTTACCCAATTTTTTGCAACGCTGGGTGTTGCTGTTGAAAGCCAAAGGTGGAGTCCAAACTCTCGCAGCCCTCTGTGGCCATGGGTGCAAGGTGTCTTAAGAATACAGTAGTAATTCTTCCATCTGGGAATTTGACATGGGCATATTCGAGATTTATGTCTACGAGCTCAACCTCATCAACTAGGGGATCATATTTGCTTTGCCACACCTGACATTGTAGGAGGACAGGGCCTTTGCAAGCAAGCCACATAGGCAATGTTCGCCCTGACGTAGACCTTCTAGAATGTTGGAAGAATCGTTCATGTAGTGTACAGTTTGTAGAGGTGTATAATAATGATCGACTAGAGTGGAGAGCATCAGGAAGAACAACTTCCCATTGGGATACATCTAAGGTTCTCGTCCTAAGAGCTAGCAGCACTGTCTTCCAAATAATCCCATTGTACTTCTCAGCCTAGCCATTTCCTCTTGGGTTGTAAGGGGTCATACGGCTAGTTGCTATCTCCTTTTTTTAGTAGAAAATCTTCAGCCTTCTAAAAAACCTTCAACTCCTCAGACATACAGGAGGTTCCCCTCTCAGGGTGTATATACGAAAGATTGCGAACGACTGCACCAGGCACTGAATTACTGCATCAGTAGTCATATCCGAGCATGGGAATACAAAGGGGAATTGGGAGAATTCATCTACAACAGTCAGTATATATTTATTCCTTGATTGTGGAGGAAAAGGTCCTTTAAAATCTATGTTGAGTCTTTCAAATGGCTGAGTAGCTTTAATCAAATGCCCGGAGTCAAACTTGCAAAACTGAGCTTTAAGTTCAGAGCATGCAGAGCAAGAATTCATCGTCGTCTTCACTTCCTCTACAGAATAAACTGCCCGAAACACTTTGCGTAATAGTGGCTTTAGGCATTGTATGTACTAGCTCTATCTATAAATTCATCAATATTTGTATCACACCCTGTATGTATGTACTTTACCTGAATAAAAATTTTAATTTTAATTTGAATAAGGCAGATTTTGACATTGGACAAAATGAGCCATACGAGACAGATTTCCATGTAATTCCTTAATTTCATTCACACTGGTGGCACCACATACTTGTGAGAATGCATCTACGGGTATGTTCTTTTTACCTGGGCGATATACAATGTCATAGTGGTAACAAGAGAGTTTGACTCGCAATCTAGCTATTTTATCATTTTTAAACTTTTTAACCCCTGCACTGCGCAACTGTTTTAGGCGAAAACGTCATAGTGCAATTGTTAAGGACATATTTTTGTTGTTTTTATAAATGTTCAGGTAAAGTTATTGTCAAAAAGTTTCCAAACTCATCTATTTTCATTTCAAAATACAAAAAGTTATGAAAACGTTAAAAAACATTAAAATATTGCCTAATTAAAAAAAAATAGCATAACTCTCAGAACGACTTTTGTTGGCTGGCGCAGTTAAGGGGTTAATCTTACCAGCTGATTTAGAGTTAAACATAAAAGCAACACTACACTGGTCAGTAACAAGCCGCAAATGGCGTCCAATGAGATAATGTCGCCACTTCCTTTGAGCTTCAACAATGACATAAGCTTCCTTCTCCAGTGATGAGTGCCTCAGTTACTATTTGAAAGCGTTCGAGGGAAGAAAGTTACTGGTTGTTCATTCTGGGTTAAGGTAGCAGCAATGGCATGATCTGAAGCATCAGTTTCCACAGCAAAAGGAGCTGCTGGGGAGATTGCTCGAACTATGGCTTCAGCAATGTCTCGTTTCAATCCTTCCAATGCTTTTGCAGTGGCAACAGATAAGGGAAAACCATTTGCATGAGAGAGGGGACAAATCTTCTCAGAAAAACCTAGCACCCAGTGGGAGTAATGTGCAAGCATTCCCATCGTTCTGCATAAAGAACCTGTGTTGTTTGGTAGTGGAAGTTTTAACAGTGGCTCGAGACATTTCGGGTCAGGTCTAATTTCTTCTTCTTGTGTAAGATATCCCAATAGCTTTATAGACCGGAGTTAAAAGCTACATTTTTCAATTCAGAGTCAGGTTATACCCTTTTGCAACGTCCATAGTGTTCAGATTTTTGTCATGGTCTTCTGCAGAATCTCCACACACACACACACACACAGACATCATCTACATAAGAAAAGGTACCCCTCTACTTCTTTCTTGAGGATGCCATCAATTACTCTTTGAAAACTGGCCCACTCCATTAGTGACCCCGAAAGGGATACGATTAAATTCAAATAGCTTTCCACAGGCTTCGAAGGCTGTATAAGTTTTTTCTTCCTCGTTTAGACCCATTTCATGGTAAGCACTTCTCAAGTTTAGCATGCTGTGTACTTTAATCTAGCAACATTATTCACAATCTCATCTATATATGGTAAGGGATAGGCATCCAGCTCCATGAAACGGTTAATTGTTTGTGAATAATCTACTACCATTATTTTCTTGTGATTTTCTCCTTGAGTTACTAATACCTGGGCTCTCCATGGAGAATTACTTGGTCAAATTATCTCTTCACATGGCAGCCGTGCAGGCTCAGCTTCAATAAACATCTTGTCAGCCACAGAATAGCATCTGGATTTTACAGCTATCGGCTTGCAGTCTGGGGCTAAATTACTAAAGTGGGATGGAGCTGGCACTTTGACGGCAGCTAATCCACATATTCTAAGGGGAGGTCTTTCTCATCCAAAAGCCATCTCGAGCATGAAATGATTTTGTTAAAATTTATGACCCAAAATCACATCGGCACACAAATCAGGTAACACTTTGAGATTCACACCATGGTAGTCCCAGCTAAAGTAGCAAGCATAGCAGCTGAATGTTGAAGCACTGTTAGTCTGTTTCAGAGATCAGCAGACCTGTGCATAATGACCCTTTTTCTTGCAATTCATACACAGAGCCTGTCTAGCTGGACATTGACTGCGAGGATGTCGAGTTTAACCACAAAAGAAACACCTTAAAACACTAGTTATAGCGGCAGAAAATGTTTCAACTTTTTTTTCTACACTTTCTTGTCCTACTGAGCCCTCCAGGTCTAATGAGTGTGTCACAGCAGTGTTTGTAGCCCCTGGCTGAACATAACAGGCAGAAAGTTTTTGTGTCATTTCTAGAGTGTGAGCCTAGTCAAAGGCTGACTGTAAGTCTAAAGTTTTATTTTCAAGTAAGAGTTACCTTATTATGGCAGAACCCAGCCCATTAAGGAAAGCATCTCTCACATAGTTATCACAAGCTTCTGCAGCAGTCACTGCTTTGAACTGATAATCTTTAGCTAATAATTTCAATGCCTGAAGAATCTGGTCAAGTGACTCACCGGGTTCTTGGCATCGTGTTGCAAGCACGTACCTTTTGAATACTTCATTCATGGGCTTCACAAACAGTTCTGTTAGGGATTTTTCAGCTGCATCATACGTAGTGCAGTCAGCTATATAGTCAAACACAATTGGACCAGCATAGTTTATCAGCAGACCCAGCTTGTCCACGGTGGGAGTAGTTTGTTGTACTGCTAGAGAGGGAAGTTTTTGAATATCTTGAACCAGTGATGCCATTCTGGTGCGTCGAAGCTAATTAATTGTTTAATAATTGTAAACAAAGCCGTCAAAGATTCAGAAAAGATGTACAGGTTCGTAAGTGCTTGCGTAACTGCTTCGTGAATCTGGCCCCTGCTTGATACCTGCTTGATGGTGTTCTGGGAGTTCTTCTCTTGCTTAAGCAGGCTTTCCTGCAGGGAGTCACGCCAGGTGTTTGGACATTATATGCATGTACACCTGCAGGGAATTCTATTGCAAACACAATGATACCAAAATGAACGACGTAGCACAAGAATTAAGGTGAGAAAACTGAAACGAGTATACACATTTTACTGATTTTGTGCGCTCACGGGTAACTTTTGCCGACTTTAGGCTTTGCGGTGGGGAGTCACACTGGGCTTTTGGACATTATATGCATATACACCTGTAGGGAATTCTATTGCGAACACAACGATACCAATACGAACGATGTAGCACGAGAATTAAGGTGAGAAAACTGAAACGAGTGTGCACATTTTCGTGTCACCGCACCCTCGCTCGCATCACCAGGAGTAGTTCGTGCATACGCGCGGAGCGCACGCCCGGGGCGCGAAAGTGTTAATACATCCCCAATTGTGATGTGCAGTATAAGGGTTAATGGCGATCATATCCCTGATTGTGATGCACAGTTGAAGAGTTAAATCTTGCATCCCACTGGCAGCATTCACCATACATACATTCCACTGTGGCTGCATACACCATATACAAACCACCATAGGAGTATTCACCATATCATACAACCCATTATGGGTGCGTACACAAGTTACAATACATCCCACTGTGGTAGCATATGCAGGTACCATATCATACATCCCTTCATAGGAGTACACACTATATCATACATCCCATCATGGAAGCACACACTATATCATACATCCCATCATGGAAGCACACACTATATCATACATCCCATCATGGAAGTACACACTATACACATCACACTGTGGTGACATACACCAATACATCTTACATGCAAAGGATTAGTTCACTGTCTTAACATTGGTGTAAGTTCTCTCTGTACATTCCTTTAAATATGCATACATTATCTAAAACCTGCTTTTGTTACTTTTTCAGATGGTGTATGCATTGATGAGCAGTAGCCGAAAGGAGAAGTAAGGAGGATGGTAGAAGTTTTTAGAGAGAACACACATTTGTAATAGTGGGGACTCTTGACTGTGGCTACCACTCACAGCAACAACAGTGCCGCCAGAGTTTCTAGCAGCAAGCCATTTGTAAATTTCTCCTGGGGACTCATTGACTTGAGATTGTTATCTTTTCCATGAATTGCCATTTGACCAACAGGAAGGTTTATGGCATCATTAACAGCAAGCATTCATTGTGTATTTATATAGTAATTTTGCATAATCTCAGTGTGGTGTTGTGGAAAACAGATCTTGAACTTGACACTAATATTATGTGAATTGTTTGACAGGCAAAATAGTGCAGCTGTAGGCTGAATGACCAGGAATTAAATGCGACAGATTTATGATTTTCTGCCGCTGCAAACGTGTGAATAAATACTTGGAATCTCCAAGTGGATATGAAGCGTACCACGTAGCCACAAACATGTCTGGCCGCCATCTGAGCTCCGAGGACCGACGGGAGCTGGCCCGACTAACTAAAATATTGACCCAAAAGATTGTACAAGTGGTTGTGCAGAGCAGACTTGGAGAGAAGGCCCTCACAAAGTCGAAGGCACCAGCACAAGGATCAGAATGGGTTTGTGTGTGTGTTGTCCTCTGAATTTTACATTAATGATAATTTGCTGTGTGTGTGATGAACTAAAGAGGAGAATAAAACAGCAATGTTTAATTATGTTTTATCATAGTCATTGTAGGAAGGCTGCTTGTGAAGGAAGTTACTACATTTGTCGTCCCCTCCACATGTCTTGTACTTCCTGTCCCCTTGTTCCACACCTCCCTCATCTCTTCTTCCACATCACCACCTATTCCTCGCTCCACACCTGGAACACCACCCCTCGCTCCACACAATTATCTGCAACACCTTCTGCCCCTTGATGCACACCTCCCTAAGTCTCTCCCTCCATGTGTCTTCTTGAGGAGGTATGTTGAGCACTTGTGCCACATGCGTCTAAATTATTATAATTGATGACTGTACAGTTAGGTTTGTCTTTTTATTTTATAGCAACATCCAGAGAAATGCCAAATCTTGATAATTATAGAGACTTATAAGTTGAACTAAATTCTTATACATTTTGATAGTGAAAACATCAATGATGTAAGCCACATCGACAGGTAAACCCCTACAGTATACTGTATGTCACCTGACGTAAGTTGCACTCTAAGGGTCAATGTATTGTTGACTGATATTATGCTTACACTGTTAATGTACCATAGTCAAATATTATACTCACACCAGTCTTATGCACTGTTACAGTAACAGTACAATTGCTTAGATTAGTGTGGGACATTCTAATCCTTCTGTAATCGTAAAGTTGATATTAGATGAAGGTATGGAGCTAGCTTCATTCAATTGTGTTCTGTGTATCTCCACTTGTGGAATAAATATTGTATACATGAAAACATGTACTGTATTGAGAATATGTACTGTATATCAAAATATAATGCTAATACTGTACAGTAATCCTATTCAAAATTTAGTTTTATAATTTAATTCCTGTATTGAATACAGTTCTGATGTGTTTTAGAGTTCTTACAAATTAAATTTTTAATTCTAATCTATAATGAAACATCAATCAAGGACAATTTGTAATAGATCATTTTTGATATACTGTAGTGGAGAGTTTCTTCAGGATCTAATGTAGCATTTCAGTGACTGAATCATCATGTGTAATAAGGGCGTTTCCTTGACTTGTCTCTCTCTCAACAGTTTGTTCAGAGTTATCCTTCATTCATCAGATAGGATACAACAGTGTAATGTGAAACCAAAAGATGAAAATGTGTTAATTTTTTATTTCTTGGCAGTTTAATTTGGGCATTGAGGACATTCACGAGATACAGCAAGAGACGAAAAGAGGGTTGGGAGGTCATCTACCGGATGTTGGGAAACCACTCGTGGTGGAGATTCTCCTTCGGACTCCAGAATCAGACAGCTTGGTCCTGGAACTCTGGACCCTTAGGATCTTGGATGCTTGTGACACGTCACCTGCCAGGATAAATCCAACGATATACAATCGAATGACGGTAGGAATTGAATATTTGTGTAGATAATTATTTTCCTTCAGATCAGATGACTTGGTAATTGAACTGTATTAATAACAGAAATGAAGTACATTGCACTAACAATGTAGTGCTTCCTTTACAGCCTCAAGTCTTGCATAATGTAAGTTAGTACTGAACAGTATTGTAGTTAGTAGTAAGAGAGGATATGATGTAATTTTATGGTATTTAAAGTTCCTCTTTTAGCCTAAGGATAGTAAATAGACCAAGAATGTTCCATCTCCTAGAGTTAAACTCTGTGGTGTTGTTGTACCACAAAGCCCTATGCCCTCCAGTTGGATTGTACTTGTTGGAGAATCAAACTACAGTATTAGAAAGACTATTTGTTAAGGCTGTCAGACTTTATATTAATAAATATTAATTACAGAATTTATTATATAATACCATTACAATGATATTGTCACTTAAAAGTTATTTCAAACATTTATAAATTGATTTATTTTATTAAGATCTCTACTAATTATGACATATAACTGCTATACTCAAATTTGGTAATTTCAACATTGTCCAGCTGATATCTAGCAACACTTCAGTATTATTAATTCTTTGGCTCAGAACCCTCCATTTGTCATCATTAAACTGCATCTGAGTCTTTGTTCATTTTAAGAGCCTATACAGTATAAGATGTCATGAAAGAATTTTGATATTGTCTTTTGAATTTAGTTACTGCCCTATTATAGTTTGTTGCAGTCATAGAGAATATTTGGCAGCTTCTACCATTTGACAGGTGCTACTCAAGTCTCTGCTGGCTGTGACGCGCATCACTCCCGCATACAAACTGGCCTTCAGACAGGGGCCTGATTCATTCATCATCTGTTACCGTGTTTATCTCGGCGACCCCAACTATGACTGTCTCGGTGAGTATCCCTGCATACACTACTGATTAGGATATGCTAACATACAAAAAGTTCAGAAATAACTGATTCTATTTAAATCATTGACAGTCTTTATTATACAGTAGTAGGTTTTGTTTTATTTAAATAGATATTGTATGGGCAAAATCAACAATTAACCTTTTCTGCTGCTCTTGTTTTAAAGCAGACACCTGATGGAATTACTTAAATAACAAATACAATTGTAGGCTATGAATAGCGTCAGTAAAAAAATATGGACATATTGTAACGCTCCAAAATGTAGTTATCATCACTTGTTGATTCCCATGGCCATTACAATTATCATCATACATTATGTTGCACAGTCAACAGGTTACTTGGAGGGTCAGCAGGTTGCTTGCAGAGTCAGCAGGTTGCTTGCAGAATCAGCAGGTTGCTTGCAGGGTCAGTGGGTTTCTTGTAGAGTCAGCAGGTTGCTTGCAGGGTCAGCAGGTTGCTTGTAAAGTCAGCAGGGTGCTTGCAGGGTCAGCAGGTTGCTTGCAGAGTCAGCACATTGCTTGCAGGGTCAGCAGGTTGCTTGCAGGATCAGCAGGTTGCTTGCAGGATCAGCAGGTTGCTTGCAGGGTCAGCAGGTTGCTTGCAAGGTCAGCAGGTTGCTTGCATGGTCAGCAGGTTGCTTGCATGATCAGCAGGTTGCTTGCAGGGTCAGCTGGTTGTTTGCATGGTCAGCAGGTTGCTTGCATGGTCAGCAGTTTGCTTGCAGGGTCAGCAGGTTGCTTGCAGAGTCAACAGGTTGCTTGCAGAGTTAGCAGGTTGGTTGCAGAGTCAGCAGGCTGCTTGCAGGGTCAGCAGGTTGCTTGCATGATCAGCAGGTTGCCTGCAGGGTCAGCAGGTTGCTTGCAGAGTCAACAGGTTGCTTGCAGAGTCAGCAGGTTGCTTGCAGAGTCAGCAGGTTGCTTGGAGAGCCAGTAGGTTGCTTGCAGGATTAGCAGGTGCTTGCAGGGTCAGCAGATTGCTTGCAGGGTCAGTAAGTTGCTTGCAGAGTCAGCAGGTTGCTTGCAGATTCAGAGGGTTGCTTGCAGAGTCAGCAGGTTGCTTGCAGAGTCAGCAGGTTGCTTGCAAGGTCAACAGGTTGCATGCAGAGTCAGCAGGTTGCTTGCAAGGTCAACAGGTTGCATGCAGAGTCAGCAGGTTGTGTGCAGGGTCAACAGGTTGCTTGCAGAGTCAGCAGGTTGCTTACAGAGTCAGCAGGTTGCTTGGAAAGTCAGCAGGTTGCTTGCAGAGTCAGCAGGTTGCTTGTAAAGTCAGCAGGGTGCTTGCAGGGTCAGCAGGTTGCTTGCAGAGTCAGCACATTGCTTGCAGGGTCAGCAGGTTGCTTGCAGGATCAGCAGGTTGCTTGCAGGGTCAGCAGGTTGCTTGCAAGGTCAGCAGGCTGCTTGCATGGTCAGCAGGTTGCTTGCATGATCAGCAGGTTGCTTGCATGATCAGCAGGTTGCTTGCAGGGTCAGCTGGTTGTTTGCATGGTCAGCAGGTTGCTTGCATGGTCAGCAGTTTGCTTGCAGGGTCAGCAGGTTGCTTGCAGAGTCAACAGGTTGCTTGCAGAGTTAGCAGGTTGGTTGCAGAGTCAGCAGGCTGCTTGCAGGGTCAGCAGGTTGCTTGCATGATCAGCAGGTTGCGTGCAGGGTCAGCAGGTTGCTTGCAGAGTCAGCAGGTTGCTTGCAGAGTCAGCAGGTTGCTTGCAGAGTCAGCAGGTTGCTTGGAGAGCCAGTAGGTTGCTTGCAGGATTAGCAGGTGCTTGCAGGGTCAGCAGATTGCTTGCAGGGTCAGTAAGTTGCTTGCAGAGTCAGCAGGTTGCTTGCAGATTCAGAGGGTTGCTTGCAGAGTCAGCAGGTTGCTTGCAGAGTCAGCAGGTTGCTTGCAAGGTCAACAGGTTGCATGCAGAGTCAGCAGGTTGCTTGCAAGGTCAACAGGTTGCATGCAGAGTCAGCAGGTTGTGTGCAGGGTCAGCAGGTTGCTTGCAGAGTCAGCAGGTTGCTTACAGAGTCAGCAGGTTGCTTGCAAAGTCAGCAGGTTGCTTGCAGGGTCAGCAGGTTGCTTGTAAAGTCAGCAGGGTGCTTGCAGGATCAGCAGGTTGGTTGCAGAGTCAGCACATTGCTTGCAGAGCCAGCAGGTTGCTTGCAGGGCCAGCAGGTTGCTTGCAGGGTCAGCAGGTGGCTTGTAGAGTAAGCAGGTTGCTTGGAAAGTCAGCAGGTTGCTTGCAGGGTCAGCAGGTTGCTTGTAAAGTCAGCAGGGTGCTTGCAGGATCAGCAGGTTGGTTGCAGAGTCAGCACATTGCTTGCAGGGTTAGCAGGTTGCTTGCCGGGTCAGCAGGTTGCTTGCACAGTCAGCACATTGCTTGTAGTGTCAGCTGGTTTCTTGCAGAGTCAGCAGGTTGCTTGCAGAGTCAGCAGGTTGCTTGCAGAGTCAGCAGGTTACTTGCAGAGTCAGCAGGTTGCTTGCAGAGTCAGCAGGTTACTTGCAGAGTCAGCAGGTTGCTTGCAGAGTCAGAAGGTTACTTGCAGAGTCAGCAGGTGGCTTGCAGAGTCAGCAGGTTGCTTATAGAGTCAGCAGGTTGCTTGTAGTGTCAGCTGGTTTCTTGCAGAGTCAGCAGGTTGCTTGCAGAGTCAGCAGGTTACTTGCAGAGTCAGCAGGTTGCTTGCAGAGTCAGTAGGTTGCTTGCAGAGTCAGCAGGTTGCTTGCAGAGTCAGCAGGTTGCTTGCAGAGTCAGCAGGTTGCTTGCAGAGTCAGCAGGTTGCTTGCAGAGTCAGCAGGTTACTTGCAGAGTCAGCAGGTTGCTTGCAGAGTCAGCAGGTTGCTTGCAGAGTCAGCAGGTTGCTTGCAGAGTCAGCAGGTTGCTTGAGGAGTCAGCAGGTTACTTGCAGAGTCAGCAGGTTGCTTGCAGAGTCAGAAGGTTACTTGCAGAGTCAGCAGGTTCCTTGCAGAGTCAGCAGGTTGCTTGCAGAGTCAGCAGGTTGCTTGCAGAGTCAGCAGGTTGGTTGCAGAGTCAGCAGGTTGCTTGCATGATCAGCAGGTTGCTTGCAGAGTCAGCAGGTTGCTTGCAGAGTCAGCAGGTTACTTGCAGAGTCAGCAGGTTGCTTGGAGAGCCAGTAGGTTGCTTGCAGGATTAGCAGGTTGCTTGCAGGGTCAGCAGGTTGCTTGCAGGGTCAGCAAGTTGCTTGCAGAGTCAGCAGGTTGCTTGCAGATTCAGAGGGTTGCTTGCAGAGTCAGCAGGTTGCTTGCAGAGTCAGCAGGTTGCTTGCAGAGTCAGAAGGTTACTTGCAGAGTCAGTAGGTTGCTTGCAGGGTCAGCAGGTTGTTTGCCGGGTCAGCAGGTTGCTTGCAGAGTCAGCACATTGCTTGCAGAGTCAGTAGGTTGCTTGCAGAGTCAGCAGGTTGCTTGCAGGGTCAGCAGGTTGCTTGTAGAGTCAGCATGTTGCTTGCAGAGTCAGTAGGTTGCTTGCAGAGTAAGCAGGTTGCTTGCAGAGTCAGTAGGTTGCTTGCAGAGTAAGCAGGTTTCTTGCATAGTCAGAAGGTTACTTGCAGAGTCAGCAGGTTGCTTGCAGAGTCAGCAGGTTGCTTGCAGAGTCAGCAGGTTGCTTGCAGAGTAAGCAGGTTGCTTGCAGAGTCAGCAGGTTGCTTGCAGAGTCAGCAGGTTGCTTGCAGAGTCAGCAGGTTGCTTGCAGAGTCAGAAGGTTACTTGCAGAGTCAGCAGGTTGCTTGCAGAGTCAGAAGGTTACTTGCAGAGTCAGCAGGTTGCTTGCAGAGTCAGCAGGTTGCTTGCAGTCAGAAGGTTACTTGCAGGGTCAGTGGGTTGTTTGCAGAGTCAGCAGGTTCCTTGAAAAGTCAGCAGGTTGCTTGCAGGATCAGCAGGTTGCTTGCATGGTCAGCAGGTTGCTTGCAGGGTCAGCAGGTTACTTGCAGAGTCAACAGGTTGCTTGCAAGGTCAGCAGGTTGCTTGCATGGTCAGCAGGTTGCTTGGATGGTCAGCAGGTTGCTTGCAAGGTCAGCAGGTTGCTTGCAGGGTCAGCAGGTTGCTTGCAGAGTCAACAGGTTGCTTGCAAGGTCAGCAGGTTGCTTGCATGGTCAGCAGGTTGCTTGCATGGTCAGCAGGTTGCTTGCAGGGTCAGCAGGTTGCTTGCATGGTCAGCAGGTTGCTTGCATGGTCAGCAGGTTGCTTGCATGGTCAGCAGGTTGCTTGCAGGGTCAGCAGGTTGCTTGCAGAGTCAACAGGTTGCTTGCAGAGTCAGCAGGTTGGTTGCAGAGTCTTGCAGGGTCCGTTCTGTAAGCTTTCTCGTGCATTTTTCCACCAACAGCCTGCTCATGCGCTGCATGAGCCATCCTGGTCTTTGGACCGGGTGCTCTCTTTTCTCTCGTCTCGGTTTCTTCTAGCCCCTTCGGTCCAAGATTGTTTATTAGAATGCTTTGTTTTTGTTGGCTTTGGCCTCTGGGGGTTGGGTCGTTGAACTTCATGCTCTCCTCCGACATGGGTTTCTGCTCTTTCAGGCCTGGTGGCTGTTTTATTTATTTGCAGCTGTGTCCTCCTTTTCTGGCACAGAATGAAACAGCTGGCTTCCCGGAGGAGTCCGTGGGTTATCGATGGTTGGTTGGTCAGGCCGGGGGTACATTATGTGTTGTGTCTGGTGGGGGTACCGGTACTTCTGTGGATGTGCTTTGGGTGGACCCTGTTTCCCTTGTTCCCTGTTCCAGGGCTCGGGTCTGCTCTCAGGTTGTCCGCAGAGTTATTAAGTCGAGCCAGCCTGCAGTCTACCCTCGTGCCCATGATGTTCGAAAGTTTGCAGCTCTCGCTGCAGTCTTTGGTAACATGTCTTGGGTTGACATTTGGGCACGGGGGTTTTGGTGTTCGGACAGGGTCCTGACCACCTGTTATTTGGTTAATGTTCCGGGTCCTCAGTGACCCTGTATGGCTTTGGGGCACCTGTCGCAGCCAGCTGTCTCGTCTCCGTCCTGAGGGACGTGGTGTGATTGCTTCCCATGGGTAAGTCCCTGTTTTACTTATATGTGGGTACCAAGCTTCAGGGAGCCAATGGGGCTCCCAACAGAAAACTAGTGTTGAATGTAATAAAACGTCATTTTCCGGGTGAGCCCCGGAAGCTCCCTGACACACACCCTCCCTTCGGTCGGTGGTTTTTCCTTTCGTTTGCTCCGTCTCCGAACTGGGGGTGAGCAGGGCCCCCCCCTCTCCCCGCCTCGAAAATAGTGTTTCATTACATTTAACGCTAGGTTTTTACAGGACTGACATTGACCGAACCACTTTGGAACTGGACAGTAGAACACTGGTCTCACTTCTTTTAAGTTGGAGTTCATTCCATGACTGTGCAAGTAGTTGAGCACTGTTCCTTTCCTCAGTCCTATCCCAAGTCTTTATCCTCATATTCCTTCCAAGTTCTATATAGTCATAAAAGTTGAGCACTCTGATAATAACTTTAGCACTCTCTGATAATAACCTTGGATCAGTATCATTCTACAGGACAGGTTGAACCAGTGTCAGCTGAATGCAAGAGATTAGGAAATCGACACAATCTTTTTTTATCATTGTTTATTAATTTTCTCAGGGGAGAACCAGGTCCAGGCACGTCTTGGTCAGGTGACGACTCCAGAGTCAACGCTGCTCCTGTGTGTGAGTTATAGAACTCAGATCACCCTTGCACCACCCAATCGCAGTCCAGCGCATGATACTATTATGCTCAAAAGCGATCACTTCAAGCCGGAAGTCTCGCCACGCCACTGCCGCCGCGGTGCTGACAGGTGGGTAGTGTTGGTTGTGTATAAGGTAATGTGTGGTGCTGACAGGTGGGTGATGATAATATACAGGGCAGGGTGTGATACTGACAGGTAAGTGATGGTGGTCAGGTACAGGGCAGTGTATGGTGCTGACAGGTGGGGTCAGCACCATACACCATACTTACCACTTCATGGTAAGCCTGTTTTATCCATTCCCTCAGAAAAGTCTTTCTTGGCTATGTATAGTTTCCATGGCTTCTTTTGAAAAGAGGTTTTGCAGTCTAGGTCAGAGGTGGTTGTGGTGGCTAAACCCGAGACTCATATGTGCTGCAGAGGAAATGAGAGCAGTGAGGCCACGCAGGCGTCGGATGACAGCCAGGATGCTGCCCGTCTCTTTACTGCATCTCCTCTTGATCAACCGTCCACACCTCGTTCCAGAACTAGCAGGTACTTAGTTTTGTTTTGCTTCATACATTGTTCCAGAGCAGGCAGTCCAGGTAACGGAGTGCCATATTATTGCAGATATTTCCTGAGCCAGTAGTTGTAGGTTTCCAAGTATCATTCTGTTAAAAACAGTTGTTCCTTTAAGTACTGTATCATAATGTTGTAGAACCTGCAATTATAGGTCCAAAACTACTGTAGAATGATTACAAATTATTCTAGAATCAGCATCTAATAAGGAATTCACATGTTTTGTTAACAGCTACTTGTGTTTAAACAAATTGTTGCCATTCTATCCCATTTGTGTTCACATTACATCATCATTGTTTACACGAATGATTACATTGTTTACAATATAATGTTTACATTGCATTACATTATCATCATTTCCCTCACATAATTTGAGAGGCCTGCATAATTATTGTATTCCATCTTTCTTCTGTCTTACATCACTTAAACCCTCAAGAAGTAGATATAATGGCATTGGAGATTTGCAGTCAGAACAATACCCTAACAATCATCACTGTATACAGTCCACCAGCAAGTTATATATGGTCTAAGCAGGAGCTTGATGACAAAAAGAGAGGGCCTTATAATGATCGTAAGAGAAATCATTGTAAAAGCAGATAAAGATAAATCACGATTGTTGATACTTGGTGACTTCAATTTAAAATTGATAAACTGGGAAGCCTATGAAGCAAAAACAAATTATATTTAGACTGGCCAATGCGCAAACCTATTCCTGGAATCCTTCATGTATCAATATGTAAAACAGCTCACACGAATGAGAGATGATGCTCCATCATTGCTGGATTTGGTATATACCAGGAAAGAAGAGGAGATATTTGACATTCAGTACCTTCTTTCTTTTGGTAAAAGTGACCATGTTCTGTTGGAAATTAAATATGCTTTGCGATATAATCTAGAAGAGAATGACGAAAGTGAAATAGTTGATAAACTTGATTTTAAGATAGGACACCATGGGGAACTTAGCAAATTCTTTAATAAATTTAATTGGAAAGACTTGTTGCTAGGCAAGGAAATTAATGAGATGTATGCCAAATTCTGTGAACTACATGTATATGATGAAGGTACACAAAAATATATATACCTGTACCAAGAGATACAGAACCAGAAAACAGGATTGGTTCAATAGAAATTGTGAAAGGGCCAGAGAGGAAAAGACAAGAAAATGGGTACATTATAGGAAGAGGCCTAACCCTCAAACATACCAGCACTACAAACAAACAAGAAACAAATATACAGCAGTGAGGAGAGAGGCAGATAGGAACTTTGAGAAAGGGGTAGCGGACAAATGTAAAACAGATCCAGGTCTTTTATGTAAATTCATTAAAAGCAAGCTGCATGTAAAGGATAACATACAGATATTGAGAATGGGGAACAGGTGCATCTGTTTATCCATCCATCCATCTATTCATCTATATATCCATTTATCCATCTGTGTCTATCCATCCATCCATCCATCTATCCATTTATCAATCCATCTACTCATCTATCCATCTATTTATCCCAATCCATCCTCCTGTTTAGATAGTGTTTTTTGTAATTCTGTGAACCATCATGCATAATAGACATAATGGACTGTTAGAGTGTAGAATTTGGTACTATTCACTTGTACATGATTTTTATTCCCCCAAAAAATAAAAATGAAGCTAAAACTAAATGTAATTATTGCTAGGCCTAGTATAGTACATATATGTACTATATTTGGCCTCAGGTGGCATGTATTAGCCCTAGGAAGGATAGGTTAGGTTTTTTGCAACATCAGTACAAACACTTTTCCAGTTTGTCAAATTCAATAGCATCAATTTCTACTTTCTAACTGCCTTCTACATCAATATATGTACGATGGTCCTCATCATTACTATAAGTTCTTACTAAATAGAAGGATGGGCTGTTCCATCCATCTACCCATCTTCACACTCTCACATTTGTTAATTTTCTCAATATTAATGAATAATGATGTATACAGTACTATTACTATAAGAAAAACTTTTCTTTAAATGTTTGTTTTCAAAATATTTTCCTATGTAGCTGGCAGTCAGAGCAAAAAATTGTGGTTGGGGTGGGGGGGGGGGTTCTGAATGTGACCCCGGTACGCTGTTCCCTTTGAAGTTCTGGCAGTCCCAACCAGCCTATGTTCATCCTGTACCCCAGACCATTCCCTCTGTCTATTTGGGTGAGCCTAGCTCCAAACATCTGGCCTGCAACTTTGGGCAGATATTCTCTCTTATAGGTATAGTTATACAGTATATTGTAATATATATTACAGGGGTACCTCAGTTTAAGAGTTTAATCCGTTCCAGGAGACAGCTCGTAATCCAAAAACTCATAAACCGAAGCTAATTTCCCTATAAGAAATAATGGGAAATGAATTAATCCGTTCCTGACTACCCAAAAACCTGACTTCAAACTAAATTTTAAACCTAATTCGTCTAAATCTACACTACAAAAGTATGTTCAAGTTATTACTTACCCTTTCTGATGACTGCTGTTGGTGTATGGAAGATGGTGAGGAGGAGGGAGGAGGAGAGGTGTTACTGTTTGGAAGGGGAGTCCCCTTCCATTATAACATCAGGCAGTGAGGACTTCACTGGTGTGCACTCTCTGGCATGTTTTGCCTGCATGCCATTAGTACCTGCTCGTGGCTCACTGCTTGCTTGTCTTACTAAGAATCTGTCTAAAGACACTTGTTTTTCGCTACATTTTAACACTTGTCTGTAGTAAGACATCACATTGTCATTTAAAAGGTCAATGCAACGGCCTGCTACAGCTTTATCTGGGCGAGTTTTTTCAACAAAACTTTGCAGTTCTTCCCATACTTCACACATTTTCTTAATGAAGAAGGGACATCCTCTACTGCCTGTACTCACAACTATTTTCTTAGGTTGAACCTTACCATTGGCTTTCTTGGGACCCATGGCGAGATATATATAATAACAACTTTTATGCTCAAATGGCCAAAAATCTGGCAAAAAAACTGTAAATCCTTGTCAAAAATTCAGGCAGGATAGTCACTGGGCACGAGGTACTGGTAAACTGAGGCGCGATCGCTGTGCCACCACACGCTAGTCGGCCTGTACGCGTATCAACACCCTCGTCTTCCGAGGCAACGCTCGTATTCCGATGTAAATTTTCTGAGCAAATCCTGCTCGTATTCCGAATAACTCGTATACAGGGACACTCGTATTCCGAGGTACCATTGTATTTCTAAAAATTCAGAATGGGAAAGTGCAGCAAAATGCAGAAATGGCAAATGTTTGTCACATGTCTAAGCTACAGTATTTACAGATTGCCTTGTTTTGACAGAAGTTGTAGGTCCAGAAAGCTGTGTGCATTTTTGGGCTGAGTATGTAACCTCATAAAATTTTACATTTTGTGTACATTTTCTTTGAAATAATCTTACATGAACAGAATAATTAATCTTTGGTGGTATTGGATATGAAAGAATACTTCTAAATTTATTATATTCATGCATGTACATTTCCTGGTGTGTAAACTTATGTAGTATGTAAAACTGAAACTTGAGTGGCACTGGGCATGGAAGATTACTTTTTGCATAAATACATTACAGTGACAGCAGCTGCCGAGGGTACATGCAGCAGCAGCAGCAGCAGCCGCCACCAGAGCGGAAAGTGTCAGTAGCCTTTGTTGATGCCAAGCCACCAAAGCCGGATGACTTTTTCCTGCCGGATATACCATTTTTTAACCTTCTTACCTCCACCATTGAAGTGCAGCATGAGAAGAAGGTAGAGAAGTATGATGGGGCAGCTAATATACAGTCAAATGCAGCTCAGGAAAAGAATGCTCAGGTGAGGATGCTGTTTCCTCATTTAATATCACAAGATACAGTATTTCAAAGTACAGTACTGTACTGTATCATAAAAGTAAGGTCATGCCCTTTTATTAAACGCTTATGCTAAAAATTTAGTTTTTCATTATAATAATGATTTTTCTGTGGCTCCCTCCTCTGGCTCCCCGGAGCTATATATGATGTGTGTGTATATTAGACCGTGGCAACAGTCAATCGATGGAGTTCTTATCCTACTGGGGACCATGAGCCAGAATCTAGCTCCTCAGAGAGGCACGAGGAGCAATGGCCTATAGACACCTCCCCCCCCCCCATGTGGTTGGAAGCAGTCTGTGTCTGCCATCTGCCAGGTCAGGCATCCAGAAAGGTAGGAATCTCAAAATAAACTACAGTGGGTTAAACATTGCAAACCGAAAGCCGAACAAGCAAGCAGAACTCCCCAATCAGAAAACAAGCAAAGAAGCATGACGTCACCACAGTGGCCGTGCCACCGTCTGTGCAACTTCCCCCTCCCTGGGAGTGGGAAGGGGGGAGGGTCCCAGATCTCCAGTGCTGGTTATCCAACCTCAGTTCTGAGGCTGTTGTGTTGAGTGGCAGTCGATGGACTCTAGCTCCAATCTTCGAGCAATGCTGTGCCTTGTGGTGGTGTGCGAGCCAGGTGTTATTCCTGAAGTACTGGGGCTGCATGCACCAAGAATCACCTTCCCTAGGTGCCCTGTAAGTACTGCCCTTACAGTTTGGGGTTACCTTTGCTTGCCCTTGCAGTTTTGAGGTCTGGAACCCCCCTCCTCAGGAGGGAGGAGTTGCGCAGAAAACAGCGCGGCGGCTGTGGTGACATCATGCTTGTTTGCTTGTTTTCTGATTGGGGAGTTTTGCTTGCTCGTTTGGCTCTTGGTTTGCAATGTTTAACCCGCTGTAGTTTGTTTTGGGATTCCTACCTTTCTGGGTGCCTGACCTGGTAGATGGCAGACATAGACTGCTTCAACTACATGGGGGTGTCTATAGGCCATTGCTCCTCATGCCTCTCTGAGAGGGCCAGGTTCTGGCTGATGGTCCACGGTAGGCTAAGAACTCCATTGACTGACTGTTGCCACGGTCTGATATATTCACATCACCCCGGTATAGCTCCGGGAAGCTTCCGGGTCTTACCCAGAAAATGGCATTTCATTATATTCAACGCTGGTTTTTTGGAGTCCTTCAGTAGCTCCACGATGATACAATCTGGAGTCCATCCACTCTTTGGTAGACACACCAGGCCTCTGATGAAACATAAGTAAAAATACTGGAAACCATGACTAACCATAGTCAAATTAGAAAGTTCAATAGCTAAATATGTTTATTAACTTTCAGGAGAGAGTAGGGCCAGTGAGTGGGGCGACAACTGGTACAACTCAACATGAAGGCGGGGAGAAAGCCATCATGACAACCTCGGACGGTTCTCATAAGTCCAACACCTCTGCACATCTCAAGGAGGAGGCTGATTTTGTCATGGTTGAATTGGTATGCTTCTATTATCTGTTGTTCAATATATTTTTTCTCCATTCTACTCTCAAGATTTCAGTTCTGTATTACATATTTCCTATATGTATTCCTTTTCTTGCTATCTTTAATGATTAGGTTCTATAGCAAAACTGTGAGAGCATCTGTATCTTATCTTGCAGTTTTATAGGGTAGCAATACCCAAGGCAGGAAGAATTAAGAGAAGCTATTTCAATGGCTTTTACCAATTGCATTCCTGAGTGATACAAAGAAAATATTTTTTGTACAATTGTGAGGTTCCCAAACTTCTGGCCAAAGGACTGGTTTCAGTGGAATGGATCAAACAGGTATGGGTCTATGATCAGTTTTCTGTGGGGAGCCCCTACGGCTCCCTGGAGCTTATCGGGCTAATGTGTGTTATGTTAGACCGGGACATTAGCTAAGGAGTTCAGACCTACCAGGGACCAGCGCCAGAACCTGGCCCCTTCAGAGAGGTTTCAGGGAGCAATGGCCCTGGAAAACCCCATATGGTTGGGGGTTTTCCTTATCTGCCATCGACCGGGGTTAGGCACCCAGAAAGGTAGGCGTAACAAAACAAACCCCACATGGTAAGAAACTACAACAAAAACCGAACAGAGAGGTAGAAAACTCCCTACAATCCCAAGGAAACAAGCAAACAAGCAAACATCACACTTTACTGCCGCGCCGATCGTCCGCGCAGCCCTCCCCACCCCGGGAGGGGGAGGGGGGAGCCCCGGACCTACCGCGCCGGCTGCCAAGCTCTAGTTCGTTCGCTAATGTCAACCGGGATTGACGCTTCTCTGGCCTCAGTTTCCTAGGCGGTGTTTGCCTTGTGTGGCGTTCACTGCCGTGTGTTGTGGTGTGCGGTGGCCAGGAGTACTTCATCAGTGCCGGGGCTGCATGTGCTTAGTGGCTGACTTCCCTAAGCGCCCTGTGAGTACTGCCCTTGCGTTACAGGGTTATCTTCCCTGGGGCGTTCGGGACCCATTCCCGTAGAGGTTCTTGCTGCTCGGCATTTGCCTCGCCCTTGGGGCCAGCTGGGGCTTGGGGCCCTTGTTTGGCCCTGGGTAGGGATTGGTATTGTGCTGGTTAGGGCGTCAAGGTGTTGCGCAGCCTGCCACCTAAGCGGCGGCCGGTTTCTGTTGCCTCTGGAGACGGTGTACTTTTGCGGGGTTTTTCTTTTGTTTTTCATTTTCTTGCCTGGTGGGGGTCTGCCTAAGGTGGTTATAGTTCCACTGGTAGTGTTTGGCGGCCCTCTGCTAGGCCCCCGTGCTTGTACACGTCTCGGGGGTTTTCAGTGCTATAATCTACCCTCTTGTTATGTTTGGGTTTCTTAACCGGTTAGCAACACCTTGCCCGGGCTTCCCGTAGTTGTTACCCTACGGGCCCTGGAAACCCCTGTCTGGGCTCGGGGGACCATTGAATGTGTCTTCCGGGTTCCAACCCGTCTTGTACGGGATCGTTGGTTGCTGTTCCCTTGTCTCCGGGTGACAGTCGCCATTTTTACCTCCGTCATGCTGCCTGTTGGGTCACTGACACCTTGACCCGGAGTCTTGCGAGTGATTCTCTGCTTGTTCTCCAGTACTCTCCTGATGTTATTACTGTTCAGAGTACAGGCGGCATCCGTGTTGCAAGCTAGGTTAGGTTGCTGCAACATGCTAGGTTGGTTTCCCACTCGAATGCCCCGTGGCCGCCCCGTTTGGTTAGGTGCTGCTCGCCCCTTTCTCTCCATGTTCCCGGCTCCGGACCGTCTGCGTGTTTCTGGGTCGGGGCGGGGTTCAGTTGCGGCAGAGACTCGGGCGGTTTTCGGGGGATGCCCCGTTCGGGTTGGGGACGGAGGTTTGAGCCTGTGCCTCCTGCCAAGGCTTCTGGGTCTTACCAGCGGCCCTTTCTTGTTGCCTTTCCCATGGGCTCTTGCTTTTCTTTAAGGGCGGAGGGCTTGGAGGCCGGCTCTGCCCCGGGGCCTCTGTTGTTGGTTCCCGGGGCTGTGGGGGATGCCTACTAGCAGTTCTGGGGCGGTTTTGCCCCTTCAGGGGTTTTTCTGCTGTTGGGCGTCGTTTTTCGCCCTTCCAGTCTGCTAGCTTCCCACATTTGCTGGCGTGTTTTTGTGTATTAAGCGTCAGTCACAGCCCCTGCTGGCGGCCATTTTCGTCTGTCGGTTTCCCGGCGTGGCCACCAGGGCAGCGTTGCGGTTTGTTTACATGCGTCTGGGTGTGCGAGCGAGCGTCTCTGGTGAGTTTTCAAAAAATTTGCAGGGTTTTTGTTCTCCTGTTGTCGTTTCTTTGTTTTCTGGTGTTTTCTTGCCGTTGCCTGTTCCTCTGGGAACGTTTGGGTGTTGATTTTGGGTCTGAGCCTCTGGGTTTAGGCTCAGTGCCCCTGGCTGGTATGCTTGCTCCCACACCTTGCCCCTCGGTTTTCGGTCTGTTGGGACCGTTTTCCCAGGGCGTTCTGCTGGGGTCTGTGCTTTGCCTTTTAGTGGTGTTCTCCGCCGGCAAATGTGGTGGTTTGGGCTCCCCCTGGTTCGATTCTGGGTTCCTTTGGGTTCCTTGGTTTCGTTCTGGAGGTTTCTTCCTCTTGGGCCCCCTTTTGTGGGTTCAGGGGACTTTGTTTCCTCGAGTGACCCGGTTCTGCCTTTTGGGGTTCCGGGGTCTTCCTGGCTTGCAGACTGAGCTTTTTGGGTCTTGGCCCATGTTGTGGTTGTGCTGGGACTTTGTGGTTTTGCTGTCGAGGTGGGCCTTTTGATGCAGTTTTGTGCCTTCTTTGCCTGGCCGGCGTAGTGCTCTTTGCCACTAGTCGGCGGCTTGTGCTTTTACAATATATGTCCTCACCTAGTTGTGCTTGTGGGGGTTGAGCTCTGGCTCCTTGGTCCTGCCTCTCAACCGTCTGTCAACAGGTGTATCGGTTCCTGTGCCTCTTGGGCTCTGTCATGTCTACATGTGACATTGTATGGGGGTCAGCCTCGTTACTTGTGTGAGGAGTCGCCACATTACTTCTTAGTGCTTTCCCGTTCCCATTCTGACACTCAAAAAAAAAAAAAAAAAAAAAACTCTATCTGTGGCTCTTTTGGGTACTCAGTTTCCACCTGTGTCCCCTAGTGCGTGTGCCCCTTGTGTTACATATCCTGTCCTTCTCAACCCTGTCGATTCCCTTGGGTATCTTGTATGTGGTGATCAGGTCTCCCCTCACTTCCTCTTCCAGCGAAGTGTGGTTTCATTCCCGTAGTCTCTCCTCATGACTTCGGTAGTGTACTTTTTCTTTCTGAAGGGGTTCTGTTCCCTTCTCTGTTGACTGGGCGCTGGGGGAGCAGCTTGCTCTGTTGCCTCTCGCTTGGTCCCGCTGTTGGTGGGCGCTTTGGGTTGTCTTCCGGCCTCTGCTGGCGTCGGAGGACGGCTTCTCCCCCTTGGGGGGGGTTCAGAGCTGGCGGGGTGGGCTTCTTCCCTGCGCTTCGTCATTTCCTCTTCGTGGGTGCGTGGGGCGTGGTCGATCCGCCCCATCCTTCTGGGCTTCCCGTCTGCTCTTTGCAGTCATGAGTTTTTCCCGTCTGCTCTTTGCAGTCATGAGCTTTTCCAGTCTGCAGTTCTTCTGGACTACTTCCGTCTGCGCCCTGGATCCTCTGCCCTGCTCGGAGGACTGTTGTCTCCTGTTCGGATTCTGTTAGGGCCGGGTGCATGGATGGTGGACCTGGACCTCCAGGTCACTTCTTGGCACGTTCCTCTCCAGTTTTTCTGGGGCTAGCACGGTTGGTAATTACCTATGTGTACTTACCTAAGTGTAGTTACAGGATGAGAGCTACTCTCGTGGTGTCCCGTCTTCCCAGCACTCTTTGTCATATAATGCTTTGATTATAATTGTCATATTGTCATATAATGATTGTCATATGTCATAATATGTCTTCATATGATTGTCATACAATGCTTTGGTGGTGGGGCTTTCAGGTTTGCTGTTTTTATTGCATTCCTTATTTTGTGAAGGGCACTTTGTATACTCTTTGCATCTTTACCGGATCTTAGTGCCCTGTCTGCGTCTGAGATTCGGTGTCTGGCCTACCTCGACGACTGGCTGGAGTGGGCTCCCAGTCAGTCCGCTTGTCTGCTCGCCAGGGGATGGTTCTTTCCAGATCGCTGGGTTTGGTTTCCTGGTGATCTGGAGGTTTTACCTTCTGTTTCCGTCCCGGGTTCGGACCTGGGCCTTGTTTCAGGCTCTTGGGCCCCTCATTGTCTTCCCTCCAGAAGTGTTACTGTGGCTGTGGTCCCGCCTTTGGCTGTTCAGGAGGGGGTCCCGGGTTGCTCAGCGGTTGCTTGGGCGGTTGTGCGGGAGTTTGCACTTCGGCGTGTTTGTCTGCCCGCGGAGTCGGGTTTGGCTCCGGCGTCGGTTGGTTCCTACGGAGACTCCACTTCCGCCTCTTGCATTCCTTGGGTTCCTCTGGGGATCTGGTGTTGGTGCTGCGTCACCAGCTTCCTCTTTGGGGTTTTCGGGGTTCCGTGCCTTGGCGGCTCCCCGAGCCTTCGCTCGATGTGTTCACGGACGGGTCGTCTCTCGGCTGGGGCTTTGTGACCAGTGCTCACCAGGTCGGCCGAGGTTGATGGAGTCTGTCTGTCCGTCGGGCTCACAGCCCGGTTCAGGTGTTCATGGCTGTCTGGTTTGCGCTTCGGAGGGTTTGGGTCACTAGGTACTCTACCATTCAGCTCTGTTTGGACTGTTCTCCGGTGGTTCTTGCCGGAACCACAGGGGGTTTGGTTAACCGTGTGGTTCGTGTCCGGGGTGTGTCCTGCGTCCTGGTGGACAGCTGTCTCGGTTCATTCCTCTTCGTGGGTTGGCCAGTCGTCGCCGATGCGTTTTGTTGGCTCTGTTGGGCTTATGGACTCATGGCCATGGACGTCTTCGGGTCGGCGTGGTCTAGGCGTCGCCCGTTTTGTGGCGCCCTTCCCACCTGCGAGGTCTTCACGGTGGAGGCTTTCGGCAGGCCTGGTCGAGGTGGGGGGTACCTGTACCTCTTCTCCCGGTCCAGCTGTTGCTTCGGGTTCTGGCTCAGTTGCAGCCCATTCCCACGAGAACAGTCCTTATGGTTCCACTGTGGCCGGCCCGGCCTTCTTTTCAGACGCTGCTTGATAGGTGTCCGTACCCGGGGCGTTTTTCCTGAGGCTTCGCCTCTTTCAGCAGGCCGAATCGGTCCTGTCCGTGACTGGTTCGGCCTTCTCTTTGGCTCTTCGCGTCTGGTATTTTGACGCAGGTATCGCCATCTCTATGGTGTTCAGGTGGCTTTGTTGACGGTGTCCCACCTGCGAGCTTCGTCTTGGAGACTGTATGACGTTTATTACGTTTTCTCGCGTTTTGTTTCCCCTCCGGCCTGCTCATGAGTCGCCTGAGCCATCCTGGTCCTTGTTCAGGGTGCCTTCTTCTCTTCCCCTCAGTTTGTGGTAGCCCCTTCGGTTTCAGTTTCCTCCTCTTTGGTACTGGTGGTAGCTTTATTGGTGTGCAGCCTTTCTCTGTCCTGGCGACGGTCGAGACGGCTGCTTTCCGGAGGGGTTCTTGGGGTTTTGGTACTTGTTTGGTTTGGCCGGGGGGTGCGTCCTGTGTTGTCCAGTTGTCCTTTTTGCTGTTGCCGGCGTGCCGTGCCTGGGGATGCGCTGTGGTTGATCCGGTTCCTTCGTTCCCTGTTTTCAGGGCTCGGGTCTCCCGGGTCGTCCGCAGTGTTTTCCTTCTTCCTGCGGTCTGTCTTTGCGCCCGTGCTGTTCAGACGTTTGCAGCAATTGCTGCTGTGTTGGTGACGTCTCGGGCTCATTTCGGGCGCAGGGAATTGTGGGTCGCACAGGTTTTTGGCCGCCCATCCATATGTGCGTCTGTTCTTGGGCGTTCTTGTTGCCTTGGGTCGCAGGTTTGCGACCGGTTGTCTTGGCTTTGCGTTGCAGAGTTTGTGGCGGCCGCCTCCCGGGTTAGCCCTTTCTTTTCCTTCTCTTTGGGTATGAAGCTCCAGGGAGCCGTAGGGGCTCCCCACAGAAAACCAGCGTTGAATGTAATGAAACGCCATTTTCTGGGTGAGCCCCGGAGGCTCCCTGGAAACCCTCCCTCCCACCGGTCGGCGGTTTTTTCGCGTTGGTTGAAGCTTAGCTTCCGAACTGGAGCTTGGCAGCCGGCGCGGTAGGTCCGGGGCTCCCCCCTCCCCCTCCCGGGGTGGGGAGGGCTGCGCGGACGATCGGCGCGGCAGTAAAGTGTGATGTTTGCTTGTTTGCTTGTTTCCTTGGGATTGTAGGGAGTTTTCTACCTCTCTGTTCGGTTTTTGTTGTAGTTTCTTACCATGTGGGGTTTGTTTTGTTACGCCTACCTTTCTGGGTGCCTAACCCCGGTCGATGGCAGATAAGGAAAACCCCCAACCATATGGGGTTTTCCAGGGCCATTGCTCCCTGAAACCTCTCTGAAGGGGCCAGGTTCTGGCGCTGGTCCCTGGTAGGTCTGAACTCCTTAGCTAATGTCCCGGTCTAACATAACATACATTAGCCCGATAAGCTCCAGGGAGCCTCCGGGGCTCACCCAGAAAATGGCGTTTCATTACATTCAACGCTGGTTTTTTTGTGAATGTTAGGCCTAAGAGTTTATCCCCACACTGTGGATTTAAACAACACAAAATTTGAAGTATGCAGGATTTTATCTTGGTCTATGTTTTGAAATGTGATGAAATCTTACTTTATGCAGGCTCATTACAGTCTCAAAGTAAACCATTCCACCTGTCTAGTGGCCTGACCTAACATTGTTAGTATAGTGATACACTTCATATGAATTCTGCTGTTTCTGGGCTGTGCACCCAGGTGGTGCAGGGAGTGTGTAGGGTTTTTCTTGGCACTGTGTACCCAGCTTTCCATGTTCTGCATGCCTGGCTTTTTCCTGGGATGTTTACCTGTGATTTACCTGTAGTTGGTTCTGATAGTTCTATTCCCTAAGTTCAATCTGGAGTCAGGTTTGCCTTGTGATAGCTTGATTTTAAAAGTTACTGCTTGGAGAGGCCCATAAGCTCATATAACCATTACAACCCAGCTGATCTGGCACTTCCTGTGGGAACTTGTCCAATTATCTCTTGAAAACTACCACTTGTGTTCCAGCAATATTTCTTATATTTGGTGGAAAGAGGTTGAAGAGCTGTGTGCCTTTAATATTCATACATGGTTCTCAAGTTGTGTCTATGGCACCTCTACTCTTTACTGGGTCTATTCTGTATTTCCTACCATATCTTTTGCTCCATTAAGTTATTTTGTTGTGCATATTTGGGACCTGACCTTCCTGTATCTTCAGTATGTACAGTATTATGTGATATCTCTCTCTCATTTCTCCTTTTCAGAGTACATTTTGTGGGCTTTGAGATTTCCAGTAATTTAGGTTCTCTATTGTGTGTGTGTGTGCTATATATGTTCTGTAAACTCCTTCTATATCAGAAATGTCTCCTGCTTTGAAAGGGGAGGGGAGTACCGAGTAGTACTCTAATCAAGGCAGGAAAGCACAAGTTATTGGAGAAGTAGGAACATTGTGATGCAATATCTTCAGTCTGGCATGATCACTTTAGCTTCTGTTCCATTTCTTCAATTTTCCTGCTTTGATTACTTTGTCTTAGGTTATTTATACCTGCTTGAGTATTTCTGTTGTTCTTTTCCTTCCTCTGAAGGAAAAGAAGGAAGGAATCTTGTGTTTGCCTTCTAAGTTGGTCCCCTTTTACGATCTTCCGCATTAATGTTTTTCAAGTACAGCACTGTATACTTTACATGCTTCACCAGTCAATTACACTATTGTTTTGGAGTTTTGGCACTTGGGACTGTTTTCCAATGGATATTTGCTAGTTGTATGTTCATTTTTTCCCATTCAACTTTCTTATTGTTGAAAATGTATTTACTGAACAATCCTTCCCCCTTACAAATATTTTCTGGATATATTACTATGTTGGTTTGGACTTCAATGAGTTTGTGATCTGATTATGAAGTACAGTATCTGAGATTGTAATGTCCCTAATTAGTTTTTCACTGTTCTTGAAGATCAAATCAAGATTATTTTTTGTTCCAGAGTTGGCTGTTGTTATCTGCTGGTTGAATTAGAAAAAGTTTAGAGTTTAAGAAGCTCTCTAGCCTGTGTTTGGTTATTTCCAGGTTAATTTCCTTTTATGATGTTATTGTTTGTTATTCTTAATACTAAATTAGGTATATTGAAGTCTCAAAGGAAGATAATTTCCATCACCCAGTTTTAAAGATTATCGAGACAATTCTTGATTTTACTTCTCTGTTCTGCGACTTCCTCAACAATTGCATCTGGAGGCTTCTTTCTCATTTCCCTTTTACCTAAGTTTTGCATACATTTTTGGTCATGTTACAGTCTTCAGGTCTAGTATTTTAAATATACTGAATACATTGAACAACCCCACTCATCTTAATCTCATGATGATTACCTGCATATCCTTACTAATGAATTGAAATTCCAGACTAGGCGAGAGTAACAGAATTTTGTTAAGTACTCTGACGTGGGTACAACAAACCACAAAGAATTGCAGTACATTCAGTTTTGCAAAAAAGTCTTCATCAATATTACCCCCATTTTCCACTAGATAGGATAGATAATTAGGAACAGATTTTGAGAGATTCATCATCATACTCTTCCCCCTATTCCCAACATAGATTTTCAAAATGTAAAAAAAAAAAAAAAAAACAGTGCCGGAACAACCGTGGACATCTTCAAGAGGAAACTAGATTTATTCCTCCTAGGAGTGCCGGACCAACCGGGCTGTGGTGGGTATGTGGGCCTGCGTGCCGCTCCAAGCAACAGCCTGGTGGACCAAACTCTCACAAGTCGCGCCTGGCCTCGGGCCGGGCTTGGGGAGTAGAACTCCCAGAACCCCATCAACCAGGTATCAACCAGATAGATACTGTATGTTAAAATATCAAAGGACATTTAATAATATGTAAACTTCCAAGAAAAAAATACAATTTTTTTATCTTTTTTTCTTTTCTTTTTCTAGAAAACTCCATTTGTGGGGACATATGACACTGGCAATGACCTGGGAGCTTTCTACCGGGAGTGCCAGAGTGCTCCTCCCCTCCGAATGTTTGCTGACACCCCTGAAGATGAAATTAGTGGTCTGACAGAGCAGCTCTTGACCTTTGAGGCCAATATGGATGAATATGATGAATTGGTGAAATCTCTTCATTCTGAGAATAGTCCAAACAGCCCAGACTAGACTATATGTGAACATTAAGTTAATCTTAAATGGGATTTGAGTGTAAATGGTCATGCCAATTAACTAAGTGCTATATTGTATTTTATTAAATAATCATACCTTTTCCAAGATGGCTTCTCTGTTGTTTGTGGCTAGTAATAGGACTTATTTGATTAAATTTTCTTAAAAAAAAAACCTGTAAATTTCAACATCACATATCTTAAATTTAGTGTTTTTAGATAATGACTCGCAGTATTTACCCTAATCACGGCAGGGTGTGCTTACTGTTACGTTTTGTTTATGCATTTTATAAAACTCGGCTCAAAATCCAACCAGAAGTTTGTCCATTGCAGTTGACCATTTTACTGGTTACTGCAAGGTAGTCCATATATTATGAGAGTATTCTAATGAAGGGGGCGTTAAATTTGTTTTATTTTGGTGGGAGAGCCCAGACATGGAGTGGCTGATGTTTCTTGTTCCTCTCGATGTGTATGTTGTATATATTTAGATATGCACTGGTATGTCTCCCATGTACATGGTAAAGTATACAATATAAATATTTTACATGTCTCGTGCAAACTTATTTATTTAAATATATGTATATACTTGCAAGATGAACACAGCACTGTTTATAATGCCTGAACACATGCATATAGCACAGACTAAGCTATGTATACATGCACACACATCTGTATGCAGTCACACCTTCACACTTATAAATAGACCCAAGTGCATTTACATGCATGTTTGTGTTATCATGTATGTGTGCATGCATTAATATATAGTCAAACATACACTCATCCATCAATATCCACCCAAACACATTCACATATAGTTCATTTATATTATCTGATGCACATGTTTCCCTGTACCCCAAAACACTCCTGATACTTTGTCAGATTCACAAATGCCCATATACTATACTCCAAAACACACCTGCTTCTTCCTATCAGCTGCACATGTGTCCCTATACTCCAAAACACACCTGCTTCTTCCTATCAGCTGCACATGTGTCCCTATACTCCAAAACACACCTGCTTCTTCCTATCAGCTGCACATGTGTCCCTATACTCCAAAACCCACCTGGTCCTTCATATGAGATGCACATGTCTCTATAAACCCAAAACACATCTACTCCTGAGTGCATAACCATGACCCAGCAATGCTCATATTTCACTAATATTTAAGATTTATCATTATGGCTTACTGCACACGAGTATGTAATAACGTTTTTTAATTTAAAGATTTTATGGTAACTCTGAACTGAATGGAAATGGGATAGTTTCAGACTTGACATGGAAAGTTTTGGGACTTATTACAGGAAGGTTTAGGACTTACTATAGAAAGGTTTGGAACTTATTACAGGAAAGTTTGGGACTTATGGGAAGGTTTGGGATTCATCCTGGGAAAGTTGTGGTTACTGTAAACAAAACTGGTACAGTAATCTTATTTACTCAGTATACTATTTGTGTTAATTGCAAAGGTTCTTAGTTTAAAAGCAAATAGCCAATGTTTTTTGACTGTAAGAAAGATAAATTTTGTGTTTTAATTATCTAATACTAATTATATAAGTCATTGTCTTTGATGAGAAAAATTAACTGTGTATGAAGCATGTAATTATACTGTTCAGTACATAATATAGGCCAAAGTAAGGGAAACAATGTAAAACCACTGTATTAGTACTGAGATGTTAAAACTTAATTCACAAGGAAGACAAGAGAATTATCAGGTGGCAACTCCAGCAAGAGAGCTATTAGACTGCTCCACCTGTGAGAGTGCCAAGATGTGGCGGCTCCCACAAGAAAATGAGCAGATAGCAGCTCCAGTGAGAGCTGTAAGAAGCAGCTACTCCAGTGAGTGTGTCGAGGGTTGGTGGCTCCAGTGAGAGCTGTAAGAAGCAGCTGCTTCAGTGAGGAGAGCCAAAGGGTGGTGCCTCCAATTTGTTTGCAATAAGTATTAATTAATAGATAGCCTGTAACCCATTAATTAAAAACAATTATTTTTTAGCTGGCAAAACTGTTAAATGAAGTCTTCAGCACATCACCTACATTTACTGGGATAGTGTGAAGACATATAAAACAAATTAATATTAGTGATTACTAAGGAACAGATGATATTATTTTGTAAACCATACATCAGTGTCAAATATTCTATAGGAACCAAGTGATTTCTTAATCTGCTTGTCCATTATTTTCCTAACAGGAAGAGTGTCTGCTTGTGTTGCAGCTAGCCTTAGCACGGGTCAGAAAGAGATAATAATTTGCAGACATGAAGATGATGGAGACTGCAAGTGAGACATTATTTGCTCTGTCAGACTGCTGTTTGAAGGTGGTGTTTAGTGAATTGTGATAAACAGCAGCAGAAAAAACTTACAATTAAGCATTGTAAAAGCAGTTGATTCTTTCATCTGTATGGAAAATTACCTTAGGATGATGCTTTTGGCAGTTGAGGGGGAGATTCCGCATGATCTGTTTGTCTCGCAATGATACTAGAAGTTTGCAACATGAGGTATGTTATTGGAAGAGCTTCCTAATAGCCTGTCCTCCCAGTGATACTTGTATTGTAAGCTATGTGTTCATTCATGTGGGTCCTCACTTCATCCTCAAATTCTGTCCCTCCATTTGTATTTTCGTTCTTGCATCATTGGCCAGTCATTTTGGATAGCTGCAACATTTGCCACATTGCTGTACTACTGTGATGCTTGCTTATATTTTTTTACTGCTATTAATAGGTCATATTTTGCTTTAACAGAGAACAATAGATGTTAGAAATAAATAGGTGGACAGCAGTCAGATTTTTTAGTAGTTTTATTGTAGGTACTTAAGGCCATCTTATCTATTGAATCAAGTGATTGTCACCTGATCCAAAGATTATTTGGAAACTGGTAACTCACTTCGCTCACTATTTAAAAAGAAACATCAGTTCTATTTACCTTAAGAGCTGTTAGTTTCATACAAAAAAAGGAGTTACCCCATGAGTTACCCTCATTTTACCCATAATTCATTTATATTATAATCAAATGGGCTATGCTTCCAAAAATCATAGTCTTCTTTAGCTGTCATCATGCCTGGTAACAATTGCCCAGGTTGGAATCTGGGTATTTTTATATTATGCTGCAAACCAGGCAGATGATAGAGAGGCAATTTGTCCATCTTTTCTTCTCTCCTGTGCCATTGAAGACTCATGCATTGTGGTATCAGATAGCATAATCTTATGTTGGTACCTTTTGGACTTTACATTATGTTAATGAAAAAATAAATATTAGTAATTATGCATAATTGGTATAGAGTCTTGTGCTAATGAGTGTATTGCTATTGTTGTGTTGCACTGGAAATATGTAAGACTGAGAAAATGACAATTATTCTTGAATTCCTTTATTTAGAATAATTGAGCTATTAATGTGAATCCTTTATCCAATTAAGTCCTTTAATTAAAAATATTAATGATTTTAATACTTTTCTTATTATCCAGTATAAAGGTAAATGTATATACAGAAAAAGATACTATGGTGAGTTTTATACAATGTAAAGGTCTTAAACAAGGCTTACACAATTTTTATCAAATACTTGGAAAATGTTATGCTTTATAATACTAGCAATAGTTATGTAATGCTTGCAAATACTGGATCAGGATAGTATTAAGTGGTGTGTTGAACTGTATTGTCTCAGCAAGTGTTCCTGCCATGCAGGAATATGACAAAGCTGTAGCTAATATGTCAAAAGCCAAGTAGATATAAGGTATGAGGTGCAAATATTAGATGAGGTCCAAAGAGAGAGCAAGTAAAACAAAATTTAAACACATTTCAGTGGAATAATGGGGCTTACTGTGCTTTCCAAATGGGTGTCCTCTCGGCATATTTAGGAGAGTTTTTGTTTAATCTCCAGGAGGACTGTTGTTGGTGTCAAGTCTCTCTCATATTTTTTTAAAAAGCAAAACTTCTCATCTCACTCATAAATACTTGACAAGCACAAAATAGGATGGTACATAAGATATACATACCACATGAACCACTGAAGTGTATTGTAAGACACAGATAGTGTAGAAATGATTGCATTAGAGATCCGAATTACAAGCAGAAAAATTTAGCAAATGTGTGACCCACACTTCTATAAAAATTATTAATAATTCATTGTCGGGGACAGGCAACCAGAGTGTGTTCAAACACATTAGGATTATATCGAAGTCAGCCCCCTCCCCCCCCCAAAGAAAAGTTGAATTACTGACCTCGTCCAAGACGCAACCCCCACAACAGCTGAATAATTCCTGAGTACCTTACTGCTAGGTGAACAGATGCATTAGGTAATAGGAAACGTGGCCAACTATTTCTGTACTGCCCGGGATTCAAACCTGGAATTGTCGACTGTGAGTCGAAAACGAACAACTGTACTACCGGAACCCAATACTACATTTTGTACAATATTGTCTTTCAATATGGGTGTAGAAACATCTTGTATATCTCAACACCAGTCTAGCAACACCTCATCTCTCAACACCAGTGTAGCAACACCTCATCTCTCAACACCAGTGTAGCAACACCTCATCTCTCAACACCAGTGTAGCAACACCTCATCTCTCAACACCAGTGTAGCAACACCTCATCTCTCAACACCAGCGTAGCAACACCTCATCTCTCAACACCAGTGTAGCAACACCAGTGTAGCAACACCCCATCTCTCAACACCAGTGTAGCAACACCTCATCTCTCAACACCAGTGTAGCAACACCTCATCTCTCAACACCAGTGTAGCAACACCCCATCTCTCAACACCAGCGTAGCAACACCTCATCTCTCAACACCAGTGTAGCAACACCTCATCTCTCAACACCAGTGTAGCAACACCTCATCTCTCAACACCAGTGTAGCAACACCCCATCTCTCAACACCAGTGTAGCAACACCTCATCTCTCAACACCAGTGTAGCAACACCTCATCTCTCAACACCAGTGTAGCAACACCTCATCTCTCAACACCAGTGTAGCAACACCTCATCTCTCAACACCAGTGTAGCAACACCTCATCTCTCAACACCAGTGTAGCAACACCTCATCTCTCAACACCAGTGTAGCAACACCTCATCTCTCAACACCAGTGTAGCAACACCTCATCTCTCAACACCAGTGTAGCAACACCTCATCTCTCAACACCAGTGTAGCAACACCTCATCTCTCAACACCAGTGTAGCAACACCTCATCTCTCAACACCAGTGTAGCAACACCTCATCTCTCAACACCAGTGTACACCTCATCTCTCAACACATCTCTCAACACCAGTGTAGCAACACCTCATCTCTCAACACCAGTGTAGCAACACCTCATCTCTCAACACCAGTGTAGCAACACCTCATCTCTCAACACCAGTGTAGCAACACCTCATCTCTCAACACCAGTGTAGCAACACCTCATCTCTCAACACCAGTGTAGCAACACCTCATCTCTCAACACCAGTGTAGCAACACCTCATCTCTCAACACCAGCAACACCTCATCTCTGTAGCAACACCTCATCTCTCAACACCAGTGTAGCAACACCTCATCTCTCAACACCAGTGTAGCAACACCTCATCTCTCAACACCAGTGTAGCAACACCTCATCTCTCAACACCAGTGTAGCAACACCTCATCTCTCAACACCAGTGTAGCAACACCTCATCTCTCAACACCAGTGTAGCAACACCTCATCTCTCAACACCAGTGTAGCAACACCTCATCTCTCAACACCAGTGTAGCAACACCTCATCTCTCAACACCAGTGTAGCAACACCTCATCTCTCAACACCAGTGTAGCAACACCTCATCTCTCAACACCAGTGTAGCAACACCTCATCTCTCAACACCAGTGTAGCAACACCTCATCTCTCAACACCAGTGTAGCAACACCTCATCTCTCAACACCAGTGTAGCAACACCTCATCTCTCAACACCAGTGTAGCAACACCTCATCTCTCAACACCAGTGTAGCAACACCTCATCTCTCAACACCAGTGTAGCAACACCTCATCTTAACATCGTGTAAAATGTCATTCATTCATAAATGGGGGTTGGCGGTTGCACGGAATGGACTTTGACCCGTCCTCATATGAAGAATAATAAAGAATAAGAATAAAGAATGTAAGAATAAAGTAAAACATACTAAAGAACTATGTACGAATAAAGTAAACGTGATGATAATCTTTATTTATTTATCTCTAGAACAAGAACAAGAGTTCTTACATTCTTGTACAGCCACTAGCATGCATTGCATTTTAGGCAAGGCCTTAATCCTATGTTCCCAGGAAAACGACCCTTAATAATTTTACTGTTTGGTTAAACAGAGGCTACAGTTAAGGATTTGCACCCAGTCAATCCTCCCCGGCCCAGGATACGAACCCATGACAAAGCGCTCGCGGAAAGCCAGGCGAGTGTCTTACCACTACACCACGGGGACTGCTAAATCTTATATTTTTATATTATAGAAAATTTCAACATATCACCTCAAGAACAACAATCAAGAAATGGTAGTGATAGAGGGAATTTTCACGGGAAACCGCCAAGCCATTACAGGTGTATAGCAACGGGATCAGAATTAATTGAAAGAAATCAGAATAAGGATTTGGGATGGGCTGGGGGGGGAGGGGGGAGGAATGGTACCCAACCACTTGGACGGTCGGGGATTGAACGCCAACCTGCATGAAGCGAGACCGTCGCTCTACCGTCCAGCCCAAGTGGTTGGGGAGGGAGTTATAGAGTAAACTGTAACTTTAGCTTTGTCCCTACTGAGAAACTGATACGGCTGAATGCTGCATTATTTCAAGTGCATTTATATAAATGTTTTCAATATTTTTTGAAACAAAAACTTGTTAACTTAATTTCTAACGGCAATAATTAGATTGCATCTTGGCTGAAACCCTATGCGTATTTCTTTTTATTTCTATGTACAAAATTAATATAAAGTTTATGAACCATAGAAAACGTAAAAGTTGCCCCGGGAGACTAACCGCGCTCCTCAGATCCGTCAAAATAAAGAGTTGCCACGAGAGCTTAAAGCCCCAAAGGCATTATCATAAAGAAGATATTCCAGAGAAGGAGTTTGTAAGAAAACTGGAGGTGAGGCGAGCCAGTAGATGCTGCAGGAAAAATGGCACTTCGGTCACGACGAACTGAGTGAGGAAATCAGGCAAAATTATTCCGACTGACTTACCAAACCCACCACGACCCAAGACCTAATTTGGAATGTTGCGTGGGAAGCAGTGAGTAACTTGGTTCTTGCCAGGCTGTCAAGTGAAGGGTAAGGTCTTACTTCTGGGGCTACAACTTCCATCTTGTCAGGCTGTCAAGTGAAGGCTAAGGTCTTTCCTCAGGGGCTACAACTTTCATCCTGTCAGGCTGTCAAGTGAAGGCTAAGGTCTTTCCTCTGGGGCTACAACTTTCATCCTGTCAGGCTGTCAAGTGAAGGGTAAGGTCTTGCCTCTGGAGCTACAACTTTCATCCTGTCAGTCTGTCAAGTGAAGGGTAAGGTCTTACTTCTGGGGCTACAACTTTCATCTCGTCAGGCTGTCAAGTCTGGTCTTACTTGTCTTACTACTTGTCTAAGGTCTTACTTCTGGGGCTACAACTTCCATCCTGTCAGGCTGTCAAATGAAGGCTAAGGTCTTGCCTCTGGGGCTACAACTTTCATCCTGTCAGTCTGTTAAGTGAAGGGTAAGGTCTTACTTCTGGGGCTACAACTTTCATCTTGTCAGGCTGTCAAGTCTGGTCTTACTTGTCTTACTACTTGTCTAAGGTCTTACTTCTGGGGCTTCAACTTCCATCCTGTCCGGATGTCAAGTGATGGGTAAGATCCTACTTCTGGGGCTACAACTTTTATTCTGTCAGGCTGTCAAGTGATGGGTAAGGTCTTACCTTTATGACTTAACAACTATCTATCCATCCATCAATAAATGGATATATATATATATATATATATATATATATATATATATATATATATATATATATATATACATATATATATATATATATATATATATATATATATATATATATATATATATATATATATATATATATATATATATATATATATATATATATATATATGTACACTTGTAGTCTCACATACAACCAAAGTGTACTTAAGCTCTGCCTTTCCTTTCCAAAGGTGTTTATTTTTATTTTTATTTTTTTATTTTTTTTTTTGTTTGTCATCTTTGCCTGTTTTATACTCTTAATTATTTGTTCTTAGTTAATCCCCTTGTCACTAAACCTAGGGCTTTTTATTACCCTGTTAATTAACCATTACTAAGCTAATTATCTTCAAGATCATTTTTTTATGATTATCATTTTTCTTATTATTTTTTATTTTACATTAATATTGTCAGTCTCTACTGATTTTTTGTTTTTTTTATTTTATGTAACTTCTGTGTCCTCCCTGGCTAACTATTGGATCTTTATTTTACTTCTAAATTGTTACTATTTTATTGTATTTGCTTTTATTCTTGTGTTTTGCTTTATCGTGTATCTTATATCGTGATCCCTCTGCATCTCTATGCTCACTGATATTGATCCTGATCAAAATCTTCTGTCTCATATCTACACCAACCAGCACATTGATCATCATTATTGCAAGTATTTCACAGCACACCAGGCTAAAAACAAACTTCAAAATAGCACCTGTCTATCAGTTTATAACCAAAATGTTAGATCACTTGGTAAACATTTTGACGATTTAAATGCATTACTCACAGCAATAGGTACTAACCTATCGTTCATTATTTTAACAGAAACTTGGCTAAATAAAGACTATACCCAACTCTACAACTTAGCTGGTTATAAAGCCATTCATAACTGTAGGCCTAATAAAAAAGGTGGTGGCACAGCTATATATTACCGAGATACATTTATCTGCAACAGTGTTATTAGTGACAGAGATGACTACTGTGAATATACTTTTGCTCAGTTTTCAATTAAATCCCTTAAATCTTCTTTGACTATTGGAGCCATCTATAGATTTCCCAATACTAACATAGCTTCTTTCTCAGACAACCTAAGGAATCTTATTATAAACAACAATCTCAACAAAAACCACTTCATTCTGGGAGGAGATTTTAATATTGACCTGGGTCAACAAAATTGCTCTCAAGTTGACTATTTCCTTAACAGCATGAACTCCTGTATGCTAATCCCCACAATCACCAAACCTACCCGAGTCACTCAAACATCAGCCACTACCTTGGACCACATATGGACAAACATAACAGCTCCCCTTGTATCTGGTATAATCTACGACAGAACAACTGACCACTATCCTACCTTTCTCATAGCGAACATGGACATAACACCACCAAAAAGCAAGAAACTTTCATTTAGGCTACACAGTGAATCAGCTTTAGACAATCTTACAGAGGCACTTTACAATATTAACTGGGATTCTGAATTCAATAATACCCATGATATAAATTCATTAGCTAACCTCTTCATCTCCAAAACTCTAAGCCTCTACAACATTCATTGTCCCCTTCTTACCAAGCAAGTAACTGACAAAAGATTAAACAATCCATGGCTCACAAGTGGCATTCTCAACTCAATCAACAAGAAACATGAATATGAAAGAAAGTTAGGATTGGCCTAGTTTCAAAGGAAGTAGCTAAAAGGTACTCATCAATGCTTACCAGTATCATAAGAAAGGCAAAACTTGCATATTATGTCAATAGATTCAATGAAGCAAAAGGCAACATGAAAAGCACTTGGAAAACTATCTCTAGTATCCTAGGAACTAAACAACACTCACATAACCAAATAAAACTCTACAAGGATGGGGGTATACCGTCAACTGACTTAGAAATGGCAAATGAATTTAATAGTTTCTTTTCATCGGTTGGTGCTAATCTTGCCAGTAAAATCCCACAGACTCAGACACATATTAACACATATCTCTCAGGCAGCTATCCAAACTCTCTTCTCCTTTCACCAATCAGCCCGGCAGATGTTGTGTCCATCATACATTCTCTAAAAACCAAGGCAGGGAACACCAGTGAAATTCCGTCCATTGTGTACAAGAGAGCCTCCCATGCCCTTTCCTCACCCATAGCACTACTGTTCAACAAATCTATAGAGTATCACACATTCCCTGATATCCTCAAAAAAGCAAGAGTAACGCCAGTCCATAAAGGAGGCAATCCGGCGGACATAAACAATTATAGACCAATATCAAATCTACCCATTCTATCAAAAATATTTGAAAAAATTATTTACAAACAGCTCTATTCCTACCTCGTAAAATTCGACATACTCAGCCCCTGCCAGTTTGGCTTCCGGTCCCAAAAGAGCACCAATGATGCAATCATTAGTCTCCTTGACATTATCTACTCAGCCCTTGACAAAAATGAGTTTCCGATTGGACTCTTCATTGACCTAAGAAAAGCCTTTGATACTGTTAATCACAACTACCTCTTACTTAAACTCCAGCATTATGGAATCCGAGGCCTTGCCCTTGACTACATCCGATCCTATCTTAGTGACAGACACCAATATGTAACCATCAATGATACAACTTCTTCCACTCTACCAATTACCGTTGGAGTGCCACAGGGCAGCATCTTAGGACCTCTTCTATTTCTTATATATATAAACGATCTGCCTAATGTCTCTAATATTCTCAAACCTATATTGTTTGCTGACGATACTACCCTTATCTACTCAAACCTCAACCCACATACACTAAATAATGTTGTGAATAATGAATTAAAAAAAGTCCACTTATGGATGTCAACGAACAAACTAACATTAAACATCGAAAAGACTTACTACATCTTATTTGGAAGCAAATCATCAAATGCAATTCAGCTACAGATAGACAACATTAACATCAGTAATAAAAATGATGGCAAGTTTCTTGGCCTATTCCTAGACAAGCGACTCAACTTCAGCACCCACATTCAACACATAACTAAGAAAGTCTCTAAGACAGTTGGTATACTCTCCAAAATCAGATATTATGTTCCTAACTCTGCTCTCCTCTCACTATATTATGCACTAATCTACCCCTATCTTAATTATGGTATCTGTGCATGGGGGTCTACCACTGCAAACCACCTTAAGCCCATCATCACACAGCAAAAATCTGCTATCAGAATAATAACTAACTCTGCTTTCAGACAACACTCAGCTCCCTTGTTTAAATCCCTAAACTTGCTAAATATTAACTCCCTCCACACATTCTCTTGTGTCAACTACATTTACAAAACCCTGTTCTTAAATGCAAACCATGCTCTGAAACTCTCCCTGGACAGATGTAATAGGACCCATTATCACCACACCAGAAATAAATATCTCTTTGATATCCCCAGGGTCAAACTTAATCTGTGTAAACACTCTATGCAAATTAAGGGACCTAGTCTATGGAACTCACTCCCTAGTGAATTGAAAAACTGTAAAACTTTTGCCTTATTTAAAAGCAAAACCAAAAAGTACCTAACTTCATCTATTTAGTTTCCTACACTGAGCTTTAAATTTGCTCTGTACCTAGTGTTACCCAATCTCCTAATTTTTATGTAATATCAAACAACCTTATAATTGTGTTCATTGCTGTCTTCTTTTATGTGCTAGCCATATGCTGTATTGTGACTACCAATTTTTGTCAACTACCATCCAAGCTGTCATTGCAATCAATCTTATATTGTTTCTGCTGTATTGTGCCTACCAATTTGTTGTCAACTACCATTTTAAGCTCTCATTGCAATCAATCATAGATCATTTTTTTGTCTATAAATTTTGCAAGTATTTACTTCCTTAAAATTTTCTTAGATTAAGGACCTGCCCGAAACGCTGCGCGTGCTAGTGGCTTTACAAGACTGTAATTACCATATTTGTATCCTCACATTCCTTATGTACATTCTTGTATATGCATAAATAAATATATATATATATATATATATATATATATATATATATATATATATATATATATATATATATATATATATATATATATATATATATACATACATACATACATACATACATACATACATACATACATACATACATACATACATACATACATACATACATACATACATACATACACCAATACATACACCAATACATGTGAGTTGCAGGAAGCAACAATATTGAGATAAATGTGTATTAACGATCTTACTCAAATAATTTTTTAATATACCTGTATCAATTAAAAATAGATTCAAATTTTACAAACAATTTGAACTCATTTTTGTATTATGTGGCTTTGTAATTTGTATTAAAGCAGATTCAACAATGTTTCTGTTGAAAATGATTTTTATAATTATTGAAGAAGACCTCCCAATCAATTTGGTGTGAATTTTCTAACAAATGAATAAATAGGGCATTAAATAATTGTCCGTTTTTGCTTGCAGAATATTTATGATGTTAAATTCAAAATTTCAAACCTTTGGATGTTTGAAATGTATTAATGTTCTATATGGGAATGTATTGCATTGTAATACATATATATTGTATTACATTGTAGTTACAGTACAATGTAATATAATGTAATAACAATGTAATACATACAATTACAATGTACATATGTAAAATGTACTGTACGTATGTAATTACATATGTACAATGTAGCGTATATGTGTAATTATATACGTACATGACAGCACGTATGTAATCCATGGTTGTATCACTACTGTATCGTTTGCTACTGGAGTCCTGTCATATTTCAAGAATGGCTCGCTTAAAATATATTTTCAGGGCTGCCTAGTCTGCCTCTCCCTAAGGAATCGGTGTTCTTTTTCTTATCATGTACAAATTTGGGAAGAATATACAGTATTGTATATGTTATCATTAAATCAGGGCCAATAAATCATATATGTTACAAGTTATGCAACACATACAGTATGCTCATTTCTCTTCAAAGTCTCCCTTTTATCACCAACACTCGTCGCACCACATAATCTGCCTTCTTTGTTGCTGACACATGTCTCAGTTGTGTTCTGTTCTCTCCTATCACAATCCTTACATTCACTTTTCTCACTACATTTTGTAATGTAATAATAATAATAATAATAATGGTAATTCATTGTGTTGAGGGATAGGAAACCAGAGTGTATTCATAGACATTTGGCTTTTATCGAAGGGTTCCCCCCCCCCCCTCCAAGGCTGAATTACTGACCCCCACCCAGGATGCAACCCCACAACAAGCTGACTAACTCCTGAGTACGTACTCACTGCTAGGTGAACAGAGGCATTAGGTGAAATGAAATGTGCCCAACCATTTCTCTCCCGCCCGGGATTCGAACCTGGAATTCTCGATGGTGCGTCAAGAACGAACCAGACTGTACTACTGTGACCCTTAAATATATTTTAATTATCTTCTTACTATATTCACCCTTGTATTTAAAGAGCTGTATAATCACAGTTCTTTACTCATCATCTTACATAGTCCCACTTTCCCACACCTGGTAAATTCTCCATTCTTTTTTCTCTAATGGATTTGAATGGATACATACCAATTTGTTTGATTTGTAGGTGCTGTAATTTTAATTATCCAGATTTTAGTTATCCAAATCTTTGAGTATCAGGACTTGCAGTTTGGTTAATTATTTGGGTAATTGCATCTGATGACACTCTTGATAACAGGTTCAGTTGTAATGATGAATCCTTAACACTTGAACTATTGGCCATGAAACTTGGATCATAAGAACATAAGAACAAAGGTAACTGCAGAAGGCCTATTGGCCCATATGAGGCAGCTCCTATTTATAACCACCCAATCCCACTCATATACATGTCCAACCTACGCTTGAAACAATCCAGGGACCCCACCTCCACTATGTTTCGTGGTAATTGGTTCCACAAATCAACAACCCTGTTACTGAACCAGTGTTTACCCAAGTATTTCCTAAATCTAAACGTATCCAATTTATACCCATTGTTCCATGTTCTGTCTTGTGTTGATACTTTTAATACTCCATTAATATCCCCTTTGTTATGTCCATTCATCCACTTGTAAACCTCTTATCATGTCAGCCCTAACTCTTCGCCTTTCCAGTGAATGCAATTTAAGCTTTGTTAATCTTTCTTCATATGAAAGATTTCTAATTTGGGGAATTAACTTTGTCATCCTACGCTGGACATGTTCAAGTGACTTTATATCCATTCTATAGTACGGCGATCAAAACTGAACTGCATAATCTAAATGGGGCCTTACCAGAGCAAGATATAGCTGAAGAACAACACCAGGTGTCTTGTTACTAACGCTTCGATTAATAAATCCCAGTGTCCTATTTGCCTTATTATGAACATTCATGCATTGATCCTTTGATCAATGGGATCGACGTATTATCCCATCCAAATTGCAGTTTAGTCCTCTGCCATTCAGGTACTCTAGATTTTCTTTCAATATGTAAAGGAGTGTATTTTGACCACTAATGCTTTTATTGTACTATCTTTACCAGGTTTTTATCAGCAGAGTTACCATCACTGTGTTGGGTGCTCTCTGGCGCTGTCCCTACTTCTAGTGTAATACAGTTTCAACCTGATGCTGTTGAAGAGTTACTAAACAATTAATGATATAGCAAATTAGTTATATTGTTATATATGGTATTTGTACTGCATGAACTGTGTGTACACAAAACTGAATGAATAGCATATACCAAATATTCTTCAGTGAAGTCTTCCTCAAGCAGACGAACACAGGTCTGGGGCCTCTCAAGGCAGGTCACGGCAGTGTCAAGAGAATCCCACCATGACTGCTATAGAGCAAATAAGGGTGAGTAATAGCAGTGTGAAAATACAAAAAATGTAGCATTGTATGTAATTATATGGCCTTTTCTGGACATCCTCATTAGTTTCCTGAAACATTGGCTTTGGTACCACAGAGATGGCATCAAAACTACATCAAAACTACCCGACTTTGGAACTCTTGCAGGCCTACCAAACACTAGGACCAGCATCTGCTGTACTCATTGAAGTGAGAGGAGTATGGGGATCTAAAATCAAACTCATAACCGAGTAAAACCTCTTAAAAAGTACAAGCAAAGCAAAACAAAGTATATCTCCTGAAAGAAATAATATATGGATACAAGGAAAAGTTAATTGACCTATGTCAGCAAACCAAGCACTTGCATCTCGGTGTGCTAACAGGTGGCAGCTCAGGTTCTGCCTGCCCACCTAGCTCACATGTCACTCCAAGCAGCCCCGAGCCCCACAGAGAAGAAAAACTAAAGGGTTGGTTTGGGGAGTTTCTCAGGTCACCCAGGAAAAAGTGTTTTACTACATTCAATGCTTGGTTTGTGGGCTGACCCTCAGAAGCTCCCAGTGCATACATACAGTGGTGCCATGGAGAAAATGAGCTGGCATTGGGTGAAAATAAGCAGCAGTAAGAAATGAAACTCGCAAAGACGTAAGGCTAATCATTTGGGTGAAAGAGCTGGAAACACAGGGTTCAGGAAAAAAGAACTTGGCAACAGGAAATGCATCACATGAGTTTAGGGATTCTTGTGCTCTATCAGTGTTAGCTACTCATTACCTTTTGGATGTTCCTCATTATCACTAGGTCTGTAATTACCTAAGTGTAATTACCAACAGTTAGGTAATAACAGACCCAGTGATGAGGAGGAACATACAAAATATAATTAGCAGCTAACACTGTTAGAATACCAGAAACTCTGAGCCCATATATTAGTTCTAGACATATTAAGAGAGAAAGCAGAAATAGCGGCATACTTAACCACATTATATGGATACACATTAGGCTGGATCAGATGAGCCACCTAATATTATCCTGAGAAAGCCTTACCTTGGAACAAGGCACCAAAAAAACAGTAGGAGCTAAAAGAGCAAGAGCTAAAGATGCATGACTAATATGCACATAAGAGACAAATAAGATGCCCATACTCTTCTCGCTTCTATGAGCACACCAGAAGGGTGAAGAAGAAGTGGTCCTGGTGTTTGGTAAGCATATTCATATCCAAAGACCTGGCACTTATATATGTGGCTGTTTCTGTAGTGCCAGAGCCAGTGCACATGAAAACTACTGAAGGTCAACCCTGAAAAAAATAAAGAGCATACTGTATTTAAATTTCTGACTGACAGTAAAACTTTCCATCATATTCTTGTTTACCAAAGGGATTAGGGGATTTAGAGTAAAAGAAGGGTATGCAAGAATAATGTTAGGAAAGTTTTCTTTAAGAGAAGTGTGTATAAGAATAGTTATTTACAATTTAGATGAGAAGGGATTTTAATTAAGAGAGTTTGTTATCACAGGAGAGTGTGGCTGGCCTATACAAGTTTCGTGATGAATACTTCAAAACGTTTGGCATTGAAGATGCTGCTAATAAATCCCAACGGGTACAGAAAGAGATACAAAATACGATTCAGCTGATAGATAGTGTCAAAGGTAAGTTATTTTGACCTAAGATATGTTTGCAGAATAAATCTTTGCAATTAATCATGTCTGTCTTATCTTTGACACCATACTGTATATACTATACAGCATACTGTATATCTTATGTATTCAACATGGAGCCTGGTATCAGGCCAGTGTTGCAAAATGTTAAGATTTTCTAATTCTCCAATATAGCATGGGTAATGATACATTTATGGATGACAGGAACCTTGCATGTTATGCTTTTGAGGTCAAAATGCCCCCTTGGAGGACTAGGTTGTTGTTCTTAACCTGTTTTATGGCACTGGCTTGTCACTAACTTATCAGTGTCTTTGGGGCATTATGCAGTGTCTGTTATGTAGCAAAAGTGTCTTTAAGGTGCAGCGAAAGTCCCCAGGGTACAGTGGCAGAGTCTTGGGTACTGTGCTTACCTAACAGTGCTTACCTAGCAGTGATTACATAGGGAAGTGAGGTCTAGATCTTTATGTCCCACTTACTAGCCTTGATGTACCTGTTGGCAGTGGGGGAACAGTGGCAGTGTCTGGGATACAGTGGCAGTGTCTGGGGTACACTGCTAGTGTCGGGTACAGTGGCAGTGTCTGGGGTTCAGTGGTAGTGACTGGGGTACAGTGGGAGCATCTGGGGTACAGTGGCAGTGTCTGAGGGTTCATTGGCAGTATCTGGTATGCAATATCAGTATATATTGGGGTACAGTATTATTCTGACATACTGAGCTGGTAGTCTAGCAGTTCAGGGCAGGATTTACTAAGCATTTGCCTGTCCACATATGAGACCTATAGATCTTTCCTCAATTATGGCAACTTGGTTTGTATTTAGTATATAGGTTATAAAGTTCAAAATGCTGCGAGGTCATTCTCACCCCAAGGACATTATTGTTATAGATAACTTACTAGCACTTTAGAGGTTGTAAGCTGTTCAATAAGTGCAAACTAAGCCACCATGATTGAGGAAAAATGTAAGGCTCTCGTACTCGAGGACCTAAATGCACATTAACTCCTGGCCCTGACACCAAACTTCCTCTGTAAGGTCGGTTTGGTGGATGACTGTCGAGTAATGGCATCTTTACAAGCTTATCATAAAATAGCCGTTGGTTTACACAATGCCAAATCCTGTGAATGGTTTGGCTTATTAAAATGCCTCATTCCTATTACTGCATTATGCATAAGCAGTTTTGGCTGTGACTGGGACCTAAATCTATTAAAACATAAAAGCAGAATATATGAGTATATATTTGACTATTAAGCATTTCTTGCTTCCAGGCTTGTCAGTCTTTCATGCTGCAATGCTTGTTAATCTTTCTTGCTTCAGTGCTTGTTAATCTTCCTTGTTTCAGTGCTTGTCAATCTCTCTTGCTTCAGTGCTTTCCAATCTTTCTTGCTTCAGTGATTGTCAATCTTCCTTGTTTCAGTGCTTGTCAATCTCTCTTGCTTCAGTGCTTTCCAATCTTTCTTGCTTCAGTGATTGTGAATCTTTCTTGCTTCATTGCTTGTCAATCATTCATGCTTTGGTGCTTGTTGATCTTTCTTGCATCAGTGATTGTTAATCTTTTATGCTTCAGTACTTGTCAATCTTTCTTCTGTGATTGTCAGTCTGTCATGTTTTGGTGCTTGTTAATCTTTCTTGCTTCATTGCTTGTCAATCATTCATGCATCAGTACTTGTCAGTCTTTTATGCATCAGTGCTTGTCAATCATTCATGCTTCAGTATTTGTTGCATGGCATCCATATTCATTAGTGACACTGTGAAATGTAGGATTGTTAATAAGCAAAAATATGTGTTTTTAACTCTAATACTGTACATATAAATCACTTGTGGTTATTTACAAAACATTGTAAACTTAGCATGAAGAATAAGCTGGGAATATGGCACAATAAATGTGGCTGAAAATAAATAACGCAACCCACACATATGAAATGAAAGTGACGACATTTTAGTCCATCTTGGATCCTTATCAAGTTGTGCTATTGCTCGAATCTTGTTTGAGTAACTTGTACTGTACAGTATAACCAAAAAAGATCACTTTCAGCACTTACTTGTAATAACTTATTTGCTAATATCACAGATGATGTATTTGTATGGGAACCCAGCATTTATAGAATTTTCATATAAACAATACTTTACTGTATAGGGGTTGCTCTGAGGAGATTGTTTAAAAATATAATACAGTTTGCAAAATTATCTTATCTGTACCTACTGTAGTTCAGCAGGGTATTTGAAATACAGTGCTGTACTATGCTAATCTGTCATCACTTGTATTATCTGAAAGATTATTGTATCAGACAAGATGAGTTCAATTTTTTAACAGACCAGGTGTGTCCGGACTTAAAGGGAGAGCTGCATTTCTTGCGGGGTCGTGCTCTCAATGCCACAGCAGAGTACAGTGCCGAAGCCGAAGAAGTATTGGGCAGAGCCACACGCTTCAACCTTCCAGGTGCCTGGAATGAACTTGGAGAGTGCCAGTATAAGAAAGGGGACCTGAGTGGAGCTCAAATGTGTTTTGAGAAGGCTCTGAAATTGGTGGGTGTTGATACAAGTTATCATGGATTGTGTTATACTTGTATACAGTGTATATGTGTTATATTCTTGCATAAAATGTGTGTGTTATCCTTGTTATACAATGTGTGTTTGTGGTCATCATATGCAATATGTTTTTTATCCTTATATACAGTGTGTATTTATGTTATCTTTATATGCAATGAATGTGTGTTTTATCCTTTTGTAAAGTGTATGTGTGTGTTATCTTTGCATGCAATGTGTCATTGCATGCAAAGATACTGCATGATTGGTTGGTTTTGGGTCCCAGTCATTCAGATTATTTCCTGGCCAGAAAACTGGTTCTTTCACAGTTGGTCTGTTTCAACTTTTTGGTCAACTGGCAAAGTTCCAGTTGGTGCTTTCTCACTGGTCTGGAATAGCATGATGGCCTCCCTTTCTTTCCTGCAGTCAGTGCTACTGAGATTTTGCTTTTCTCTCTGCCTGGTACTGCAGAGGTCTGGACTCTTCTCTCGGGATCTTGAGCGTATTCTGGGTAACATGATTTTTTACTGCATGGTTTTTCTTGGGGCCATGTAAGGGTAAAGGCTTTGCTGGGTGCATGGATGCCAAGGAGAAGTTGAAAAATAGGGAGATTGTGGTATGCAAGTCTAATGTTATTAATTACTGGAACTCTATATAAAATAGTGGTGTTTGTTTGAATGATAATATCAGATAATGTGTTAAAATATAAGTATTAATAACTGAATGAACTTTGAAGCACTGTTTAACTCTCCTCTCACAAGTTCCTAAGATTCCCAAGTCTCGCCAATCGTTTTGTTACTAACTTTTGAGCTGAATACTGCTTCACACCCTTTCTCTTGCTTATGGTGAAGCACTACTGTATTAAGTGAACTAGGGTATATTTTAGATTATTTATTGTTTAAAAAAGATCATATTATTCTGTTCTTATTATCTTCTGTTTTTCTTCACAAGCTCAAATTCAAATAGAAAGTTTGTTGTATTCCTCTGCTACAGGCACAGGATAAAGTTTACTACCGCAACATGTCGATGCTGATGAGGAGTTTGCCCTGGAAGACGAGTGCTGAGCGAGAAGATAATGTAGAGAAGGTAAAATGAGTGTCCCTTTTATCACTTGTCAATGTCTTGCTAAGTTTTTATGTTTTAACATTACATATTCTAGCTGACTGGGATTTGTGTTGCTATTCCCTGTTTACTGAGACTGAGTGAGGGACTGAGGGAGTGAGAGAATGAGTGAGGGACTGAGGGAGTGAGAGAATGAGTGAGGGAGCAAAGGAGGGAAGTGAATGATGGAGTGAGAGAAAGAGTGAGTGAATAAGGGAGGGAGGGAGTGATTGAGAGAAAGAGTGAAGGAGGGAGGGATGGCGGCAGTAAGTGAATGAGTCAGGGAGTAATTATCTAGATGTAATTATGTAAGTAGTTACAAGTAATTACAATCTGCTGCATGGGTAACAGCTTCTCCTCCATATCGATTTACCCAGGCTTTGTGCCCTGGAGAGGACACTCCAGCCTCAACAACTAGATTGCAAACCCATAGTCTCTCGAGACTGCAGGATGCCTACACAGGATGAGAGCTATGTTTATGGTACAGTATCCCATCTTCTCAGCACTGCCATATAATGCTTTGAAACTACTGAAGGTTTGGGCCTCCACCACCACCTCACTTGTTCCAACCATCTACCACTCTGTTTGCGAAAGTGAATTTTCTAATACAGTGGTGCCTGGATTAATGAATTTAGTCCGTTCTGGCACCGAGCTCGTCGTGTGAAACAACAACACTGTCGTTGGAGGCGTCCGAGAACCAGCAGGAACGCTACGAAGCACCATGTGATTTGCTCATGAATCGAGCGAAAGCTCGTCAATCGAGACAAATTTTCTGCGAGTGGCTTGCGCTTTACTCGAAATGCTCGTAACTGGAGTTGCTCGTCACTCGAGGTTCCACTGTACAGTATTTTTGCGGCAGCTTTGATTAGTTAACTTAAAGCTATGACCTCTTGTTTTTGAAGTTCCAGGTCTCAAGAATCCTTCTTGATTTAATCAATTTTGTCAGTTTTCATTACTATTTTGTATGTAGTCATCATATCACTTTATTTTCTTCTATCTTCTACACTTAGGTAAATACTCCTAGGTAATTACATACACACAAACAAAAACACCTGAAAGCTCTGTTTTGCAATCATAGTTGTAGGTGGTTAGAACATTTTAAATGAGAAGGTGGTGATTGCCAAAACTATGAATAGTTTAAAAATGTCATATGACGAAGATTATAGGGAACTGGAGCACAACAGGAACAGCTCCTATCATGGAAATACTCTTAGATAATTACACTTTTGTAATTGCATATCTTCATGTCACTATGCCTGAACTGTTTGGTCGCTTGTGGCGGTGGAGCACATCTTCTGGCCTGAGGATACCAGACAGAGTGTAAACTTTTCTATGTATAATTCCTGTGGTTCTGTCTGGCCACCGAGCCTATTTTCTGTAGCTTAACTTATTGTTGCGGAGTTGAGCTGAGATTGTGAGCCTAATTCTAAAGATTAAAGAAATTATTTATATTGTAGAGCACAAATGATGTATATGTAACCAGGTAAATTATTTATCAATCAAAGTACAGCAGATTTCATCAATCAATCAATCACTCCTTTCTATGCTTTATTTTTCTCTTTCATTCTTGACATTCAACTCCCAACTTAAAATAATCACATTATGATTTACTATATTGCCACCAAAGATCTCTGTGCACTATTATTCTCTAACCAATATTTGTTTTAATTTTCAGGGGCTTGAATATGCCAGGAAGGCAATTCAGTTAGACATGAGTGATGGCCATTCATGGTTGGTCTTGGGAAATGCCTATCTTGCTTCATTCTTTACTGTTGACTCCAAGTTGGAATCCCTCAAACACTGCAAAGCTGCTTATAACAAAGCTGTAAGTATACTGTATATAATTAATTAGTTAATTAATATTAATATGAATTATAAAATAACAATTATCTTTAATTTCTAGGGTGTCCCACCTTGCTGTAACCTAAGCTCTCCTCTTTGTTTGTGTTTGTAAGACAGGGTCATTAAAATTAACAGCTAGGCAGAATAACATTGTGGCACTCAAATTTCACTTCTGCCATGGAAAATTTTTCATATAAGTCCTGCAGGGTCATACTAGTGCTAGAAAGCTCTGCAGAACATTATAACTTTACAATTTTACAATTTTATAATTACAACATTTTTGAAAGGGAAATTTTGTAAACAAGATTATGTGGCATTCCATGTTATATTTGTCTAGTTCATGAATGAAGTAACATGTAGCTCACATGGACTTTTCCAAAGTGTTTGACAAGGTACCACATGAGAGACTGGCAAGCAAATTATAGGCACATGTAATAAATTGGAGAATACTGAAAGGGATAAAACAATAGTTTAAACATAGAAAACAAAGAGTTGTTCTAAATGGGACTGAATCTGACTGGGGAAATGTGCTAAGTGGGGTCCCACAAAGGTCCAAAGGTGTGGGCTTCCTACATAGAATATATACAGTTACAGCCCCAGTATGTACTTAAGCTCAAAACATTCATTTCACAATGGATATAAATTTACATTATGTTAATGTTCATTCTCTTGATTGTTGTTATTAACAGTAATGGTTCCAACATTTAATTATTTTGCTTGTGTATTTTTCTTCAGGCAAATGATCCTCTAGCTGTTGTCCTGCCAGAGTTGCACTTCAGCAAATTTCATGTGAGTTCAGTATGATGTACACCATTATGGTGGTTCAGTATGATGCCAATTAGCCTAGCCAATTGGCCAATTAGCCTAACATCTATTGTGGGAAAGTTACTTGAATCGATAATTGCAAATACCATTTGTCTTCATCTCGAAAAACATAAATTAATAAATGATTCACAACATGGTTTTACAAATGGTCATTCATGTTTTAACACGAATTTGCTATCATTTTACTCCAGCATAGTTGAGGCAGTTGATAGTGGTAAGGTTTGTGAAGTTGTGTACCTTGATTTTAGCAAATAATTGATACAGTACCACATGAAAGACTTATTAAGAAGATAGAGGCTCATAGTATTGGGGTGCTATATTGGATTAGGGCATTGCTGTACCTTAGGAAACAGAGATAGTATAAATATGGTTAAGTCATAGTGGGAAAATGTTGTAAGTGGAGTGCTTCAAGGCTCAGTCCTGGGACCTCTGTTATTCATAATATATATAGATGATTTAGATTCAGGTTTGAGTAGCAATATTTGCATATTTGCTGATGTTACAAAAATCGGGAGGGAAATAAACACGGAAAAAGACTTGCTATCACTTCAAGACCATCTAAATAGGGTTTTGAAATGGTCAAAAGATTGGCAGATGCAGTTTAATGCTGATAAATGTAAAGTTTTGAAGCTAGGTAATGATGATAGAGTTACAAGATACGAGCTAGATGGTGTTGAGATTGCGAAGTCAGAGTGTGAAAGGGATCTGGAAGTTATGATTAGTAAGAATTTAAAACCAAAAAATTAATGCATAAATGTTCGTAATAAGGCATATAGGACACTGGGATTTATTAATCAAAGCGTTAGTAACAAGACACCTGGTGTTGTTCTTCAAAATAAAAAAATCAAATCAAATATTTATTCAGGTAAAGTACATAAATACAGGGTGAGATACAAAACGTTGATGGATTTATAGACAGAGCTAGTACATACAATGCCTAAAGCCACTATTACGCAAACGTTTCGTTTCAGTTATATCTTGCTCTGGTTAGACCTCCATTTAGATAATGCAGTTCAGTTTTGGTCGCCGTACTGAAGAATGGATATAAATTGGCTAAAATTTGTCCAGCGTAGATGACAAAGTTAATCCCTCAAATTAGAAACCTGTCATATGAAGAAAGATTGACAAAGCTTAAATTACATTCTCTAGAAAGGCGAAGAATTAGGGTGACATGATAGAGGTGTGCAAATAGATGAATGGGCATAACAAGGGGGATATTGATAGGGTGTTCAAAGTATCAACACAAGACACAACATGAAATAATGGGTATAAATTGGATAAGTTTAGATTTAGGAAAGACTTGGGTAAATACTGGTTCGGTAACAGGGTTGTTGATTTGTGGAACCAATTACCGGGAAACGTGGTGGAGGTGGGGTCCCTCGATTGTTTCAAATGTGGGTTGGACATGTATATGAGTGGGATTGGGTGGTTATAGATAGGGGCTGACTCGTATGGGCCAATAGGCCTTCGACAGTTACCTTTATTCTTATGTTCTTATGCACACCATTATGGTTGTTCAGTATGATGTACACCATTATGGTTGTTCAGTATAATGTACACTATTACAGTTGTTCAGTATAATTTACACCATTATGATTGTTCAGTATAATGTACAACATTATGTTTAGATTAGATAATGTAATTACACTTCACTTGAAAACCAAAGTTTGCTTATATCCTTAACATTTTAATGATACATGTTAATGGTAATTGTGTGGTGGTAATACAGGTGCAGTGGTACGAAGAGGACTACGCTGGGGCTCTCGGTAGCTTAAGACGTGCGCATGAGCTGGAGCCAACCTGGACGGAATGTGAGACAAAGTTTGATGAGTGCGTCAAGTTCTTAACCAAGCTGTCACAGATGGTGAAGAACAAGGGCCAGCTCAACCAGAGACGGCTAAATTCATTGGCAGCAGTGAGTGACCTATTACAACAACAACAATTATTATTATTATTATTATTATTATTGTCATTATTATCATATTATTGTTATTACTGTATTACTGTATTATTATATTTATATATTTATTTATAAGATACACAAAAGATCATGCTTCAATGATCTTATATTATTGTATTATCATTCCAATATCAAAGTGATTCAGATCCACAGGAGTAGTTATATGGATATTTGCAATATAGTTGTCCATAGGTACGTATATCTCTTAGTTATTTACCTGAATTTATCTGACGGCCACCATCCCACTAGCAGCCTCAATGAGGACAGTAAGCCGGCACCTTGTCACAGGTCCCCAAATTTGTTCTGGTGATTTAATCCAGCTTGATTTTGAATTGCAACAGTGTTTTGGCTTTATGGATTTGGCAGATATTCCTCAATGTTTTTATAACTCTACAGTACTTGACAAAAGTGTGGGCCGGCCTGCTTGAGGCAGTGCGTACTTATGGCATAAAAAAGAATGATAGTTGTGTGGGTGAAATATGAGACAGAAGTTAGTGCTGGGTATATGACGTTGTGGGTTTTCTGCATGTTGTTCTCTGCCATTCAGAGCTTGATTTTTCCAGTAGTCTCAACAATATATCAGAAAACGGTTCTTTATGTCTCTACAGGATATCAACATGAGCCAGCTGGGACCATACAACAAAGGGGGAACAAATCTCACAGGAGGAAGAAAGCCAGACATGGTGCCACTTTCACTGCTAGGTGAAGGAAGCAACCAGGATAAGGTGAGCTTGTTGATTCACAGAATAGTGAGAGTTTTTTCATTATTAATCTTCAATGTGTATTGACTTAAATCTCTTAGTATAAAGAATTCACCAAACTTTACTAGTCAGAACAAGGTACAATGTTTGGTTTAGTAGAGGATTGATTCCTGATTCTACGTGGGGATGCAGTCTCTGAGACCATATGAATCGCCAGACTTACCTGGGGAAAGAGCTCCAGTAGCTCCCTGAAGCTATCTCACCCAGATTGCTCCTAACTAGTAGGTCACATCAGTCACAGGAGTTCTGATGTTCTATACATTCTCTCATATAAATAATAACATTGATAGCCCAATACATCATTGCATCTTGAAAAAACCCACACATGGTAAAAACATTAAAAATATTGTATGTAGAAAATAAAATAATGTATATTCCCTGTGTGTACTTACAACTTGGTGCAAATTATGTGGGGCTAGGCTGAAATTGAATCACTGGTTATGAGATTATCACACTCACTAGAACTGCTTAGTGGTTCATAATGGTACATAAACATGTAGATAGTTATAAAACATGTGTGTATATAGTGTGATAATAACAAAAACAGTATGTTTTGTTGTTCAAAGAATATAATATTTTGCAAATACGTGTGTGTTTATCAACATTCTGCATGTTTCATTATAAAAAAATTCAAATAACACACTATTGCAAACAAATCAATGACACTGAAATAAGTCTGTGTAAATATATTCGTGGCAACTTCCTCCACTCGCTTGGCCCGGGTGACCACTTTGGGGCGTCTCGTCCATCAATGCACGGTGAACTGGTATGGTTTGTTGGCTGTGAGCAAACTATTATTTCCCTTGTTTCCATCTTTTGTTTCTTTAATAAAGATATTGTACATAGTATGACTTTGCTTGTACTTTATGGGTGCTTTTACAGTACTTGGGTTTTGTCAGTTCCCCAGGCTGGCACAAGCCAAGAGGCCTGATAGTTATGTGCATATCTCTGTGATACCAGAGCCAGTGTACTAGGGAGCTACAGAGCCCTCCAAGAAAAGGGGCATTTCATTACATTCTTCAATACTTGATTATTTGCCATTAGCAATGGGTAATTTCGTTGGTGAACTCCGTGCTCTGCTTCATTCCAAATATGTTTGTGTGATCCTGGCAATCGGTTTTGCTGCTCCAGTCTCTTCCCTCATTTCTTACGCAAAATGAGTTTCCTGGCTTTCATGGTGGTGCTGTTCTCCTTCATGTGTGGTTTGTTGGCCCCATCTCTGTACCATACACAGTGTCCTGGAGCTGCTTTGTACCAGTATTTCTGGGCATGTTACACCTCTCAGGCTGATGATCTATTAATCTTTCATCTTTGACCCGCTGCTCTAAAGCTCACCTCTTGCAGCTGCTCTCTTGGTTGATCAAGCTCAGTCAGCCATGGGCTTACCCCCATTTCCATGATCTTAGGAAGTTTGCAATGCTCGCCATTCTTCTTGGCAATGTCTTGCTCCAAGATTTAGGCTTGTGAGCTCTGAAAATCAAACAGAATATTTGCCTCCCATCACCTGCCCAATCTACCATGATGGCTTTATATTGCGCTTGACTGCCTGTCTTCCATTTAGCTTCTGTAGGCAACAGGACACTGATTTCATCTTCCCCAATTTCCTCCATTTCCATGGCTGGCATTCTTCAAGAATGCTTCTGGGTATAGTCTCTGTTTATTTGTGTGTCTTGGATCCTGCAGTGGTTTGTGTCATGTTGTTTTGGAAAACAACCAAAGGGTTCATGCTCAGAAATAAGGCAGTGAGTGGAATATAATGCAACTTTTTGACCCAGTGCCTCTTATTTCTATCATTTTATTCCTGACTTGCTTAGTATACCTGGGTGGTTTGGGTATTAAGTGAGGTCTGCTGACTGTAACAAGATTATTTACAAATATTACTTGCCTCAGTTGGAAAATAATCTACTAGAGCCTGGCTTGTAAATAAAGTCCTGGGTCCACTCAAGCTCTGGTTTGGCAAATAATTAATTCACAGGCTTAGAAAGGAGCATTTTATTCCACTCAACACCTTATTTTTCATCCATTCTTTTCCAGTATTGTTCATCCTTGTAGCTTCAGCTTCAGTCTTCTTGTCGCCTGATCTCCTCACTCAGTTTTGTGCATGTCCCCCTCCCCCATTTTTTTTTTTTTTTAGCTTTGTTAACCCCTATGCATCTCATAACCTTTCTGTGGCTTGTTATTTAGATATTTGTATCTATATCTACCTTTGTTCTAGTATTTCTTATCTCTGCACATATTTCTTGTCTTTGCACCAGGTACACTAAGGTGGAGCCCAACAGAGCCACTATCTCACATACCTTCATGCCACAAACAGGTAAATGATGGGAAGCTCTTCTAGTTTAAAAGTAATTCCTACTGGCTTGTATTCTCCTGTGGTTTGTTTTTCCCTCTGTGGTCTGTATTCCCTTCATGTGGCTTGCATCCTGTTAATGGTTCCTCATATGTACTTTGTCAAGCCCATCCTCCAAAAATTCTATAACCTATGGATACTTTAGACAGAATATACAAAAACTTCATGTTTTGTACGACTGAAATTCTAAAGGGCATAATGAAAAGTGAAACAGAGCAATCATAAACGTATCCTAACCTGTTTTAGGCCTGAATAAACAGTCCTAGTTGCATATGCAATCTTTGGCTAATTTAGCACATATATATTCTGTACTATATTAGAAGGCCTAGGAAAAGTTTAGCTGTTTTCTTGTTTCTTTTCCTCTCTACAAAAGTAATTGTAGAAAACGTGGACTTTAGGGTGCAAGAGTCCATGTTTTATACCTCCATCCATAATAGCAATAGGCAATCATTTGAGGATGACTAGTGGACTTTGTCTTATACTCGGAAATATGTGTTGAAGGGGGGGGGCACTTATGTGGATTATAGCCAGATCATTCCTGTCTATTCTTATACCAATACTGGTATCCCTATTTTCAGTATTCTTTTTTTATCTTGTCTAGTACAGTAATTCATGATATTCTCTTTTGAGGCAAAAGCTAGTTTACTGAGTTTCTGGAGTTCACCTTGTTGATAATGTACCTCTGACAAGGAGGCCTGGCCAGGTGCTGGGCTGCAGAGACATTGATCCCCAGAACTGCCACAAGGTAGGTAGGTAGCCTGTTCATATGATACATTTCTGTCCTCTTCCAGTGGGTGCTTTGCCACCTTAAGAAGGGTATGGATAGGAATGTATTCTGGTGCTTCACAGAACTTGTGCATGCATTTGCACATAATTGAGGATGGAATATGTATTTTTGTGTCTACTGAAATGCACAAATGATCTCCATCACTCACATGTACATTAACTGTTACACCACAAGAGACCACTGTCTTTGCACATACATACTCACATGTATCATTTTAGTTGACACCCAGAGGAGTTTTACATTCTTACCCAAGTTGACTCACTTTTGCCTATGTAGTGACTCATTTGAGACAATAAGTTAATGGTCCTGTTTCCAAACAATTCAATCTTAAGGTTTGGTCTCATTCACAATGGAACTAAACAAATATGGTTTGGTCTCATTCACAATGGAACTAAACAAATATAGAACCATTTGCAGACTCATTCATTGCCATAAAAACGTACTTTACTTTTTAGGATAAACTTTTACTGAGTGAATACAAAATATAAATATTTTGCTAAAATATACTCTACTACAACTGTATACAGTATATATATTTCCAGTACAGTACCATTATAAAGAAATTACTGAGTACAGTATGTAATATTGTGCTAAGTGGTGTTGGCTACTCTTAGAATGATACCTGTAGTTCCATGTGGAACCATTGTTTGGTTTTGTTCCATATTTTGCTTCATGTTGACAATTTGCATCATCTGTTGACAATTTGCTCCAGCTGTTGTAGTCAGTGTTGTCTTCCCTGGTAGGTGTGCTTGTGGTGCCCCCCCCCCCCCATCCTTCAAGGCTACCTTCCCTGAGGGGTACAAGTATCTACAGGATGCCTCCTCTTGTAGCCTCTTGTTTCCAGGCAGTGCATTGACTTTTGCCCCTCTGCAAGGCCTGTTGAGGAGCTTTGCTGTTTTATAGCTATTTGCTAGCTTGCCTCTTGCATCTCGCTCTTACTTTAAACTACCTGATGCCTTCGGCAGAGGGTGTGCTTAGTCATGCACATGACTAATCTTTGTTAAGGTCTCTGGCAGCTTACACCTTCCCTAGTTGAATGGCTGCTATGGTTGAGAAGTGGTGTTTTCTTCATCATCACATGTTCTCCGTGTCCAGCCTGCCTGCTCCACCATTGACAGTTAGGCTGTCACTTCACTCCTTAGGACCTGCCCAACCACTTGGGCTGGACGGTAGAGCGACATTCTTGCGTCGTGCCTGTCGGCATTCAATCTCTGACCATCAAAGTGGTTGGGTGTGGAAAAATTGTCAGGATTGATTTATGAGGAGAACTACTTAGTACTTGTACTGTACTAAATTAAAAATTACTGTATGCAAAATTAATACAAATAAAATCCCCAGCAAGGGTTGTAAATCCTAGCTCCTCTAGTCCTAATGACTGACTGTGGGCTGTAAGGGGCAGGTGGGTACTTAAGGGTGAATGGAGAAGTTGATTGGAGGTCTACAATCCACCTGCAGACAAATCAACACATCAGCTTGTATTGCTTATACAAGGATAAAATTAAATAACTCAGTTTAGTAACTGAACACTAGTTCTGTTTAATTCAAGGATCTAAACAATATATATGTAGTCCAGCCCAACTCTATAATTACAACAGCCAGTATTCACATACTAATAAACACAACAATTTGTATTATAGAGGTATGATATATATAAATATGCAATCAAAGGACCTTAAATTTGGTCCAAGTACTGGTATCTAGGTACAAGAATTTATGTTTAATATGATAAACTTATATGATAAATTAAAGATAACTTAGTTAGCTATGGTTAACTTAATGTATATGATCAATTATATATACAGGTACAGTACTGTATATTCATTTTATATGAAAAGATAAGTCAAGCTTGACTGACTTTCAGTAACTGAGTGTCCACATAGCATTGAATGATTTTCAATGAATGAGTGTCCAGATAGTACCGAAAAGATTCAGTTGATGAAAAATTAATCAAAACTTAGTGAAATTTGGGGCATTGCCCCGTGTTGTAATGATAAACAGATTTATTGGATAGATTAAGGTTATACAAGCATGCAATTGGTCAATCAACACACTACAATAACACTCAATATATTTATATTGATTGATGTTCCAATTGTTTTTTAATTAAGATATTCTTGAAGTTTCTAGATCCTTGGGAAATCATGCACAAAGTCACGTAGACACATTTGGGGCCGAATGGCATATGGGATCATGGTAGCATTGTCATGTAGGATCCAGTTGATGTAGGATGTAATGAATCTGATGTGATTCTGATATGATTTTGATATGATATAAAAATAATACATTTCTTAGATAATAATGTTGATAAAATGGGTAAAATTTCCCACAGTTGGGCACCATTCCTTCCCCTCATCCCATCCCAAATCCTTATCCGGACCCCTTCCAAGGGCTATATAGTCATAATGGCTTGACACTTTCCCTACAAGGTCTCCTCATGGAGGCCACCTCACCAAACTCCAAAGACAGCATGGCTGAGCCAAAGTCTCAGCCAACAAAAAAACGGAAGACCTAGAGGTCTACACTAACCCACCAGCTCCATAACTGAGGCTGAAATCCACCATGAAGACCCCATCCATCCCCTGATCTCCGGTATGAGCTATTGATAAAGATAATCGCTCCAAAGAGCCTCCACTTATGGGCTCACAATAGCCCGTGCTACTTGGAACTTTTTGTTCCGAGTAACTGAACTAAAACAACAACAACAATTTTCACTGATAATTCCCTCCCTCTTCAGTACCCATTCTTGGCAGTCGGGTATAGCTTTGCCTGCTTCTTGACCAGACACTTTCACTGCCACCAAGGCAGATGTTGTACCCAAACTCTTTGCACTGTTCCTGTTGGATGCAGTGATAAATTTCTTTGTAGTTCACTGGGAAGTGACATCCATTGACAATTTTGGTTTGTTTCAGGTTCCTGTGCAGGTGCTCAGTATTTTGTATTTTTCTGTATTGTATTTTTATCAGGTTATTACAGAAAAACATTGTAGGCAAAGAGTCTTTAATTTTTTATGTGCCTCATAGATAAGGTGTGCATCATTGCAACCCAAATATTTTTGTATATATATATAACTTGTGTACATTGTACTTATCTCTGACTCTGGCATTCTGTTTTCATTGTACCTGGTTGTTTTTCAGGTAATTCTGGGGAAAGTTGTGTGCACAGTTATCCCTGAATCGGGTATTCCATTTTCTATGTGTCTGATCGACAAGGAGAGTTCATGTATTGCTGTCACTGTCTACAATTGGGCAAGTGGCTGTGGTGTCAAGATTGGAGATTCAGTGGCTGTGATTGCACCTGTGTTGAAAAGTCACAATATTGATGTTCCTGGTGGGGAGGTAAGGCAACTCTGTCATTTAAATTAATGAAGACATTAATATTAAGTGACTGCTAGGGACTGAGTTCTATCACAATTTGAATAGAAAATGCTGAGAAATGGGTATACAGTAGTGCCATTTTCCTTATATAAGAATTAAATTATATTCTGTCTTTGTAAACATTTGATTGTAGTGATAAAAGTTTTAATTGCAGCTGAAAATAACTAGGAAAACTTTATAATTTGAGAATCCATAGCTCTTGACTAGTGAACTCTGACAGTGTATGCTGTCCCATCATGTTCCCCCTCCTCTTTAAAGAACAAGATGTCATAGATTTAAGCTAACTAAACAAAGCTGCCAAAAAAAACACCAGAGAGGAGACTATATGGGATCCATGGTGGATGATGGAGAAAACTATATAGGACCCCTGGTGGATGATGGAGGAGACTATATGGTATCTATGATAGATGATGGAGGAGAAACTATGGGAGCCCTGGTGGATGATGGAGACTATATAGGACCCCTGGTGGATGATGGAGGAGACTATATGGTATCTATGATAGATGATGGAGGAGAAACTATGGGACTATGATGGAGTATCTATGATAGATGATGGAGGAGAAACTATGGGAGCCCTGGTGGATGATGGAGACTATATAGGACCCCTAGTGGATGATGGAGGAGACTATACAGGATGCCTGGTAGATGATGGAGGAGAGACTATGTGAGCCCTGGTGGATGATGGAGACTATACAGGACCACTGGTGGATATGAATGTGACTTACCTCCCTTTGGAATTCTAAAAAAAAAAAAAAAGACTTCCCGAATAAATTATCCAAATATTTAAATGTGATACATCTCATTCTTTTTCATGCTTTTTGCAGGATGCTTCAAACTTCCTAATGTCTAATTGCTGTTCATCTAATACAAGTTTACATCTTGCAGGCACTGTCGTTTCGGTCGGTGCGTGTGGCGGTACCATTGATGCTGGTAGTCAACAAGCGACCAGTGGGCATCAATCAGATTGCCACATCACAGATTGTTTCTCAGCAGAAGCCAGAGTGACTTTCACCTGTTTTTACCACTTAGGTCTATTTACACTTCTATACAGAGAAAAGGCAATCATGGCAATCAGGAACTTTTCTATAGTTTTCATTGTTCCTTTATGCATGTTCTTTTTTTTAATGAAGGTAAAGTATAATGAACACTGATTCATCAAGTGAACAACAGTCTTTAATTAATTCATCATCCGAGTGTGTTTTTTTCCAAGAATATTGAATTTAGTCTAGTACACTGTATCCAAAACTGTCAAAGTGTACCACAGAGCCAGAGATGGTCTAGAAGATGGCAACAATAAGACATATGTATTACAGTGCCAAAGTAATTAAAGAGGCAGACATGATTTACCATTGTCAGAGGACAGGAAGCCTGTTGGTTTCATCAAGGGATCCTTAGATCCTTCCAAAGAATACAGCCCACAAACGTTCCCTGGTAACTTCCTGGTACCTATTTCACTACTAGGTGAAAATAAATATGATAATGTCTCTGCCCTGCTGTGGAAATAAACCCTGGGAGCTTTCAGTTATGACCCAAATGTAGTGAGCATTGTATTACAGAACTTGGAAGTTGTTCATGATGGGACATGGAGGCTATGTAATTTATTTGAGGTTGGCAGGAATTGCCTTATTTATAAAATACCAAATTGTCAATGACAACTTGGTATCTTAGAAATACCAGACGACGAGAGACCAAGCAGCAGATATTTCACAACTTCAAGAGTTTAACAGAAATAGAATCTTGTAAAAGAGTATGTAACAGGAGTTAGTGTCTTTGGACAAAATTAGTATACTTAGAGAAAAATGGTTAGACATTGCTATAAATTAAAGACACATTCCTAACAGTCATGGGTCTTTCATTGGAAGATTTTAAGGAATGTATTCTATAATATTATAAGCAGCATAGGAAGACTGACAACACACTTAACAATAACATTTGTATAAGTTGGAAGAATATAACAGTAAAACATTAGTTACTGGAAAATGAATAAGGTGGACAATGTAATAGGAAAGCCTTAGTTGTTGTTATCACTGAGTGGACAATTATTGAGGAGCAGCTTTGGAATACTTTGGTGTGAAACTCATAAACTGGTCAAAGCAAGTGGCATGATGATGGCAGACATAGATATGGACTGCAAGATGGCATAGTTGACCAAAGGAAAAGGAAAGTTTGGGTATATGCAGGATGGCTACCTGAGTCAATAGGGAACAAAAAAATATCTTTTGAAGGATAGTGTAATTCTGAAGAGTGAGAAGTTACCCTTGGAAATTTCCAGATATGTATGTGGTTGAATGTGTTTAGAGGGGACTCGGCAAGGATGGTTCAGGAAGATAGAGGCATAAAGTCATAAAGATGGTCATAAAGACCCCTTGCATAGTGTCATTCTGGCAAGCAGTTGTGAGGGGCAAAGTGGTGCTGGCTTCGATTAATCCCTTCACATTCTACAACATAAGTAATGGCTTCCTGTCATACCCAACAACATAAATAATGATCTCCTGTCACATCCTGCAACATCAATAATGGCCTCCTGTCACATCCTGCAACATTGATAATGGCCTCCTGTCACATCCTGCAACATTGATAATGGCCTCCTGTCACATTCTGCAACATCAATAATGGCCTCCTGTCACATCCTGCAACATTGATAATGGCCTCCTGTCACATCCTGCAACATTGATAATGGCCTCCTGTCACATCCTGCAACATCAATAATGGCCTCCTGTCACATCCTGCAACATTGATAATGGCCTCCTGTCACATCCTGCAACATTGATAATGGCCTCCTGTCACATCCTGCAACATTGATAATGGGCCTCCTGTCACATTCTGCAACATCAATAATGGCCTCCTGTCACATCCTGCAACATTGATAATGGCCTCCTGTCACATCCTGCAACATCAATAATGGCCTGTCACATCCTGCAACATTGATAATGGCCTCCTGTCACATCCTGCAACATTGATAATGGCCTCCTGCCCTGCAACATCAATAATGGCCTCCTGTCACATCCTGCAACATTGATAATGGCCTCCTGTCACATCCTGCAACATCAATAATGGTCTCCTGTCACATCCTGCAATATCAATAATGGCCTCCTGTCACATCCTGCAACATTGATAATGGCCTCCTGTCACATCCTGCAACATTGATAATGGCCTCCTGTCACATCCTGCAACATTGATAATGGCCTCCTGTCACATCCTGCAACATTGATAATGGCCTCCTGTCACATCCTGCAACATCAATAATGGCCTCCTGTCACATTCTGCAACATCAATAATGGCCTCCTGTCACATCCTGCAACATCAATAATGGCCTCCTGTCACATTCTGCAACATCAATAATGGCCTCCTGTCACATCCTGCAACATCAATAATGGCCTCCTGTCACATCCTGCAACATAGATAATGGCCTCCTGTCACATCCTGCAACATCAATAATGGCCTCCTGTCACATCCTGCAACATAGATAATGGCCTCCTGTCACATCCTGCAACATCAATAATGGTCTCCTGTCACATCCTGCAACATTGATAATGGCATCCTGTCACATCCTGCAACATCAATAATGGCCTGTCACATCCTGCAACATTGATAATGGCCTCCTGTCACATCCTGCAACATTGATAATGGCCTCCTGTCACATCCTGCAACATTGATAATGGCCTCCTGTCACATCCTGCAACATAGATAATGGCCTCCTGTCACATCCTGCAACATCAATAATGGTCTCCTGTCACATCCTGCAATATCAATAATGGCCTCCTGTCACATCCTGCAACATAGATAATGGCCTCCTGTCACATCCTGCAACATCAATAATGGTCTCCTGTCACATCCTGCAACATCAATAATGGCCTCCTGTCACATCCTACAACATTGATAATGGCCTCCTGTCACATCCTGCAACATTGATAATGGCCTCCTGTCACATCCTACATTATAGTTATATTAAGCTTCTTAATATTGTTGAGCATTTACTGGCATAATAACTAAACCATCACTTCCAGAGTTCTTAACAAGTGTGATGCACTAGATAAATTGTAATGTAATAATTTCAGTATTATAACTTGTTCAATTGTGTGATTAAATTTGTATTACTTAACAATTTTCATGATGATTGCTTTGCACAGTTAATTGGGATTTACAGTTGTAACCATATAAGCTTTTTTACCAATGAAAACAAGGAAATAAATTATGCAGTTTTTGAAGTTTCTTGACTATCCTGTCTTGCCAATATATTACATCCCCAAGATAAAATTGCATTTATATGCATGATTTTGATTCACAATTTACAGTATTGTAAGTACAGTATACATGTACAGTACTTCTGAAACTGGAGGAATGGTCTAGAAAATGGCTATTAAAGTTTAACATGGGAAAGTGTAAAGTAATGAAATTGGGCAAAGGGAGCAGGAGCACAAGGTACCATCTGGAAGGTGAAATCCTGCAAGAGTCAAATAGAAATATCTGGGAGTTGATATCACACTGAACCTGTCCCCAGAGGCCCACATCAAAAGGATATTATCAGCGGCATATGCTAGACTGGCCAGCATAAGAACTGCCTTTAGAAACTTCTATAAGGACTCGTTCAGGACCTTGTATACCACTTATGTCAGACCAATCCTGGAATATGCAGCTCTAGCCTGGAGTCCATACCTAGTTAAGCACAAGACAAAGTTAGAGAAGATTCAGAGGTATGCACCAGACTAGTCCTAGAACTGAGAGATATGAGCTACGAGGAAAGGCTATGGGAGCTAAACCTCACGTCCCTGGAAGACAGAAGAGTAAGGGGAGACATGATAACCACCTACAAAATTCTCAGGGGAATTGACAGGGTGGAGAAAGACAAATTCTTTAGCACGGGTGGAACACAAACAAGGGGACACAGGTGGAAACTTGGTATCCAAATGAGCCACAGAGACATTAGATTGCCACATTTCTCTGTGGCAAATGAGTCACAGAGAAATAGTGCTGCATGTTTTCTTAATGTTGCCCCTAATTTGGTTAAATGTATTTTTTTTAAGTTTTAAAATATTCCTGGAATTTTAAATTTAGGAATTAAAAAGGAAAACATTAATTTAGGAATTAAAAAGGAATTTTAAAATACCTGAAATTTTAGGAATTAAAAAGAAAATTTAAAATACCTGGAATTTTAAAATCAACCTGGAAAAGATCATCAAGGAAAATGGGGGAACCTTCGACAAGCTGCTGGCTTCCTGTCCTCGTCGAGGCCACTAACCCTAGTGGCCCTCAGGTGAAAAAAAAAATCAGCCACATCTGCACACCATAGAAAACGTAAACTCTGAAATAACACTTGAAGTGATCCTTTGATGACCCATATTAAGGTAAGATAAGATGTTTATTCAGGTAAAGGTACATACTGTAAATTGAAAATGAGTTACAAACATAATGTTGGATTTATAGATAGAGCTAGTACATACAATACCTGAAGTCACCAATACGCACAATGTTTCGGGCATATTCAGTCATAACCATCAAGTTTCATTCTTTTTTTTTACTATTTTTTATTTATTTATTTATATATATACAAGTGTTCTTACTCGAGTCCTCTCGGTGCAAATCGATCTATAATGTAAATACACTTTTTTAGTTAAGCTCAAAATTAACGTGTTTTAACAAGTATTAACAGTAGAGAATAAAATACGCAACTATCAATCCTGTGTTGACCATGATGATGACACAGACAAGGCAGCTGAAACTGCCATGTGATAAGCCTGAAATTGAGTTGGATATAGGCATTCCAATCTCTGCATTAAACCCCCAATATTTCAGGAAATTAGAGAAGACAGAAGAACAGTTACTGACACTCAGAGGCCAGAAAACACGAGTATAAAGAGCTATGACATGTTTAGAACCAAGAATTATATGTACGGGGTGCATAAAACATCCACTAGACAGTGTGACATTGTAATTGACAGAATTAGGCTGGGATATCGATATCTATGGCAGGTGGCTGCAGGTAATGAATCCCCCAATGGTAAACATTCCAATTGTAAACTATATGAACAAGGGCTGGGACATACTCTACAACACTATGTCTGTGATTGCCCTATTATAAGTGAGTTCAGACCTAATGGTATGAGGTACTTTGAGCTCTGTAATTACTTCATACACTCAGGAATATTGGAAGATATTCTTATGCTGTACCCAGAGTTACAATACAATACAATACAATTTTATTTAGGTAAGGTACATACATACATTAAATTTTTACAAGAATTGGTTGACTTATAGGTAGAGCTAGTACATACAATGCCTAAAGCCACTATTACGCAAAGCGTTTCGGGCATAGTAGAGGTTTGACTAGCAAACATAAAGTTTGCTAGTAGAGGCTAATAGATCAGCTTCTATTTCATGTTCTCTCCTAATTCCATGTATGACTGGCTGTCGTGTGAGGTAGGAATGTTGGATGAGCTTGTAGCTGTTTTTTGACCTACACTGTGAGGTCCTTCATACAGAATAGTGCAGCAGCACATTGGTGTGTGTATACCTGGACTTGTTAAAAAAGAAAAGACATTGTTTGAGAGGAGTCTTGTAGAAACTGGTAAGAGTAATTATAATATAATTTTTCCATGATTTAGTGCTTAGCTCTTGTGAAAATCGGAAAGTCGTTGTTTAGTCAGAGTTGATTTGTTTTTGTAGTGAAGCTGGTATTTGCAATATTAGATGAACTTATAGCTAGTTTTTGATCTACACTGTGTAATCTTTCATATAGGATAGGGTAGCAGTATATTGCTGTGTATACCTAAGCTTGTTAATTAAAAAAATCATAACCAAACATGTTGTTCTGCCCGAAACGCATTGGTGTTAGTGGTTTTGCAAGAATGATTTAAACAAAAATGATTGAATGTAAGAACACCAATGTTATGTACTCAACAAACCCAATGTACCTTCTTGCATATAAATACATAAGTAAATGTTGGTAATTATTAATTTATTATTAATTTATTATTTATTTATTATTTACTATTATAAAATAAACAAGTCCCCACTCTGAGCGCGTTTTCTTCCAACCTCAGAAACATTTTGTAGTATAACCGACGTCAACTTTACATGACCAGTGGTCGTCGCCTCTCAACCACCACCAACAACAAACTCAACCACCTCACCTGGAAGAAAAAGTACTTTAATTTTGTCTAAATTCTAAAGTCATAGAAATGAATTAATAAGCATAAATGTCTATAAATCAGCGGCAGATGACTATAAACACACGACAAACAAAAAGTACCCTAACTACCAATCATAGAAAACGGACATTGCAGCACCATAACAACAACACCAACAAACAGACGTCATTACCAAGATAACAGCCTCCACTTCGTCCCTAAATCACCAACAACAGTCACTGCTCGGATGTTCCCACGTTCAGGTGACGTACAGCCGCATGGCCTAGTGTTTTGTTTCGTGATATAGACACGACAGGGCTCATACCACCCAGTACCGTCTTTAGAACCAAGAATTATATGTACGGGGTGCATAAAACATCCACTAGACAGTGTGGCATTGTAATTGACAGAATTAGGCTGGGATATCGATATCTATGGCAGGTGGCTGCAGGTAATGAATCCCCCAATGGTAAACATTCCAATTGTAAACTATATGAACAAGGGCTGGGACATACTCTACAACACTATGTCTGTGATTGCCCTATTATAAGTGAGTTCAGACCTAATGGTATGAGGTACTTTGAGCTCTGTAATTACTTCATACACTCAGGAATATTGGAAGATATTCTTATGTTGTACCCAGAGTTACAATACAATACAATACAATTTTATTTAGGTAAGGTACATACATACATTAAATTTTTACAAGAATTGGTTGACTTATAGGTAGAGCTAGTACATACAATGCCTAAAGCCACTATTACGCAAAGCGTTTCGGGCATAGTAGAGGTTTGACTAGCAAACATAAAGTTTGCTAGTAGAGGCTAATAGATCAGCTTCTATTTCATGTTCTCTCCTAATTCCATGTATGACTGGCTGTCGTGTGAGGTAGGAATGTTGGATGAGCTTGTAGCTGTTTTTTGACCTACACTGTGAGGTCCTTCATACAGAATAGTGCAGCAGCACATTGGTGTGTGTATACCTGGACTTGTTAAAAAGAAAAGACATTGTTTGAGAGGAGTCTTGTAGAAACTGGTAAGAGTAATTATAATATAATTTTTCCATGATTTAGTGCTTAGCTCTTGTGAAAATCGGAAAGTCGTTGTTTAGTCAGAGTTGATTTGTTTTTGTAGTGAAGCTGGTATTTGCAATATTAGATGAACTTATAGCTAGTTTTGATCTACACTGTGTAATCTTTCATATAGGATAGGGTAGCAGTATATTGCTGTGTATACCTAAGCTTGTTAATTAAAAAAATCATAACCAAACATGTTGTTCTGCCCGAAACGCATTGGTGTTAGTGGTTTTGCAAGAATGATTTAAACAAAAATGATTGAATGTAAGAACACCAATGTTATGTACTCAACAAACCCAATGTACCTTCTTGCATATAAATACATAAGTAAATGTTGGTAATTATTAATTTATTATTAATTTATTATTTATTTATTATTTACTATTATAAAATAAACAAGTCCCCACTCTGAGCGCGTTTTCTTCCAACCTCAGAAACATTTTGTAGTATAACCGACGTCAACTTTACATGACCAGTGGTCGTCGCCTCTCAACCACCACCAACAACAAACTCAACCACCTCACCTGGAAGAAAAAGTACTTTAATTTTGTCTAAATTCTAAAGTCATAGAAATGAATTAATAAGCATAAATGTCTATAAATCAGTGGCAGATGACTATAAACACACGACAAACAAAAAGGACCCTAACTACCAATCATAGAAAACGGACATTGCAGCACCATAACAACAACACCAACAAACAGACGTCATTACCAAGATAACAGCCTCCACTTCGTCCCTAAATCACCAACAACAGTCACTGCTCGGATGTTCCCACGTTCAGGTGACGTACAGCCGCATGGCCTAGTGTTTTGTTTCGTGATATAGACACGACAGGGCTCATACCACCCAGTACCGTCTTAAGTACTGTCCATAAAGGAGGCAATCCGGCGGACATAAACAATTATAGACCAATATCAAATCTACCCATTCTATCAAAAATATTTGAAAAAATTATTTACAAACAGCTCTATTCCTACCTCGTAAAATTCGACATACTCAGCCCCTGCCAGTTTGGCTTCCGGTCCCAAAAGAGTACCAATGATGCAATCATTAGTCTCCTTGACATTATCTACTCAGCCCTTGACAAAAATGTGTTTCCGATTGGACTCTTCATTGACCTAAGAAAAGCCTTTGATACTGTTAATCACAACTACCTCTTATTTAAACTCCAGCATTATGGAATCCGAGGCCTTGCCCTTGACTACATCCGATCCTATCTTAGTGACAGACACCAATATGTAACCATCAATGATACAACTTCTTCCACTCTACCAATTACCGTTGGAGTGCCACAGGGCAGCATCTTAGGACCTCTTCTATTTCTTATATATATAAACGATCTGCCTAATGTCTCTAATATTCTCAAACCTATATTGTTTGCTGACGATACTACCCTTATCTACTCAAACCTCAACCCACATACACTAAATAATGTTGTGAATAATGAATTAAAAAAAGTCCACTTATGGATGTCAACGAACAAACTAACATTAAACATCGAAAAGACTTACTACATCTTATTTGGAAGCAAATCATCAAATGCAATTCAGCTACAGATAGACAACATTAACATCAGTAATAAAAATGATGGCAAGTTTCTTGGCCTATTCCTAGACAAGAGACTCAACTTCAGCACCCACATTCAACACATAACTAAGAAAGTCTCTAAGACAGTTGGTATACTCTCCAAAATCAGATATTATGTTCCTAACTCTGCTCTCCTCTCACTATATTATGCACTAATCTACCCCTATCTTAATTATGGTATCTGTGCATGGGGGTCTACCACTGCAAACCACCTTAAGCCCATCATCACACAGCAAAAATCTGCTATCAGAATAATAACTAACTCTGCTTTCAGACAACACTCAGCTCCCTTGTTTAAATCTCTAAACTTGCTAAATATTAACTCCCTCCACACATTCTCTTGTGTCAACTACATTTACAAAACCCTGTTCTTAAATGCAAACCATGCTCTGAAACTCTCCCTGGACAGATGTAATAGGACCCATTATCACCACACCAGAAATAAATATCTCTTTGATATCCCCAGGGTCAAACTTAATCTGTGTAAACACTCTATGCAAATTAAGGGACCTAGTCTATGGAACTCACTCCCTAGTGAATTGAAAAACTGTAAAACTTTTGCCTTATTTAAAAGCAAAACCAAAAAGTACCTAACTTCATCTATTTAGTTTCCTACACTGAGCTTTAAATTTGCTCTGTACCTAGTGGTACCCAATCTCCTAATTTTTATGTAATATCAAACAACCTTATCATTGTGTTCATTGCTGTCTTCTTTTATGTGCTAGCCATATGCTGTATTGTGACTACCAATTTTTGTCAACTACCATTCAAGCTGTCATTGCAATCAATCTTATATTGTTTCTGCTGTATTGTGCCTACCAATTTGTTGTCAACTACCATTTTAAGCTGTCATTGCAATCAATCATAGCTACCTATGTGCTTTAATATACTGTACCTATAATTTTCTCTCATCTTTTTTTTTTTCATTCCATGTAATCTGTTATCATTTTTTTGTCTATAAATTTTGCAAGTATTTACCTCCTTAAAATTTTCTTAGATTAAGGACCTGCCCGAAACGCTGCGCGTGCTAGTGGCTTTACAAGACTGTAATTACCATAATTGTATCCTCACATTCCTTATGTACATTCTTGTATATGCATAAATAAATAAATAAATAAATAAATAAATAAATAAGCCTGAGAAAGGGCTGGAAGTCCCTTAAATCAACAAGCACAAATGCTCACAAAACATGCTGATAAGAAACCTCACTCTAACACAGCCAACAATGCTGCGTCACCACACAACTGCCTCACCCACTTGCAGTCATCTGGAGGTGTAACCCTCATCTCAGACTAGTCCTACCACTTGGGCTGGACGGTCGAGTGACGGTCTCGCTTCATTTTTTATTGTTATATATATATATATATATATATATATATATATATATATATATATATATATATATATATATATATATATATATATATATATATATATATACACACACACACACATATACATACATACATACATACATACATACATACATACATACATACATACATACATACAAGAGTTCTTACATTCTTGTACAGCCGCTATCATAGCGCTTTAGGTAGGTTTTTAATCCTAATTTTTCCTTGGAATATGACCCACCAAATCGTTTAACAACCAGGCACTCATTACATGCTGGATGAACAGAGGCTACAGTTAAGGATTGACACCTGGTCAATCCTCCCCGGCCAGGATACAAACCCTGGCAGGCCGAGTGTCTTACCACTGCACCATGGGGACTGCCCGTGAGACTGCTCATGCAGATCCCCGTTCAATCCCTGATTGAAACTCGCCTGAACTTTCAAGTCCCACTTGAGAAAATCATCAGAACAAATGGCGGGAAGCTTTGACAAGCCACTGGTTTCTTGTCTTCATTGAGGCCATTAGAGTGTAAGTGGTTAGTGTGGCCCACAAGAATGGCCACTAACCACTGAGTCGTTAGTGGCCCTCAGGTAAATATAAAACTATAATGTATTTCACCAATGTTGCACTCATCATTGAGAAAATGTAATTCCAATACAGTAATAGTTTCCCTAATATATTTCACCTTTGGAGCTGAACCTCAAGCTTCATGCCATTCCATCCATTCATCATTATCTGAGGCAACGTGGATTATTGTAAACGATTGTTGTAAGGATTATTAATCCGTTCTAGTAATGTATCATTAGGAGTATTGCTAAGTTACCAAAATGCACCAGTGAATTAAAAAATAAAAATGCCAATTAAATCACCTTAATTAAAAAATCCCCCCCAAAATGGAACCCAAATAACACTTAAAAATAGAGCCCAAGTAACCCCATAGAAAATGATAAATAACAGATCCCAAAGACACCCTTAAAAATATTAAGACATATTTTTAAAAGTACTGCAATTAAAAAAAGACACCTTTAAAATATAAAGCAAAAGAATTCTAAAAAAAAAAAAAGAAACTCAAAAGAATCTACCAAAACAAATCAAACCTCTTTAAAAATAGAAACCAATGTACTGTACTGTAGTCTTCTCACGAAGGAACCCCCTGTAAATAATTGAACCCAATTGATAAAATGAAAACAGAACTCAAAAGAATCCTTTAAAACCCACAATCCAAATAGTTTAACACTCTTGAAAAAAGCTAAAATTACCCCTTAAAATAAGATGTCATATAAATGACAAAACCCAAAAGACTTCCTTAAAAACAGAATACACACTATCTCCTTAAAAAAATAAAATCCCCCCCCCCTTAAAAAACATTAACCCAAAACAATCTTCTTAAAAATGTATCCAAAACAGTCAAATTAGTTTCTGATTGTCCGAGACAGAAAGCCTGTTATGCTCCCAGCTACTAGTGGCCTTTCCCAGGATGCAATCCACAACAAATGAGTAACAATGGGGGTAATTATTTACTTCTAGGTGAAAGAAAATGTGTCAGATGGTACTCACCTAGTTGTGGTTGCGGGGGTTGAGCTGTGGCATTTTTGGTCAAGCCTTTCAACTGTCAGTCTATAGGTAATTACCTAAGTGTAGTTACAGGATGAGAGCTACGGTCGTGGTGTCCCATTTTCCCAGCACTCTGTCATATAACGCTTTGAAATTACCTGTACTCACGGTTTTGGCCTCCACCACCTTCTCACCCAACTTGTTAGACTGGGCTGGACCTGGTCCAGACCAGTCTAACCTGGAACCTGGAGTAAAGCTCAGGAACCTGGTGTACAGGTTCCTGAGTTCCCTACACACCGTCTTCCATATGCCAACAAGAGTCATCAATAAAGGTAACTTATAATTTGTACATATTATAGTACAAACTATTTGTGTGTATTATGTATGAAATATATTTTGAAGTTAATATTTTTAGGAGTGTGAAACGAATTAATTCAATTTACATTATATCTTATGGGAAAATTTGTTTCTGTTTGAAAATTTTCGGTTTACGAGCCGTCTCTGGGAATGGATTAAATTTGAAAACCAAGGTACCACTGTACTTTAATAGGTTTGTGCCAAGATCCCCATAAGGTTGAACTACTGACCCTCCCCAGCATGCAACACGCCAACAGTTGCTTAACTCCCAGGTACATGTTTACTGCTAGGCGCAAGGAAATGTTCCAATGAGCTTCTTGAACATGAACTTATTGTGCCTTGTAGGCATTACATGGTACCTTTAAAGGACGTGGTCTGAATTAATATCCTCCAGTTTGTTCAGCATTTTATAGGTCTCGATGAGATCAATTGTGCCATATCTGGTTTGTAGTGTTGTGACCTTTAGGCTCTCAACCATTCCTGGAATGAGAGTTGTCTTAGTTTTGGGAAGATTGGCATCACTCTGTATTGAACTTTTTCCAAAGCAAATACAGTATGTCCTGTTGTAATTAATACCAGTACACTATACTACTTAAACATATATAAAAATTGACATTTATATTGTAATTGATGTATCATTTTCTTTTTGCAGTGAAGAAGTTAATAGAGCCAACAGAGGTTTCGCAAAATGCATCGGGTTTCGTACTATGCCATAATAGGGCCAGATGGGGATGATCCCACTGTTACGAAGCTACCAGTGCATAACATTGATCCACATCTCTGTACACACATTATAATTGCATTTGCAAGGGTTGTGAATAATGTAATTGTGCCTGGCTGTGCAACAGATATTGAGGTAAGACAAAATTTCAGCCAATCAACTCCATGTAAGTGTTTCAGCATTCACTTAAACAAAAATTTGTACTAATGCCATTCAGTTCCTTAGTACTGTATTGAGTTCCCTAATTATCATATTCAAATGTTATATATGATAAAGGGTACCAGGTATACCATTGTTGGGAACAGCAAGGTTATTAGTTCCTATGAGGTCCTCCTAACCAAGGAAAAGTCTATCTGCATGGTCAGCTGTCCAGGTACTTACTGAATAATTTGCACATTCTTTGCACCATTCCCATTGAGCTATTGTTACTTACACCAGTTCTAACAGTTTCACATGGAATCAACTATTCATGCAAGAAAGATTGCTATTTTTTTTTTTTTTTTGAGATATATACAAGAGTTGTTACATTCTTGTACAGCCACTAGTACGCGTAGCGTTTCGGGCAAGTCCTTAATCCTATGGTCCCTGGAATACGATCCCCTGCCGCGAAGAATCGTTTTTTCATCCAAGTACACATTTTACTGTTGCGTTAAACAGAGGCTACAGTTAAGGAATTGCGCCCAGTAAATCCTCCCCGGCCAGGATACGAACCCATGACATAGCGCTCGCGGAACGCCAGGTGAGTGTCTTACCACTACACCACGGAGACTGTGAAATATAACTATACATACCATATATTGAACATGAACCACTGTACTACAGCTGACCACTGTGCTACAGCTGACCACTGTTCTACAGCTGACCACTGTGCTACAGCTGACCACTGTGCTACAGCTGACCACTGTGCTACAGCTGACCACTGTACTACAGCTGACCACTGTACTAATACAGCTGATCACTGTGCTACAGCTGACCACTGTACTACAGCTGACCACTGTACTACAGCTGACCACTGTACTACAGCTGACCACTGTACTACAGCTGACCACTGTACTACAGCTGACCACTGTACTACAGCTGACCACTGTACTACAGCTGACCACTGTGCTACAGTGGTCAGTGAATGAGATGACATTATTAACATGAGTGTGATCAGATAGCATCTATAGTAAATGCTGCAATAAATACTGTTTAGTGCTGTAGCTAACATGTTAAAAGTTTACAAGATTATTTTGATCCTTAAAAATAGTGATTGTAAAAGTTTCAAATATTGTTTCTGTAATTTTTAGGTTTACAAGGAAGTGGTTGCTCTTAAAAAAAAGAACCCTAAATTGAAGGTGCTTTTGTCCGTTGGGGGATCATCACCGGACCCAGGCTTCCCAAACCTGGTACGAGACCCATCTGCCATTGCTTCGTAAGTGTCTTGTATTGATTTTATTACTATTTGTAATAGGCCAGTCGTAGGAAGATTATCTTCCTTATAAACAATAGGCGCTAGGATAGTTTCAGAAATGAACATTGTAGATCTTAGTTTTTCTTTACTGTGCTTTTTAATCATCTCTATTTCAGAGTAATTTAATCTCTTGCTCAAGCTTTTGAGATTCTGGCTGTGTTGTATATACAAATATTGTATTGTGTCAAAATCTCATAATTTGCTATATTTTATTACATTTACATAAATAAGAAACTAAGAGTGGGTTGTGTCAGTTCAGATTTTGATGTTTTATTGGTGCAATTTCACTAAGCCACCAACACACATAGTGTATGCTAGGAGTGGCTGGAAAACACTCAACACTACATGCTGCCTCAGAAATGGCTCTTTCCAGCTCAGATATGGCACTCAGTAATATTGTCAGTCACTAGTGCCTATGGGAAGCCGCCCAGTTTGGCAAAGATAGGTAACGGCTATTCAACATTTGCCACTGAGCTTGTTTACCTTTACCACCTGCCACCTGAGGGTCTAGGCCTACTGTTTAAGGTACACCTGGAAAAGATCATCAAGACAAATAGGGGGACCTTTGACAAGCCACCGGCTTCCTGTCCTCATTGAGGCCACTGGTATTAGTGGCTCTAAGGTATACAGGCAAACTTTAATTCAGAAATGTTACTAACTGTATTGGACAGTCCTTTAAAGGTGCTTTTGTAAATTGTTAGCCATAGCACCATGTTTTTACTGCAGCTCTTGTGATTTATAAACACAGTCTTATAACTATGGTATTAGACAAGAAATTGGGAGGTCAAAGCCCTATAGGTCCCAGGTTCAAATCCCAGGCATCCTTCTTGTCCCGAAATGAGTGTATGTTGCTGAGTAAGCCACTAAAATACTAATCAGTACAGTATAGTCATATCACTGCACACCTCTTTAAACCTAAATAACCTGATTTGTACATTACAGTGCTTGATATCAATAGTCATATCACCACACACATTCATAATCCAGTTTACCTGTTCGACACATTATTGCTTGATATCAATAGTCACATTACCTGACATAGAAACATCTTTTCCTTTTGCCCTCCCTGCTAACACTTGCTAGTCCATTTGGTATCAGAGCTTTTCTCCCAGCAAACACATCTCTGAAATGTATTGTATTATCACTTATTATTGAAGATAGGAAATCTGTAAGGTTTATTGAGGTTACCCAAGGCCAGCATGGCTGACCTCTCTCAGGATGCAACCCACAACAGTTCTCTAACTCCTGGGGTACCTATTTCCTGATAGTCAAACAGAGCATTAAGTGTAAGGAAACTTGCCCTCCGTTTTGCATGGGAAATGAAAACCCAATGCAGTATTGACCAGTAGAGGGGAAAACATGTGAAAAGCTGTGAAAGATTGAGATTTTATGAGACAGTGATTGTAGGGCAAGTAGCTTATGTATAGAGTAACCAGCAGTACGTATAATATAAATGTCCCATTTGTCAGGAAGTAGTGTACTTTTAAGTTCAAATTTAAATAGGGAAGTATCAGTAGCTACCGCTATACTATTCCCAATGCTTTACTTTAATCAATATTCCTGCAGATTTGCTATCCAAGCACGAGAATTTTTAGTGGAGCACAATTTGGATGGTCTGGATCTAGACTGGGAATTCCCTGCATGGCCTGTGTGTAAACATGATTATCGTGAGAAGATTTGGTTCACGCGACTTGTTTACCAACTGAATTTTGAATTAAAGGTAGGTTCAGTCCAGTGTATGATTGGTTAAAAACCTCTATGACGTTAATAACATATAGTACTTTAAGTGTTTCATAGTAAAGCCAGATCATATTTAGATATATAGTATTATCAGCTTATCTTCTTTTATTAATCACATATTGGTACTGTATATCTTTAATCATAATCTCCCAATTTTTCAGACACAATGTCATTCACTGGGAATTACAAAGCACTTAGCATTTTGATATATGCAATACTGCATGTCTTTCTCACACTTAATATCAATGGTTTGTCAATGTTATCACTGCAGAATTAGTATTTGATAATGACAAGTATTAGTTTGCTAATAATTCATATAAACAAATAGCATAAAATATAATGAATAAATGTCTGAGCTCTTTGCAAGTTAATATTGACTATAAATACCACAAAGTTTATGCCACTGTCAGAATTAATCCACAAGTTTAGATAAAACAAATTAGTACTGTATTATAATTTAAAATCAACTATTTTAGATGAGGCAGTAGTATACTGTATGATGATGAAGAATGTATGCTTTGTATGCTACAGGGCAATGTCTGGCAGAATGTGATCCACAGTAAACCTTACTTGTAAATGGGTTAGTACTTGATGACTAGAGATGTTTTGTTGTAGTTTTGTAGAGCAAGTTATGCAAACAAAATTGTTATTATCTTTTAAAAAAAATTATTTTTAAAAGAAAGCTATAGAAGAGAAATTGTTATTGTCCTTAAATATATTTTTGTAGTTTTGTAGAGAAATTTATGAGAAAGTGATAGTTTAATATGTTAAAAATTGTTGGTGTGGGAGTTTGTACTGACTTAGTACTGTCATTGCTTGCAGGTTAGAGCATCAACGCCTTTCCTCCTGACCATTGCTGTTGCTGGTCCAAAAACCATCATTGATAGATCCTATGAGGTTGACCAGCTTGCTCAGTAAGTTGAACAGTATACCAACAAATATTGTTAGTCGACGACACTATTGTAAGTCGAGTCGCATTTTTTAATCAAATTTACATCGTAACTTGAAATTATCATAAGTGGGGGCAATCGTAAGTCGAGGTGCGACTGTATATGCATTATGGTGGATGTAACCCCATTTATTTTTTTCTAGGGGAAGGGGTGCCTTGGGTCTCACGGGGTCGAATGAAATTCCTTATGAAATGAATCGGCTTCATCCCATATAGTTTGTTCAAACAAGTACACCCTATAGATTATTATGAAATTGCTTTGATTACTGTAGCATTAAATATTTCCCCAAAAATGCAGTACTGTAATTAAAATCTTCACACTAAACTTATGCCAAAAATGATGTGCGTGATTAGTTGGTGTATAAATTATACAATTTACTACGAAATATTGTAAATGGAATCATGTCCTCTATAGTTTTTTATAAATTATTATCATTATTATTATTATTATTATTATTATTATTATTATTATAGTATAAATTGCATTGATAGATACAATATTTATATTGTCTGAATGTCACTAGTCACAAGCTTTGTCTTTGGTAAACATTAAGATTAATGTTTTTTGCTGCAGGTAATACTTAATATAATATGATGTAAGTTAACTTTTATAAATCAATATAAAATTCATTATGCAATGCACATTGATGGAGATATCTTTTTAGAAATTTATTGTTGGCATTGCTAAGTAATAATTTTTCCTCTCAGGTATGTTGACTTTGTCTCTCTCATGGGTTACGACTACCGCATATTTTGGCCATACTTGCCTTTCACAGGTCATAATGCTCCGTTAGCCAAGAGAAGAAATGAGTGGTGCTATTTTGCTACGCTAAACATCCAGTGGTCAGCAAACTACTGGGTGAAGAAAGGAATGCCAAAAGAGAAATTGGTTGTCGGAGTGCCAACTTATGGACGCACTTGGAAGTACAGTATGAAGTGGCATTACCTACAAGTCATATTTGCAGTGGACAATATTAATATCAAAATATAAATTAATTGTATACATGAATTATTACCTTTAGCAGTTTTGTGTGCTTAATTATATCAAGTATGTACATTAATATCAAAGATAATCTTGCAGGCTGCTTAGAAGCTCTTGGCACAGTGTTGGGTCACCAGCTGTTGGCAGTGGAATGCTGAATGGAGCTGTGACCTATCCACTTGCCTTCTCCTTTGTCCGTGATGGAGCCGAGCGGTACTTCGATGAAGAAAGTAGGGTTCCATATGCGGTGAAGGACAAAGACTGGGTGTCTTATGAGGATTCTGAGAGCATCAGGGAAAAGGTATGCTCTTGGCTAATCTTATTTAAACAAAAGTCATATCTACAGTATTTCAATTTAAAAAAAAACTAAGTATTTTGTATATACTTTATGCCTTGTCATTTCCAAGTTTTTTTTTTTTTTTTTTTTTTTTTGCATTTGTTATATTCAGTACTACTGGAAATTTAAGTAGAATAATGTCATGTGAGTTCATTATTTATTTGTTCTGGTCAAGTACAGTACAGTAATTTGATGAAGAGTGGTATTGTTTCTGACCAGTTACTATCAACAGGCTCTGTGGATAAAAAAGTCTGAATTTGCTGGAGTTATGATCTGGAACCTGAATTCTGATGACTGGGCTGGAACCTGCAGAGGAAAGAAGTTTGAACTGCACAATATTATCAAGGCTGTTCTCAATAACAAAACAATTAACAATGCAGAGTAGTCTATTTAGCTTCAGAAATTGGTTAGTAGCAGGGCATAGTGTCACAAAGTTATATGTCTATTTAGCTTCAGAAGTTGGTTAGTAGCAGGGCATAGTGTCACAAAGTTATCTGTCTATTTAGCTCCAGAAGTTGGTTAGTAGCAGGGCATAGTGTCACAAAGTTATATGTCTATTTAGCTTCAGAAGTTGGTTAGTAGCAGGGCATAGTGTCACAAAGTTATATGTCTATTTAGCTCCAGAAGTTGGTTAGTAGCAGGGCATAGTGTCACAAAGTTATCTGTCTATTTAGCTTCAGAAGTTGGTTAGTAGCAGGGCATAGTGTCACAAAGTTATCTGTCTATTTAGCTTCAGAAGTTGGTTAGTAGCAGGGCATAGTGTCACAAAGTTATATGTCTATTTAGCTTTAGAAGTTGGTTAGTAGCAGGGCATAGTGTCACAAAGGAATCTATTTAGCTCCAGAAGTTGGTTAGAAGCAGGACAGTGTTGCAAAGTTAAAATTTTATTGTATTGTTATAATCTCTACAGTGCCCTTACAAACACTTGTATGTGTTCTTAATGTGATAACTACTGTACAAATATGTATATTAAATAAGGAAAGTTTAGAACTTCATATTTATCTGTTGTAAAGTAGAACATCATTGTTACACAGAATTTAACATTCCAATTACTGTAGTCATTTCCACTATATCTGAAATGCACAGAACCGAGGAGATTTCAGATACTTTGGTAATTCTGAGAGTTTAGCATGGCCATTCTGGAGACTTTGAGTTCTGTACTGTGCTCCCATCATAATTACATTTATTGTATCACCTGTAAATAAGACAAGTTCAAAATTAGAATTAAGTGACTGGAGAGTAGCGTTTTATGTGGAAGTGTAGAACTATACACATTGTAGGGTAATACAGTAGTACTGTATTGTAAGTGATCCAAATATATATATATATATATATACGGTATACTGTAATATAAATGTAGTACTCTATGTGCTATATTGTAAAAAGTAGTGTACTGTATTGTAAATTTATATTTGTATCGAGATGCCTGGCATCAGGAAACAAGGTATTTTTGTTTTAGACATAAATGGTTTTCATTGTGACTAAAATTACTGCACAAGTAGTTGAGTTTTAATGTTCCTATATAAGTATACAGGTATACTATATTGGAAATGTAGAACTATATACCATATATTTTTATTGTAATACAGTATTGTATTGTAACTATATACTGTACTTTATTGTAATACTGTATAATACTGTATTGTGAGTATAGATAACATCTATGTGCAATATACTGTAATGTATTACAGTACTGTATGGTAAGTGTAGAACTATATACAGTATATTGTGGTACTCACCTAGTTGTAGTGTAATACAATACTAGCTCTGTATTGTAAATACAGAACTATATTGCAGTGTAATACAGTACTGTTCTGTTGTATTGCATTTGGCAAGCTTTCCTTATATTTGGAAAGTATTTCAATGTTATTAATATTTTCACTGGAAAACATTCAATATTCTAATATCCCTAATGGGGTGAGAATAGCTTGAGCTACCTCATCCCTTTGTGTGTATTTTACCTCAATAAACTTATTTCAATTTCAATTCAATATTCTTTTAATTAGTGGAAAAATTGTAATGTAATGTCCTCAATCTTTGACGGCGTTGGGTACATTTATTAAACAGTTTACAAGCATGAAAATTTCTCAATCAATTGTTGTTATTGTTATAAACAGCCTCCTGGTGCTTCAGAGCTCATTAACTGTTTAATAATTATAAACAGAGCTGCCAAAGATTGAGAAAAGATGTACAGGTTCGTAAGTGTTTCGTGAATCTTGCCCCTGGTATGTTAATAAGATTTGTAGTCATCATTTATTATATAAAAGATTGTAATAATGAGTATAATAAAGAGCATTTTCCACAGTACCTGTTGTAGTAATTCTATAATAATAGTTCCCATTGTCTGGGTCATGAAGCCTTTCAGGGGTCATCGAAGTCCCTTTAGGCCAGTGACTGACCTACCAAAACCATGAGTAGTTTCAAAGCCTCATATGACAGAGTACTGGGAAGACAGGACATGATGAATACAGCTCTCATCCTATAACTCCACTTAGGTAAATACACTAAAATAATTGCACTCAAACTTAATAACAGTATGAGTTGTCTACATACAGTAATTCCACACACAAGAGCATGGAGGAACTACAGAAATACCAGAACAGAGCATAGGATGATTCCAAAGGGCCAGAAATGGGTACCTCACTTTGAAAAGAGAAGCAGAGAGACAGTATGAGACTATAGCAAATAAAGCAAAGACCAAACCAAAACTGCTCCACAGACAAATCAGGAGGTAAACAACAGTGAAAGAACATGATGAAAATAAGAACAGGTTAGGACAGGTACACAATGGTAAGGTGTGTGAAGACCTCAACAAGATATTCCAGGAGGTCTTTACCATACTGTATCAAGAAGTCACTGAACTAAGAGAGCTGGCAATAAACCAGACAGGTTTCGATGAATTTGAAATTACCAGAGATTAGCTTAGGAGGTATCTGTTGCATCTGGATGTGAGAAAGGCTGTTAGACCTAACAAAATCCAACCATGGATACCAAAAAGAGTGCAGAAGAACTTTGCTTGCAACTCCTGTTCTCAGTCCTAGTGTGGCTTGTTGAGCTTGAAACCGTTGCTCATTGTTTGCGTTACATCTAACCTTCCGAAGAAAATGTCCAGATTAACATCCTCTAACTTGTTCAGTATATTAAACGTTTCAATGAAATAGGCTTGGAGTGTTGTTAGCCCTGTGACCTTCAACCGTTCCTGATAAGAAGGTTGACTTAGCTCTGGAATGACTTTTGTTGTCCAGTGTTGCACTTTCTGGCAACTTGGCCTTCTGAAGATGATTATTATTAATTACTTAATCATTAATTAATAATAATAATTATTATTAATTAACGTTGCCCGAAACGCTATGCGTATTAGTGGCTTTAGGTATTGTATATATTAGCTCTATCTATAAATCCAACAGTATGTTTGTAACTGTGCATCTATGTATGTACTTTTTCTAAATAAATTATTATTATTATTATTATTATTATTAATTACTATAAAAGTGGAGTTGCTAATCATGCAACTGGAAACGCTATGCGTGCTGGTGGCTTTACAAGAATGTAAAATCATCATTGCTATGTACTTTCTAAACCCCCAATGTACATTCTTGTATATAAATAAATATAAATAAATAAATAAATAAATGCACGTAAGTGCATTTATTTATTTGGAAAGGTGGAAAGAGTAAGACCACCCAGGCACTAGCTAAATATAGTAAGTTTAACTAAAGTAGACAAGAAAGTGGAAATAGATTATTACACAAGAAAGGAAAGGGAAAGTGAAGATCACAACGGAAAGTGAAAGTGTACGAAAGTGAATTAACAAATAACTAAAATAAAGGCGAGGCATGAGGGAAGGGTATAATAAAGAGAAGTGTGACGAAGAGAGAGACATAAGAGGTTAGAGAGATGAAAGTGAGACGATGATGATGTTGTATGATGATGATAATGATGAGAGAAGTGAGTAATAACAACCTCCCCTCAAGGTGTTATCGCCACATACCAACCTCTCCGCTTCTCTCAAACTTATCAACCACAACTTAATTATCCCTCTTGTAATAATGTACTTAGAAGAATAAATCATAATATATGCATGTTAGAATTATTCTTTTGCTCGATATAATTGTAAATGTTTGGGAAAACGTTGAGTAGAGGGTATAATAATGATAATAGATGTGTTAAGGTGGGTGAAGCCGGAGCCAGAGAGGTAACGGAGGCGATGAAGGGGACAGGCGCCACAAGAGCACTAACAATGGCGCTGCTACACACCTTCCTTACACTCCTGGCGGTCCTCGCCCTCTGCTGGGGCCAGGACACCTTCGACAAGATCCTCAGCAACGTGACGTCGTGTGAGGAGGTGTGCACCAAGTCCTACTCCCCTCACACCAACCCTGACGTGAGTACTTGAGCAGATAAATGATGGAGTTGTCGACCTCCCTCACACAGGGAAAGCTGTTCAGCTTTTATGTCACTTTTGGCTAATTACTGCCCCGTTGGGGCCGTATTGAGCTGCTCCTTATACAGTGACGAGCAGCTTTTGCTAACTGTTCGTACGACTGTATTATCACTAACAAAGTTATTGGTTCCAAAGTATCGTTGTTTTGTCTTTAATGTTCACCTAAATAAACCTGAGGCCCGCCATCTATCTAGTAGCCACAATGGGGACAGGAAGCCAGTGACATGTCAGATGACCCACCTCCCCCCCATCCCTCCTCTCACGAATTTTTCCTGATTTTTTTTGTTTCCAAATTTATTTTGAACTATAACCCTGTAAGGCATCTGCTGACGATGTTGAATATTGCCACTTATATGTGACCTTTTTAAAGAAGTTGTTTGGCTTAGCTGTTTAGTATCAAGTGTCGACCAGCGTCGGGGTGGCAGTTATGGCCCTCGACCGTTCGTGCTGTGAGAATCGCTTCTGGAACAAGAAGTCATTCCAGAAGTCGACTTCTCGACTTCTGGAACAAAAACTCGTTCCCGAATTGCTTCTATGAGTAGAACAACTCCCAGAACCCTCTCTACGTGTGCTCCAGGTCACTGCTTGATAGGCCTTGACCTCATCAGAAGGGTTAGATAGAAGTTGTATGGGGAGAGCAAACCCCACAGGACTGTGGGTCAGGTGTCATTGACCCAAGAGGCAACACGGCAGAGGCAGAATGGGTGGTTGTCGCCCCATGGCACAGATCATGATCAACTTTCAAACTTGCACAAAGTCAGAGAAAGTTTAGGGGGGATATCATTAAGAACACCGAAAATGCAGGGATTTCCAGGGCCTGAAGGGTAAACAAAGCGGGACACCCAGGCACTGGGGATGCTATGCTTTACCTAAAAGTAAGCCAACACGGCCATATTCACATGGCTGTGAAGACCAATGTTGGTGCAACATGAATGTTGAGCATGTGAACCACCAGTGGGGCCCCGTGCCGTGCCAGCCAACGTTGATCCCGACCAGGGCAAAGACAGTGTGGCAAAAGGCCTTTGACTTACAAAGGGTGAGCAACCTGCCCTCTTAAAAATTTTGCTTTTGGTCGTTTACCAGTATGGCCGAAAGTGGACGTAATTTGAAAATGAAAAAAAAAATGAAAATAAATTTGGGATTTTTTTTCAGCAACAGTAAGTTAAGGGTCCTCTGGTAGATTAAGTGGGCAAGAAATTCTCATCAAGTTTCAAAACGTTATGAAAAACGTTAATTGAAAGTTTCCTCTCCTAACCTTACCGAGTAAGCCGGACGACTCAAACAGAAAACAGGACACTACGTCACTTTTGTGAGTCGGTTTCATTTCAAATTACGTCCAAATTTGACTATAGCGCGCATACGAGCGAAAAGCGACGCTATTTTTAAGAGGACGGGTTGGGGTGAGAGCCACCACAAGCAAGGAGGACCTGTACGGGAGTGACCCCTGAACACGTCAGAGAAGAGCTGTCAGTGCAAGGGCAGCACTAGGAGCACCCTGCAAATGCTAAGCACATGCAGCTGCAAGCACTCTTAAAGCCTGGCTCACACACCACACCACACTGTAGAATACAAGAAAGTCCACCAAGGGCAAACATTACATCACTTGGCTGAATAGGACACGGGTCAGCATGGAAGAGAGGTGACCCGGCTATCTACCCATCACCCAGCATGAGCACCTGCATGCCTGCTCATTCACCCACCTGCCCACCCTCCTCCCACACCCAATTGCCCTGCCCACTGGTCTTCCAGCCTTACTTCATGACCACCCACCCACCATTAAAAAAATTATCTACAAACAACTCTACTCCTACCTCATACAATTTGACATACTGTACTTAGCCCCTGTCAGTTTGGCTTCTGCTCCCAAAAGAGTACCAACGATGCAATTATTAGTCTCCTTGATATAATTTACTCAACCCTTGACAAAAATGAGTTCCCAATTGGGCTCTTCATTGACCTGAGAAAAGCCTTTGATACTGTTAATCACAACTACCTCTTACGTAAACTCCTTTATGGAATCCGAGGCCATGCACTGGACTATATCCTATCTTGGTGATAGGCACCACTGTGTAGCCATCAATGATATAACCTCTCCCACTCTACCAGTAACCATTGGAGTGCCACAGGGCAGTATCTTGGGGACCTCTCCTATTTCTTATATACATCAATGATCTGCCTAATGTCTCTTAACATTCTGAAACCTATATTGTTTGCTGATGATACTACCCTCATCTACTCTAACCCCAACCCACATACACTAAATAATGTTAATAATGAACTAAAAAAAAAGTCCACTTATGGATGTCAACCAACAAACTAACACTTAACATTAGAAAAGCCCTACTACTACTTATTTGGAAGCAAATCTACAAATGCAATTCAGCTTCAGATAGACAATGTAAACATTAATAATAAAAATGATGGAAAGTTTCTTGGCCTATTCCTAGACAAAAAACTCAACTTCAGCACCCACATACAACACATAACTAAGAAAGTCTCTGAAACAGTTGGTATACTCTCCAAAATCAGATATTATGTACCTAACTCTGCTCTCATCTCTCTATATTATGCACTAATCTATCCCTATCTTAATTATGGTATCTGTGCATGGGGTTCAACCACTGCAAACCACCTAAAGTCCATCATCACCCAGCAAAAAATTTATCAGAATAATAATAACATTCTGCTTTCAGACAACACTCGGCCCCCTTGTTTAACTCCCTAAACATAATCTCACTCCACAAATTCTCTTGTCAACTACATTTACAAAACTCTGTTCTTAAATGCAAATCCTGCTCTGACACTCTGCCTGGACAGATGTGATAGGACCCATTATCACCACACCAGAAATAAATCTCTCTGATAACCCCAGAGTCAAACTTAATCTGTGTAAACACTCTATGCAAATAAAGGGACCCAGTCTATGGAACTCGCTCCCTAATGAATTGAAAAGCTGTCCAACTTTTGCATCATTCAAAAACAAAACTAAAAAGTACCTAATTTCATCTTCATAGTTTTTTACCTTGTTACTTTAAAATTGCACTGTATCTTAGTGCTACAGTCAGTCAGGAGATACAGTCTCCCAATCTTTATGTACCCAATCCGAACAACTTTACCATTGTGATCATTGCTGTCGTCTTATCTTATATCTGCTATCAATTTGCTGTATGATGCCTATTAATCTTTGTTTAAATTACCAATCAAGCTGTCAATGTAATCAATCAGAGCTTTAATATACCAATGTGATTTAATATACTTACTAATCTCTCTCGTCTCATTTTTTTCTTGTAATGTATCCGTTATTTTATTAATTCTGCTAGATTTTACCTACTTAAAATTATCTGTTAGATTAAGGACCTGCCCGAAACGCTGCGCGTACTAGTGGCTTTACAAGATTGTAAATACCTTGCTATGTATTCTCACAAACCCAGTGTACCTTCTTGTATATAAATAAATAAATAAAAATAAATAAGCAGAAGTACCTATTAAGGGGGCATATCAATGTAAAATTAAAAGTGGTTCAATTTGCTTATAAATTTTTTTTATGAAATGGTTATAGAAAGGGCTGCAGCTGGTCCAAGTTTCATCATCACACCCTAAACAGAAAAGGAGAAAAAAAATAAACAACGAATTATGCAACAAATTTTCAAATAGTTTCAGGGAACACATGTGTCAACTAAAATCATTTCTATAACACTCAGATATTAAATTAAGCATGTAATAAAGGATTCTAGTGATCAGTTTTATCAAAAAAGTGTTTAGTGCAATAATATAATTTTTCAAAGTTACCCTTCTAAAAAAATATGCAATATATGATATTTTTAAATTTTTATAAAATCAACAATTAGACTTTGGACTAAAATGTCTACTAGAGTCTGTAGAAGCACAAACGCTACATATAAGGTGTAATTTGCATGTAAATTGATTAATAAATGAAAGCTCTGAAGTAATTTGAAGGTGTAAATTACTTTCCAGAGTAAAATAAAGATCCAAGTTCGGCCACCTGTAGCTGAGCTTGACTTCGACAGATTTCGTTCATAATTGGCATCCTTGCAGATAGGCATCCATTGAGCAAGGTGTGCAAGTTTCATGCAAATCCCTTGATAACAAACGAGAAAAAAATATTGGCCAAAAAAAAAAGAAAAAAAAAAAAATTAAATATAAATATATTGCACATACATATTACAATTATTACAAGAGTTTGTGCTTCTACAGCACATAGTAGACATTTTAGTTGACACATGTGTTCCCTGAGATTATTTGAGAATGTTGAACATTCGTTGCATAATACGTTGTGTATTTTTTTTCTCCTTTTCTGTTTAGGGTGTGATGGTGAAACTTGGACCAGTTGCAGCCCTTTCTATAACCATTTCATAAAAAAATTTATAAGCAAATTGAACAACTTTTAATTTATAACGATTTAGAATGATATGCCCCCTTAAATTATATTTTTGATTTATAGTGTGTAAAAATAAGAATAATGGTGGTTGTGGTACAAAAATTGCAAATATGGTCATTTTTTGAATTCCCCTGTAAGAATTGTTCTTGTCAGAATGTTTGGATTATCCAGCAGGGGGTCGTTCCCATACAATTCTGACAAGTGAGCTTAGACAGTACTGTTGTACAGCATTTTGTCTTCCCCCAGTCACTTACAAACTGGTTATTTTATATATTTATTTATTTGCACTTGCAGTCGACTGATAATGTTGCTTGCAGCCGAGGCTGCCGTTTCTACTCGATCAATGAGTTTGTGTTGGATGACCAGCCCGACCATGGGAATGCAGTTGATGGCAGTGATGCACACCCAATCAAGACCGCCTGCTACAATGGTGAGATGGGCATACGTGATGCTATAGCCACGTGTGTTGTCTATTGTAGTATTTTCTGGTGTTCAGTAGAGTGGCAAGTGGCATGTCTGGAGGCATTGGATTCTTATGGTTGCCATATGTCCCTTGAATATCTTCCTTACTGCTCTTCTTGCCATGCTTCATTATATTCTACTTGCAGTCAACTTATATTCTACCCTTGGCATTCAAAGTTTAACCATTTGTGGCCATCTTCAAATTCTAAAGAATTTCTACCTTCAGTAGAATAGTGCAAAATTTTGAACTGAATAATGTAAATGGTGGGGGGCTAATAATGACAAACATTAATAATAAATCCCTCCCAGCTTTCCCACATTTTGGCTTCCTCTTAGATGTATTTCCCCTTATTTAACACTGATTTCAGATAGCGTTCTCTTTACTTACAGTACTAGTAATATCTTCATCATTTATCATTTTCACAGGTCTTGTTAACATTCATGTCTTCTTACTGTGTATCTCCGCTTTCTAAGAGCTTTTCTTATTTTCCGATTCTCGACTTGTAATCTTTCACGTCTTTTATCCTTGTGAAGTACAGACGCACTTTATCACGTGAAACTTTTAACGTTTGGACCCGTTGGGGTGTGTCCGGCTGTTAAACGTTAAAGATCCCACTCGGCGACGCCTAAAATGTTTACTATTTTTGTTTTTTGCTACTGTATTTTGGGGATATTGCCCCAAACCATGTTTGGTGTCAAAATATTTGTAAATAAATTTGTGTATTGATGCAAACCAATATGATTTTTGTTAATAGGTTGAGTGACAGTGTTGAACGTGTAAATGTTTATAAACATTTAAACAAATTTTTTCAACATACCAGTACCTCGTGTATTTTTCAACAAACAATTGTATAAATGTGTGTATATGATCAGTCTGCATTGATGTAAAAAGAACGCAAACAAAATTCTTACTTTTCCAGCAGGTAATTTGCAAAGTATTGCAAAAACTCTTGCCAGAGCAATTACGATCCTGAGTGATGGATAGTTGGCCAAGGCGATCTTTTGATTTCCAACATCAGCAGGGGTACAACAGGGTACCAACTTTGGTTGGTACCCTGGTAAGCTATGCCCATGCTGTGCTCTAAATAAAAATAAAAAATAAAGAATTGTGAATGACCTGATTTTCAGGAATTCAGAGATGTATGGTGCATTTTAGCAGCATGAGAATGCTCGAGTGTTCTAAAATTGGACAGCTCGTGTATATAATCGGACAACCCTTGAGAAAACAAGAAATAATTAAGTCGTCAATATAATTAAAAGAATGTCATAATGATAGAAGGATGATTAGAGTTAGTGAAAAGGTTTGGGGATAGTCCAAACAATATGAGAAAGAGCAGGTAAATAAGTGAATCTGTCTTTCTAATAGTGTTGCATTTTGATGCATACACAGAGGTGTATCCCACTTGTGTATATACTGTATACTGAAAAGCTTTAGCTCCTGGATTATGTTTAGGACTAAAGTGTATTTGCTGGTTAATTGGCATGTATCATAGCCTTAAGCCTGCCATCATTGTTGGCCCCCCAAAATTGTAAGATGCACAGTGAGAGTATTTTAGTACTTTATTCAGACTTAATTAAGTCATTGTACAAGAAAATTTAGTTGATACTTCTTTAGTATACATGTTTGGTATTTGATCTAATAACTACTTCTACAGCATGTGTGGAATCCTACAACGAGACATCACCTAATACAGCAGCGTGCAGGTTTGGGTGTGATTCCCAAGAGAAAGTGTCTGCAGATACAAAGAAGAACAAGGTTGTATGAGTTTAAATTATTATAATTTTAAATGTGTTCATTTATCAGGGGGGTGTTGTTTTGCATATTATTGTTGAACCTATTCTTTAGCTTCAAGCACTGTTTAGAAAGCAAATTTAGGAGAAATGTGTAGGTTAGGGGAATTGGGGTTTTAATATAGGTGGCCTGCTTGTAATCTCTGAAATATTTTACAGGGGTGAGAGACTGGCACAGTAGGAATGACTGTTATAGGAATGTAAACTTCAGATACTTTAGTGGTGTTTTAGTGGATGAATTAATGATGGAATACTGTTTACTCCTCTAGAAAAGATTATTTGAGACTGACCGTCAGTTTTTCAGTTGCATCCAGAGAACTGATTGAAACTCCATTGCTTTGTGACCCTAAAGTGGCAAAGTGAGGAGTCCTTGTGCTAAAGGCAATTGTATTTAGATGGGTTTTGTCTGAATGGATGAGTGAAGTGAATAGGACTAATGAATTGGAGTATAATTAGAAGAATGTCATAATGATAGATAGATGATTAAGAGTTGGTGAGAGAATTTGGGGATAGTCCAAACAATGAGCAGGTGAATAAGTGAACCTGTCTATCTAATAGTGTTGCATTTTGATGCATACTTTACCCAAGGTCAAAAATCATCTTGCTGGAAAATGGTAGCAGCTTGCAAAATTGACATACTGTAGTGTCACTGTTTTCTGTTTTGGGTCCTCTGGTAGGTTAGGAGAGGAGGGCAGTACTTATTTTAGTACAACAGTTTCCTGATGTTGAGGAAACTTTAAGGGGATGGGTTGAATAAGTTGAGGTGGAACAGTTTAAAAGCAATTTACTTAATATATAGTTATGAATTATTGAATCATTATTTTTTTAGATAAATTATGGGAAGGGCATGAAGAAGTAATATGAAGATGTAGGGCATTTATGTCAGTCTTTTGCTGGTGTGATGTTATTCAGGTTAGTGGGGAAGATTCAGTAAATGAATGTCTTTGGTAATTCAAATTAATTCCCCATATTGTTCTATTTCTTAGACTGGAAAAATAGGGTAATGATGGTAAATTGCTCATTTTTAATTAATCTAAATATTTTTGACTTGAATAAAATCTATATAAAAAAAGGACCATTACATTACATTACATTGCAGGGTGATGATGGTCCCTCTATACATCTGCTGAGTCCACTGATGCAAGTTCATGCAGTGTACTCCTCCTTTGTTGGTGCTGTCCACATTGTCCGCTCTTCACTGGTCACCTACTTTTTGAGCGATGATCGCTCTATTGTGGCAGTTGAATCTGAACCCAAACTCATGATGGAGGTGATTTCTGAGGAGGAAGACGAGCCGCCACTAGAGCTGCAGCAACGGGCCCGAGAGCGTGAGTGTTTCCTTAATGGGGGTTGCTTGGTATCCCCCCTTCATTATAAGGAGCTCATATTCCCATTAAAGTCAAAGATAGCCACCCCCCTTCCCCTTTTATCCTGGCTTCTCCAGTCCACACAAATTAGACAGGGGTAATTTTAATGAAATTAATGTCAGGTTTAGTCCAGGCACTTGAGCTTTGGCCTCTCAGCTGCACACGTAACGGGCTCCCACCAAAGATATCTTGTTTTGCAAACTTTGAGCTATGCTTATTCATCTTTGCTCATCTTAAACATGTGTTTTTTTTTATATTAATTGTGGTAGTGTGGTTGCAGTAAATGTGGAGGGAGGTGAAGATCCATCAGTAGTGCACTGTGTGTCTCGACGCCTTGGAGTGCCCCCTTACCTGCTGGTGGCCTCTGTCCTGGTCTTGGTCCTCTTCACCCTGTATGTAATCTTCGCAGTCTGCAGCACAGCCTCTCCCCCCAAGGCCAAAGGCTATACAGTGAGTTATCACTTCTTGAAGCTTTAGTTTTCTAGCTGCTCAAATTATTGCACATTTTCAAATATGCTTGTTTCATAAATTGGCCTGACAATGTAATGTTTAGGAGGTGCATGCAGTATTTGGCTATGCATTGTACTTGTACAGTTTGTTAAACTGCTAAGTCATGAAATGAAACCAGTCAAAAGTGCAAGAATTGAAATGATATACAGTATCTGTGTTCTTGGCAAACAGTGTCTCATAAGTGATCAAAGGCTGGGGGCTCTGGGGCGAGGAGACTTAAAGGAACCTGAACAATACTCATTCAGCCAATAGATGGTGTGTAAAAATTAGATAAAGAAGGTAAATTGGTTGTTGGAACTGGAAACTTGCTATAGTATCAATGACAGTATCCATGTAGGCTTAAAAGACTAATATATGAGTGTGTCAAGTAGGATTACTGAACATGGCTTTAAATTGTTAAACCTTGAAATATGTACAGACATTTGCCAAAAAAAGTATTGGGCATTGCCCTCGACATTTGCCAGAAAAAGTATTGGCCATTGCCCTCCATTAACTTTAGACACTATATAAAAAGGAACATGCAAAGCTGACTTTTATTTTTGACATTGGCTTATCTTTGATATCTTGTGTTCATTACCATCAAATTTAATGTACCAAAAACTGCCAAAAATTTACCAAGGCCTTAAATTTCTGAAAGTATTATTAAATGCCACTTACATAAGTGCACTTTTACAATTACACAATTCACTGGTGCTGTAAGACTTTGACAACACTTTCCGTTGTGCATAGTTGTTTTAACAATTTGGTGATCTGATGATAGCAAGCAAGATAATGTCGTTTAGAAACCTAAATTACGATGTGTTAAAAGCAATATAAGCAGCTATTTTTACACTAGTATTGGAATATGCAGCCCCTGCTTGGCATCCATACCTTGTGAAACATAAAACTAAAATTGAAGAGGTTTGCTACTAGATTGCCAGAGCTTAAGGGCTCAAGTTATGAGGATAGGCTGGTGAAACTGGATCTCATAACCTTAGAGGACAGAAGAGATGATAACAACGTACGCTGTACAAGATACTGAGGGGAATAGAAAGGTGGACAAGGACAGCCTCTAAGTCAAGAGAAAGCTTGGCAAGAGGACACAAGTGGGAGGTGGAATCTTAAGTGTTTCAAAGAAATGTAAGGAAATACCCTGTATGGGTGGTCAACAAGTGGAATGCACTAAGAGCACAAGTTGTGGAAGCCACCTCCATCCATAACTTTAAGGAAAAGTTTGACAAAGACATAGTGTGTTAGAATAGTGAAGCTTTAATGCACCGGGTACAAGAAGACTAGTAGGCAGGACATAGAGCTAGACCTCACTGCCCCATAATCACAGATGGGCAAGTACTGCTAGGTGAACGGAAGCACCGGTTGAAAAGAAACATATCCAGTCATTTATCCTGCCGGTGGTTTGACCTTGGGAGTTCAATTGTGAGCCAAGGGCAATGATCGATTAACTTCACCAATTCATTTAAACAAAATATTATTCTATAAAAATCTTGGAATTAAACTCTAGAATGGATAAATGGTTATTCTGGTCATGTAAGGCAGTATTACTGTATATAGGAACTCGTGAATTGCATAGTTATATATAACCATACTTAGGGTTTGTCTTTGACAATTATTTATTTATGTTAGCAGAATGGACTGAGTGTGCAAGCTGATCCTATGACACTGCCAATTAAAGTGGTGCGACCAGAGGATCTGACCCGACTCAGCTTTACGGACGAGGAAGATATGCAGGCTCCAGCATTACCCACCAAGGTCAAGCTGCCCGATTCTATCATCTAGCTACAGCTTTGAAAACTGCCAGCATAGCTAATATATGCAGTGTGTACTTTGATGATTTAATTTGTTGACAATTAGAATTGGTTTATCAGTATTTTTCATCTCTTGAGTTTGTGTTGGTGTCACTGCTTATCATGTTTGTCAATTCATTTATTTAACTGTGTAAAATAGTCTGCCTCATGTTTCATGTTGTGGGAACACGGTAATTAAGTTCATGCATGTGTACAACCCCTGCCCCCCCCCTCCCTTCCCCAGATAAAAAAGTAACTTAAGAATGTATTCATGTTCTTCATATAATGGATTACTGTAATTTCTCTTCTTATCAATTATATATTTTACAGTTTTTTTTTTTGCTGTAAAACTGCAGTATTATGTAAAACCTTTGTACCTATTTGCATTCCTGGTAAAACATCTGTAACTGTTCAGAAAGTTTATGAAGTTAGTTTATCCTCAGTTAAGGTTTTAAAATGTTAACTACATTTGGTTTTTCTTATCTGTTTTGCATTTAGAAATTCTAAACTAGTTTTGAGCTATTAGATTGTTTGCTTGGACCAATCAGGTTAACTGTTATTACATTAGATCTTAAACAATTTTCAAGTGTGGTTTAAAATTAATTAACTTGAAAGGATTTTTGGCTTTGCTCAAGTGATGTACCATTTTGATATAAAAGTTTAGTATGTGCAAGTGTATCCTTGCTGAACTTGACTAATGGTGTTTAATGTAGTTTTTCATGATTGCCATTATGCTACACTAAGACATGTTATTGAGAATGTCTTAAGCTTATGTGTTGGATATTTCTAATTGAGTATAAACCTGAACTAGTTACTGTTACCAAAGGTAGTTTATCAGAGTATATATTTATACTGGATGTGCCATTTTATTTGGTGGTCTGATTTAAGTTCTTAATATGTTGTGGATTTGCTACACAATAAAACAACTACTTATAATTTTGTTTGTTCTTTTTCTGTCAACAGAACCTAAGATAGCTAGGGCACCCCATTCCTTTTGGGGGTGTTGAGGGGAGATGGGCCTAGTTTGCCCACTAACCATACCAAGCACCACAAGAGTTCTCCTACCCATGTAACGTCACCGGTTCCTATTGCGTTGTTTTGATTTGTGAAACATTGGAGCGTTTGTTCCCGTGATTTCATTTGACATACAGTACTAATAAAATCTTGAAACGTCTGTGCACTGTGTTGGCTCCACATGCAGGCATTTTGTTAGTAAAATTTTCTACAAGTGGGATAAATAAGAGAAGGAGCTCGGTGCTGACATGTGAGAAGAAAAGGTTTAAGGTGTAGAGTGGGATGGCAAGAAGTGTTGTGTGTACTGAACATTAAATGAGCAAGACTACACTTTGACTAAGACTACATCTATCTATGACTATTTTTCTAGAAATGAAAGTGATAAAGCGATTCAAAAAGAAAAGTCGAGGAATAAAGTAAAGTTGCATAAAGAGTTGATAATACAGTGTGGGATTACCTCATCACCATCAGTCTCCACTTCAGTCAACCCAACACTATTCCCACCCACTACCTCTATCATATAATAACTGTGCAACATCAACAATTATCTTCAGCTTCATAATTAGATTGGAATGTCTTATATCGGTGAGTACAAAGTACTGTATAATTTTTTCACCTTAATATTTAGGATGAACTACTTGATGTGCACAATGGGTTATTCTTCGGTCTGTCCCAAGGTGTCCGGAAAGGATGTACAGTGACACCTCGACTTACGATCGCCCATATATGTACTTGCAAAATTTTTCAAGTTACGGCGTAAATTTTGTCGGAAAGTGCCGACTTACGACCGTGTCGTCGACTAACAACCTTTGTTGATATGCATTTGGGTCGAACGAGCGTGTGTTCCTGGTGGCACGGCCGACCCCGCCTCAGTTTACCAGAGCCGTCCGCTTAGTGACCATCACGCTTGTAAAGAACTTCGTTATTTTTGTGCTTTTGTTTTTTTGAACATAAGTAGTTATTATATATCACACCATGGGTCTTAAGAAAGTCAGTGGTAAAGTTCAACCTAAGAAAACACGTGTAAGGATGAACATAAAGAAAAAAAAAAAAAAAGAGATCATTTGTAAACATGAAAATGGTATGAGGGTTGTTGATGTAGAGTAGAGGATGTCCCTTCCTCATTTATTACAAAAATGTGTACAGTATGGGAAGAATTGCAAAGTTTTGCTAAAAAGTGTCACTAAAATCAAGCTGTAGCAGGCCGTTGTGTTAACCTTTTTAGTGACAATGTGATGTCTCACTTCAGACAAGTGTTACAATGTAGGGGGGAAAAAAAAGTCACTAGACAGGTTTTTAGTGATAAAAACAAGTAGTGAGCCACAACCAGGTCCTAGTGGTATGCCTGCAAAACCGGTCCGTCTAATTACCACAAGCTACACAAGCTTCAGAAAGCTTCCTGGCAATACATTAGTAATGAATAAATATGATATATTTACTCATTATAATGTTGGTGCTGAATGTACAACACGAAAAAACATAATTTTAATCTGAAAAAGTATCTTTTTATAAAGAAATTGGACTAAAATAAAAAGCTGGTGACGCCAAATCAAGTCGACGATCCAAGCTTCGGTTAGGTTAGGTTTGGTTTGGTTTGGTTAAGTTAGGTTAGGTTAGGATAGGTTAGGTCAGCCTAACCTATCATATTTATTCATTACTAACGTATTGCCAGGAAGCTTTGTGTAGCTTGTGGTAGCTTGTGGTAATTGGACGGACCCTGCAAAACGTAGGAGAGTGCCCTAGAAAAGTCATCACTGCCTGATGTTATAATGGAAGGGGACTCCCCTTCCAAAAACTAACACCTCTCCTCCTCAGTCTTCTATATGCCAACAAGAGTCCTCATTCAAGGTACATACTGTGTTGTAGTGTTATTTGGTATGAAATGTATTGTTAAGCTAATATTTTTGGGGTGTGGAACAGATTAATTCAATTTACATTATTTCTTGTGGGAAAATTTGTTTCGACTTGTGACCCATCTCTGGGAACAGCCTTAAAGTTTGTAAGTTGAGGCCCCACTGTAGTCTTGTGTATATACATTCATTGTACTGTATATACATATTCTTCTGGACTGTGCATTAGTAAGCCTGAAAACTTTTAAGACATTTGGTGATGTCCTCCTGGTATTGAGCCATGTAAGCCCCTGGTTATCAATACACAGTTGAAAAATCATTGTGATGCAGGGATAAAATACATTGATATTTAAACAGTTAAGATTTCTTGATTTCTCTATATGCCCTATTGCCAAAGAATATTCACAGTAGCTTAGACAGCACACACTACCTTAGGCAGTGTTGCTATAGATGCAATTATGCATTTTATTTATTTCAACAAATAGTTAAGGATTATTTAAATTTTGAATTGTGGGGATGGTCTGAGGTGAACAGGAAGGTTCATCCTTTGTGTGTGGGGGGGGGGGGGATGCTGTATCTGCTATGTTTTAAGACTTTGTGATAGGTTGTCTTCCCTGAAATGTGTACAGTGTGCCTGTGGACTCTAGAGGGTTGACCTCGCATATTCTTGGTTGATGTTGGGGTTCTGTGGTGGCTGAGCTTTCAACATCAAAGGACTCCTTTGAGAAAAGGAGGCTGAAGTCTTCCTAGAAAAGGGGGAGGTGTCTTTTTTCTGGGCACTTTGCCCTGATAGTTAACAATAGTAAATAGTTTGATAGTTAACAAGTAAATTGACACTTTGATAGTGTGGTGGGGGGACAGCTGAGTACTTCCTCCCGTGTCTGGGCATTTGGTGTGATGTCACTGCATTTAGATGGAGGATAGAAAGGTCACGGCAAGATGGCAATGTAGACTGAATGACGTGGTAGGCACCAGTTGTGGAATTCTGCTCACTTTTCCTCTAGATTCTACTAAATATCAGGATGCTAATCATACAAAACCATACGCAGGATTTTTTTTATTGAAAATCCATAAAGCACGGTTTGAGTATCAAAATCTCAATAGTGACAAAATGTCAATATATATATTTAAACCTGACTTGCTTGCATTATAGCATTGCATCTTACACATAATTATCATTCAGTAAACTAAAGTCCCCATGCAACCGCCCACATATGTCGCAGCTGGCCACCATTACGCAATCAACAATCTTGAGAACTATGTAGCATCTTGTGACAATTTTAAATAAAATTTAAAATCAAACAAATTATAAATTGCATTGTATTTTCGTGAATGGTACCAAAATTTAAAAATATTTATTTTTAAGAATGTGTGTACTGTATATGTATTGTATACTGTACTTAAAAACTGAAGATTGCAGTTTTCCTGATGTATGCATACACTATAGTAGTAGCCTATGTACTGAGTGTATATAAGAACTTAAGTTCACATACAAATTTACAAATGTATGGTCAGGAGTTTTGGCTTTCACCAGTCTTCAATCTATTTGAATCAAATTTATTAACTTTTCAATGTTTTTCAGTACAGTATCACAATTTAACCTTGGTGGACTGAACAGTTAACAAGTAAATTGACACTTGTATATATTTTTTTTTATTTAAGGCTGGCAGAGAATAAAGCCGAATATAACAATTTGCTGTGGGAGATTGAAAGTGTAATTTTCATTCATCGACAAAAACAGGGATACCCTTCACACACTTGCTAGTTTCCTCTCCCAGACTATGCCATTAGAGATGATTGCCAAAAAATAAAGTTAGACATTTGCTTGTACGTCGTTAGTTTTTCAAGTGTTTATCCAGTAAAATGGTTCTCTATAGACCTGTTGACAAAGCATTAAACATTTCATGACACGTGACATGATGCAGAACTTGTTTACTTTGAAGGAGACTTAATTTAATCTCAACATGACATCACAGTTGATTAAAGAAAAGTTAAAATGAACAGTTAAATCTGGCATAAATGATAACTAATTCTTATCTGAGAATGTAAAATACAAAAATAAAAGATGCAACTTATTGGTTCAGCAGCTGGTGGAAATATCATGTACAGTATATTAATGGCAAAAGGGGTACAAGATTGTCTACTTCATGGGACTCTGCTAACAGGAATCTCTTAAAAGTAATAAAGGAAACAAATTGATAGTGAGAGCATATACGAGACTCATCACAAGGAGCGGGGCAGCTGATAGCTTTGTTACTCATCGCATGGAGCAGATCATTTGAGTTTTACTACATCCTAAAAATGCTCATTTGCATCAAAATATACACATTACAAATGGACGAGTAGATCTGACAAACCATAAAGGTTAAAGCGATATGAAGCTTTTTCTTTTAAATGTCTATAGCTACCACTATCAGAGCAGTTGAATACTGGTTCTTAATCACTCCTGTCTGACTAGATCACATCACCCTTTTATGCACTGGATAACTGTTGCTAATATCATTCTACATTAGAAACTCCAGTTTCAGCATTTTCAAGCAACTGGTCAGATAAACTCTAGAACGAGCCATAGTGCTGCATGTCATTAGACGTTGACCAGGAGGAGGTTGAAGGAGGAGTGGGTGACGGCAGGTTTAGAGAGACGAGGCTGTGACTCAGCGAGTCTGGGCTGCAATCATGGCCAGCAAGCGTTTTTCTTCCTCTGTGAGTCCAGTCTTCAGGGTGCGCCGCACTGAAAAGTCATAATTATGTTTAATACTATTATATATAAAGTCTAGGGAACTGCAGATTCAATGTAACATTCTACACACTAGTGCTACGAGCATTGTATATATATGGCAAACCAAATACCATATCTGAGTATTACAGACATGACAACAGTGATCTATCATATCATGTGTGCATATAAGAAACCTTGAAAACTGCACAACAAACCCCATAACCAAGATGAAATTAAACTAAATTAGTGTAAAAGATGAAATGCCTAGGAAGGTCAGGCTAGTGGGCTACGAGACAATTATGGAGGTCGAGTCACTGGTAGGTCAGGTTGGCAGAGGTAAGCTTCTAAGGAAAGTCTGTTAAGAGAAAGGTGAAGAGATGGTAAAGAATATAAAATTGGAGGGAGGTAAGGTCAGTAGGGGTTGAAGAGAGGAAAAAGAAGTTCCAGTCAGTTAAGTACAGTAATGCCAAGGGAGATGAAATGTTAGGTTTGTGTGAATAAGATGACAAGGAAGGTCAGGTCAGTGTGGAGCGAGACTGGTTTTTCCATTGTCGGGGACAGGAAGCCAGTTAGGTTTATCGAAGCCCTCCTAGGCTACCTACTGACCATTTCCAGGATGCAATCCAACACCTCTTTACTAACTCCTGGGTGCCTATTTACTGCTAGGTGAACAGAGGCATCAGATGATAGGAAACCCAACATTTTTCACTTGTGAACTGACTGCATTGACCATTTGTTCTACAAGACTCCAATGGAAGCAAGAACACTTTGAAGAGAAAGGTGTGTAAACTCAAGCAAGCAACCGCTAGGTTCTGGGTGTGATTGCCAGGTAGGTAACATATTTCAATATCTTTTATCAAGTCCAATGGTTCTATTCATTTAACAGCAAGTAGACATCCAGGAGTTACTTGGGAATGGGTAGTGAGGAGGCTTCCTGGCCTCACAATGGGAAGCAGATTTCTGAGAGGCATGCATATGTGTGTGTGTGTGTGTGCAAAACTAACACAGACTGAGACTTCTGATAGGTCAAATAGCAAGAGATTTGTTGTGCATTTGTACTCGCTTCGGTAATACACTTAATAAATTGTTATGCATTTGTTTATCAATGCATTGTGACTTAAAAAATACAATATATTCTGACAATGAAATATGCATACATGCTGTATACAGTATATATTTGTTCAAAGCACTGAACATTCAATTACCAATACCATGAAATGTAATAAAAAAAGGTATAATTGCAATATCTCACTGCAACAACAGTTTTTTTTCCTGTTAATTATTTTAGTCACTTATATAAACAAAGAACAAAAATCATCATGCAATGGTTAATTACAAATTTCAGAAACTTTGAGATGCATGAAGCAGCATATTAATCACTCATTAAGCCATTCACCAACAACACACACATGTTGAAGCTGTAAACACAAGTCACAAACACTTGATACTGTAACTACAAATAACAAATATTTACCGACTACAACACTCAAAAATGCATTTTTAAGCATTTTCTTAATTGTGGAAGGAATTAAGAATATATTGGAAATATGGTAAGAGAATTGCAGTTGTCTGGCAGTTTGCCATGCACCAGGAATCGCCATAAGCTGAGAAGAGAGAATTACAGAGGATTTCGGCAGCGATGCGTCTGAAGCACAAGTCGAGTGGCCGGCGATGCCTCATTCAGGCAACGTCACCACCTCCAGGTGGGATAAGTCGGGTACACCTTTTCTTGACCTTGATCTTCTTGGTCCATTAGCTGCTGGGACTGTGAACCCATTTAAGTCATGCAAATATCTTAGTGCACATGGACATATTTCTTAAACTGTGTAAATATTTACAAAATTAAATGTTTACTTGGGTATTAATTTTACAGACTAATGTTAATTTAGTAGTTTATTTTCGGTGTTGAAGAGTGCCAAGCTGTAGCTTGGACCCCCCATTAATTATGTGATGCCTCCCCTTCATCACAGGTCCTACTATATATACATTTGAACTTAGTTTATGGCTTTTGCCACTGCTACTTCCTCCCATAATACATAAGTAATGTAATGAAAATCAGCTGGAAATTATTAGTAGTATAGGATACTGTAGTGCATACTGTACGTTCAAAGATAAACTTCACCTATTTAACTGACAATATAAAATAAAGTTCAAATTGTCATCAGAGTATAATAAAGGCAATATTCATGCATATTTGACAAGCAAAAGCAGTAGCCAAAAGTCAAACTTAATATTGTATGCATTTTCTTGAAGGGAATTTTTATTCTAATTACTGAACAAATGTGATACAATATGGATGTCACGATTCAGTGCTTGTAACTTCTCTCGGTACACATAAACGCATTCTTCTCAATGTTTTCCTGCTTAGACTAACATAGCATCTTGATATTATCTTGAGATGATTTCGGGGCTTTTTAGTGTCCCCGCGGCCCGGTCCTTGACCAGGCCTCCACCCCCAGGAAGCAGCTCGTGACAGCTGACTAACACCCAGGTACCTATTTTACTGCTAGGTAACAGGGGCATAGGGTGAAAGAAACTCTGCCCGTTGTTTCTCGCTGGTGCCCGGGATCGAACCCAGGACCACAGGATCACAAGTCCAGCGTGCTGTCTGCTCGGCCGACCGGCTCCCAGTTCCCAGCATTAACAAATATGAAGAAAAACTTATTTTTAAAACTTCTGTAGGCAAATATTGCCTACAGTACAGATTTTGTCTGTGGTAAATGCTTTATCTTGTTTTGTTTTTCTTTGACTAGGTACAGTAAAATCTTGCTCATGTGTGACATTTCTTCTATGGTTTATAAAACATGTAATCCACTTGTATTGCCCTTGGCAACACTTGACCTGTCACAATAAAAGAAGTATCGCATATATAGTAGTCTGCCCAGTGACTAAACCACTGAAGGTATTCCAAAGTTGTAGAGTTTTAGGGGTCAAGTTCTTAAAATTTATCTTCATTGAAAGTAGCAAATTATAGTTTAAGTTTAACAAAGTCATTGCATTGCACATCCATGCCATTTTTGTATACAGTATACAGTATTTAAATAAAAAGTTCATACACACTAATGTCATTCTTATGATATATAAGGTCAGCCGAGTGTACAGCTGTGTGCAGAGGTATCATTAGACGTCATGCAGAACCTTTGAAACAAAACAAAGATTAATACTTGGGAGATCTTTCATTGTTTATGAGTGCTTCACACACTCACTCTGGTGTTCCGCTGAGGGCCACGTTCTGGAGACCATCGACTGCGACCACTTGAGTACTTGCCTGATTGAGTCAAAAACATATTATTTCTGAAATTTTAATTCAGAATCAGTGAAGATTCTGTAGCAAGACTACTGATGCAGGCCTGTTTTCCAAACTTGCATTATTAAAATAAAACCCATTACATTATCATAAAAATGTTCAGTCTGAAACACCACTTCCCCTCAAACACGAGTGCTCACATCAGAGAAGCTACGCCTAGTCTGCTGGGCACCCGACGGTGGGGCCATGTAGCTGAGAGTGCAGATGCAAACCTGTCTTGTTTTTGTGGTGCTACATTGAAGACCTTCACTCCCACACACTTCTATTTTGTAGAAAACACAAAACATTCTGCTACCATGACTTCCAAAAGTGGTTATTGTACCTGTAATTGCATTGCCAAAACCTCAAGTAGCAGCAAACCAAAAAGGAAACTTTTGTGATGAGTTTTGAGTAGAAAGTAATTGTTATAAGACAAAGAATCTGGCATCTCCATGATAATTTTAAGTACAGTGCAGTATATATGTAACGAAACTCACACTTTTATATATTTTGAAGACTAAGAGTAAAATCTTTACTCGTTATACTCAAAATGAGACTGATATATTAATACAGAAGAGGAAGCAATCAGCCAGTGTAATGCCGGGAGAGTGCACCCATGACTCACCATGGGAATGTCCTGGTAAGATCAGCCTGTAACCTCAGATTCAGCTAGAGTTAATTGAAATATCATCTGGCTCTTCCCTAGTCAGCTTTCTCCTCTTTATGAATAATCCTGATGGTCTTGACAAACAACTTAATGGTGCAGCTTGATTGCTTTTTTGTACATCATGGGAAGCTGACGCCCTAATGTGCTGACCAACCATTTAGGTGTGCAAAACACACTTTTCCTGAGTTGGCTGAATCAGCTGGGAACAGGTCCACACCAGACTTTCCCACAACAGTGTAAAATGCCCCCCTTCTGATTCAGTTGTATATATACCCCTGTATGATCTCATAAAATATGTAATTGTCTAATGTGTGGGTGGTTGCCCATGAGAGGAGTTTATTGGTGTGAAATAAAAAAAAAAAAAAAAAAAAAAAGTTTTTTTCCTTACTCTGATAAAGAACCGAGGTGTGAAACCTTCGAGGCTGTGGAAGAATTGTCTGTTTTATGTTGGTACGGGCAAATTATCAACAGCAGGAATTTTTTTTATTTTCCTGAGATCAGTGAATAATGGCACCTATTACCACAAGATTTTTTATTTATAATAATAATAATAATAATAATAATTTTTATTTAGGTAAGGTACATACATAAAGAGATTTTACAAAGTTTGTTGGCTTATGTATTTATTTTTTTAAACTTTTAGCCGCAGTGCCAAAAATCATTGTGGGGGGTCTAAATGTGGTGCTATTGTGCTGTTTCCTTTTGAATTCTGGCAATACCAACCAGTCTATGTTCATCCCATACCCCAGACCATTCCCTCTGCCAATTTGGGTGAGCCTAGCTCCAAGTGTGTGCCTTTAACTTTGAACAGACAGACATTCTCTGTTATAGTATAGATTTGATAACTTGTTCACCAGACTTGATTACAGTATTAAGAATAGTTTGCAATTATCCCAAAACTGACAATTATCTATTAAAATTTGAAAGCTTTCTAAAACATTAAACTTAATAATTTAGCCTAATCTAACCTTTCTGATGAAGCTGATAATGAACATTAAATATACTGTACTGAAATCTAATAATCTCTGGTTTTGAGGGCGAGATAGTACCCAATAATACCAATGTCAGAGTTAGTCAAGCCCACACAACAAAAGACAATAGAGTTATGCCACAAACGTTTAGTAACTTGTTAGTTGCATTCTCATTTCATGAAATAATTTCAAATGGGGTAACATTCCGAGCTAGGTCACTACGACTCCATTGAGCAAGATCTTGCCATGTGTCGGCCTACCCTGACCATGTATGATGCTGTCCAGAGAACAAACAGGATCTTGCTTATGGTAGCTTTTCATATACAGTACATGAATCTTGAAAACCATTTTTTTTTTTAATTTAGTATCAAATTAGTTTGCACAAATGTTTAGGAACTGATATAACCAAACTGATGGCCACACACATGACCTGTTTATTATTTACTCATAATGCAGTTAATAGGGATTATGAAAATCCAATTTTTTTTATTAGCAAAATGGGAATAGGGATTGGAAGGTTTTCTGAGATTAAGTCTCTGAATGCGACTGATACTGTACACAATTTTGGCGCGTACAAACTATTACTATCACACAGGGAACTTAAGGGGTCAAGGGGTTGTCCATCATAAACTACCTTACGAAGAAATACTGTAAAGAGGTAAAGAGAGAGAGTCGACGAAGGTAGACTAATCAACATGGAGTTCCTGAACCATTTGAAGTGCTTCCAGCTCATTAATGAGGTTGCGGTCACGAGTTCTGGACCGCTTCACTGTGCAAATGGAGAAGTTGTGGCTGGTTAACGTGCAAAGCATCAGCTGGAAATCAGTCTTATAAATTAAAACAAATGAAGATGTGACACTTAAACCAAGATATGAGAAAGAGCAAAGATTAATATCAGTGCAGTATTAGAACAGAATCTGTTAAACATGGCCGCAGTACTATTATGCATTAAATAAGAATAAGAGTGCTCTTCCACAAGTTAAAAATAAACCAAATAATATTCATAAATAAGCCAAAAGCTGAAGAAGAATATGCATTAAAAAAAAGCTGAAGAATAATGGTTATTAGCATTACTTCCCAATAGTTATTACAAGCCATAGGTTTCTTTTCCCCCCCTAATGAGAGGGATGTCCAAGTCAAGATTCGAAGAAGACCAGATGAATGAAAATTGACACCTCTCATGCCAACATGAACAGTTATAAGTTATTGCTTCATTGCCAATTCAAGCCCCTTGTGGGTGTTGGCAAGTGTTTATGGTGGTCACACAAGCATGCATGCCTTCCACTGTCCAGCCTTCTTTCACCTCACCTCACCACCCAACCCCATTACACACTTGCTCATCCTCACCCTCATTTTTCTGTTGGAAAATATTTCAGCCATGTTAGAAGCCTCCTTGTCCAGTGTGTTAGGTGTTGTTATTACAGGTGTACCGGTGTGTCGGGTATTGTAATCACAAGTGTACCAATGTGGCACATGTTGTATTCAGGAATGTACCAATGCACCAGTATTGGATTCACCTGTATGTAATCCATATCTTCAGGTAATCAACATGCCACATATATGCCTTTAAAAGGAAAAAGAAAAGAAAGGAAGTTTCAGAATTGTTCTATGCCTATATAAGAAGTTCAACTAAAACAAAGAACTTAAAAGGACCCTTAAAAGATGAGAATAACCAAGATATAATAGATAAAAGGACAGCAAACATTAAATTAATACTTTATGGGTCAGTGTTAACTGACCCATAAATGAATACTTTACATCAGTGTTCACACTAGAAAGATTAGACGACATCCCATCACCCACACAAATGTTTGAAGGTGGTGATGAGAAGAACTTAAGGGATATACCCATAATTTTTTACATAACCAGGAGGAGCATTGATAAATTTAGACTCAAAACCCCAGAAGTGGATAGAATTCTATCAAAGTCATATAGGAACTATACCTACACTGAAACTCCTTTTCAGAAAATTTGGACCAAGGGATAGTCCCTCTAGATTGGAAATATGCAAATGTTACCCCTATTTTCAAAAAAGGCAGAAAGAACTCTGCAGAAAACTACCATTTGATCCGCTTGGCATCACACATCTGTAAGCTCATGGAGAGAATCATAAGAAATAATAATTCACCATCTCACAGTGAACAATCTTGTAAAATCGAAGCAACATGGGTTTCTTAAAAATAGATCCTACCTTACAAACCTACTCACATTTTTCAAAATGGTAACCAGCTACTACTCAAAGGACTTCCGGTGGATGTAGTATACGTGGATTTTGCTAAAGCCTTTGATAAGGTACCATATAGAAGACTAGCAAGGAAATTACAGGCACATGGAATAAATGGTAGAATTCTAGAATGGATAAAACAATGGTTTAACCCTTAGACCGCACAAAAAATATTAAAATTATGTAAAAAAAACTTAAAAATGGTACACAAATCTCCAACTTATTAGCTTCAGTGTCGTGAAACTTTCATCAAAATATTTTCAGAAATTTATTTTAGATGAATTTTTAAAAAATAAGAACATTTGTTGATAAGGAGAACAGCTCCTAATAACTGGAACTGAAGGATAATGCAGTAATAAAGAGATACAAGCACCTGTCCGACGCACAAAGAAGAAGAATAGTAGTAAGAAGTGTCCACAAAGTGGATATACAGTTGGTGCCTTTATATCATTGCCGAGTAATACATAATAACACAAATAATAATGAATAACTATGTTAATATGCTCTATTTTGTTATATATTATATAAATACATTGTCCAATGTTAACACTTTCGCTCACCCCGCGCGCCACCCCTCGACAGGGCGATATGGGCCCCAGCGTGTCACGGAAGCGCACGTTAATTCCGAAAAGTGTATACTCTCTTCAACTTTGTCACCTCAATTCTCCTTCTACGAGATTAAATTTGGTATCATTGTGTTCGCAATAAAATTCTCTACAGCACTAAATGCATATAAACTCCAAAAGCCCAGCTAATTACCCGCAGCAAACAGAGAAAGTGCGAACGAGTTACCCGGGAGCGCGCACACGGGATAAAATGTTTTCACTATTTTCACTCTGGTCACCTCAATTTTTGTCCTAGGTCTTTCATTTTGGTCTCAATGGGTTCGTAATAAAATTCTCTAGAGGAACATTAGCATGTAAAAAAAAAAACCTGGTCACGCTCCAACCGCCGACGAGTTGAAGACGGGCCACGCGTTAGCCGTGAGTGAGTGCTCAGAGGCCTTCCTGCTACACTCCAAATTCCCACCCTTTTCAAGCCTTTCTTTCGCAATTTTCTTCCTGGAAGGGCCTTGTTCATGATTACTATCCATCGTGGAGTAAGCGTAGATAGTTTCTAAAGCCGCAGTAAGAAATATAGCCACGGGAAATAGCCGAAATGTTCACACGTTTGAGATGCGAGGGGAGGCAACATTGGTCACAACAGTGGAGCAAAGACAATGGGCCCACGGCGTGTGCCAAGCCGCCTAAGGGCCACGAGGCTCAACAAAGAAAATGGGAAGACATCGGCGCACATTTTAAAACCAGTCCCAAAAAAATTGGATAAAAACCTGATTTTTGGCGAATTTTTAAATTGGATGACGCAATGCTGCGTCATCCCCGGCATTACCGCCAGTAAACGGATGACGCAATGCTGCGTCATCCCCGAGCGAAAGTGTTAATATATGTTACTTTCATCAATGTCCCAAAAAAATTTTTGTAGGGAAATTTTTTTTTTAAGATTTTAGTTTTTCTCTCCTTTGTTTATTATCTGATTTTGTTGTAACTTTTACATCCTGGAGAATGTATACGTTTCCCTAACTATGTGAAGATAGAATGAAATTGGTCTACAAATAAATAAGTCACAACTTGCAAAACTTGGGACTTTAAATTTTTTATGGCTGATTTTTTCTTTGATTTCAAATTCTATTTACTTTGTCTCTTTAGTTTGTTTTGATGATTAGGGACCAGATTAGGGTTTTTTCACTTATATAAAGTATACCCTAAATACATCCCCTAAATCATTATTATTATTATAATTATCCCTATATTTTGTATTTTTTGGTGGTTATTTTTTTTTTTTTTTACTTCATTTCAACATATATTGACCTACAACTTTCACATATTCGAGTACGAATGCCAAACAATGTTTATTAAAACATACAATTAAATTAATGAATTAAAACTACTGTACCTTTATTCATTATCGATAACTTCAACTTCAATTATCTCTGAAAGTAGAGTTTCAACTTTGAGTGGCTTCTAAAATTCCAGTTTTTGACTGATTCTCACTATTTTGACATAATGTGTGCTCAGCTGTCTGTTCTACAATCCCTTCAGAATTGATTTTTCATACACTTTATACATTCAGAGTTAAATTTTTTTTGGTCTAAATTTGCCGTATATTTCAAATGCCTTTTGACGATGTTTTTTACAGTAAACTATACTGAAAACCTATATTCTAACTTTATGAAAATGAAGATCATATGCTATTCTGAGAGAATAATAACATTAAATGAACAATTGGTGATAGTTCATATTTTTTATTCTGAATTGAAAATCTGAAGTTTTCAATATTCAAATTTAAAATTAATTTTGATTCTCTTGTTTTTCAAGTTACGTTGTGATCATTTAGACAAAGTTGGAGCATTTGCCTAGTTGATTATGCAAAAAAAATTGGAAGGTGTTTGTGCAAGTTTTAAAAACTTGTGTTAAATTATTTTATGTCAAATCATATATGTATGTATTGCAAGGTCTAAAGGTTAAACAAAGCAAACAATGGGTCGGGTTAAATGGGAATGAATCTAACGAGAAATATGGTGAGTGGGGTCCATTATGGGCCCAACCCTCTTTGTCATATACACCAATGACAGATGAGAATATTACAAACCACATCATCAAATTTGCAGATGACACTTATGATTTATGGTAAAGTGGGAAGTCAAAATGATATTGAGGCCTTACAGAGATTTACCTGAACTCCACTAAAGGTCAGAAGACTGCCAAATGCTTTTTAATATAGAAAAGTACAAGACCTTGCATGTGGGGCATACCAACCTGTGTAACAATCCACATCTTCATGGTCTCTTTCAAATTAATATCACTACCTTGCAGTAGATTGCTGAAGAAAAGGACTTTGGAGTCAAAATCCATCACTCACTGAAAATTGCACAATAGGTAACAGGAGCAGCAGTAAAAAAAAGCTAACCAAACCCTAGGAATAATCAAACATACCCCTGACTTTAGGGAAAAGAAGGTAGTCATTCAACTGTATAAATCTCTGATGCACTCTTGCTTGGATTATGGTATCCAAGCATGGAGACCTCGTCTTTAAAAGGACATAGCCACTTTGGAGAAAGTTCAACACCGGGCAACAAAAATCATTCCAAAACTAAGTCAACTCTTGTACCAGGAAAGGTTGAGGGCCTTGGCTAATAACACTGAAAACCAGGCATGAGAGGGCAGATGTCGTCGAAACTTTTAAAATACGGAACAATTTGGAGATTTTGATTCAGACAATTGTTTCTGAAGGTCAGATGTAACACAAACAAGGAGTAATGATTCCAAGCTCGGTAAGCCACAATGCAGGACTGAGAACAGGAGATGCTTTTCCACCCACAGTGAAAATATCAACAAACCCATGGAACTGCCTACCTGCCAAAGCTGTAAATGCTAAAACTGTTAAATTTTATAATCCAGCTAGAAAAAATCATCAGGGCAAATGGGGGACCTTTGACAAGCTTGCCCTTATCGAGGCCACTAGAATGTTAGTGGCCCTCAGGTAAATTCAGGTGAATGCAGTGCCAAAATGTTTCCCAGAAATTGAGATGTAAAAGGGTGGTTCAAGTTTATACAAAAGTATCAATAATTCATCATAAAAGGTTTCCTAAGCAACCTTAAAAGGATCCCCCTAATCAACCATAAAAGGATCCCCAACCAACCATAAAAGGATCCCCAACCACCCATAAAAGGATCCCCAACCACCCATAATAGGATCCCCCAACCAACCATAAAAGGATCCCCAACCAATCATAAAAGGATCCCCAACCACCCATAAAAAGATCCCCAACCAATCATAAAAGTATCCCCAACCAACCTTAAACGGATCCCCAACCAATCATAAAAGGATCTTCAACACACCACAATCAAAAATGTGTGAAAATTGTTTTATCAATACCTGTACCTGAACCAAAAAAAAAAATGTAACATGTATTGAATATACTGTACATTAGTTATACAGATTTGTATATACTCTATACTTACAAGACTTGCGGTCTGCATGCCGTGACCTCTTTCGTTCTCTGGGTGTGGAGCGAGATGACGGCCCCTGTGTGGCTGTTTTGACCAGGGAGTCTAACAAGGCATCATCACCATCGGCCATAATCTCCGCCATGCTCTCCTCACCTCGACTTCGTGTTTTACCTATAAGAAAATACAATGACTTTTGTAATATGTTTGTAATATTTTTTAATATGTATTTTTACAAACTACAGTATTACAAACATATTCTACTAATATATTTGTAATAAAAATATTGTAATATGGTTGTAAAGCACAGAGGCTTAACATAATAGACGTACGATTCATTGATTGTTATATGTGTAAGTTAGACATACCCGTACAGTGATACCTTGGTTTTTGAATTTAATCTGTTCCCAGAGACAGGTCACAAGCCAAAAATTTGTAACCCGAAACAAATTTTCCCATAAGAAATAATGTAAATTGAATTAATCCGTTCCACACTCCCAAAAATATTAACTTCAAAATACATTTCATACATAATACACACACAAATATTTCATACTATAGTACTGTATGTACAAGTTATAGCTTACCTTTACTAATGACTCTTGTTGGCGTATGGAAGACAGCGAGGAGGGGGAGTGGAGGAGAGGTGTAACTGTTTGGAAGGGAAGTCACCTTCCATTATGACATCAGGCAGTGATGACTTCTCTGGGGTACTCGCTATCTTACGTTTTGCAGTCATACCACTAGGACCTGGTTGTGACTCACTGCTTGCTTGTCTTACTAAGAATCTGTCTAAAGACACTTGTTTTTCCCTACATTTTAACACTTGTCTGTAGTGAGACATCAATCACATTGTCATTAAAAAGTCAATGAAATGGCCTGCTACAGCTTTATCTTGAGAGTTATTTCAGCAAAACTTTGTGGTTCTTCCCATACTTCACACATTTTCTTAACGAGGAAAGGACATCCTCTACTGCCTCTACTCACAACTATGTATTTCTTAGGTTAAACTTTTCCCACTGACTTTCTTGGGACCCATGGCATGATATATAATAATTACTTTTATGTTCAAGACCAAAAAAGCAGAAAAACAATGAAATTCTTTACAAAGAATTCAAACGCGATCGTCACTAATCGGGAGGGACTGGTAAACTGAAGTGCGGTCTCCCGTGCCACAAAATTTCACGCGTTCGGTTGATCCATACGTGTAGTATCAACAAAGTCGCAAGGCAAGGCAAAGTTCAAATTTTTTGAAGCAATTGAGTTTGTAACCCCATAAATTCGTAGAGAGGGACATACACTGTATATGAATGAGTTTGGATGGTTATAAATAGGAGCTGCCACGTATGGACCAACAGGTCTTTTGCAGTTTCCTTGATTCTTAAGTTCTTATGTTCTTCATTATAAAAACCAGTATCATGTACAATACTGTTGATAAATATCTTTCATTTCAGGTTATTAAAATAAATGTGACTAAGAGAAACATTTTGCAATTCTGTAATTTGAATTACTGGTATGTATACTATTGAAATTTACAACACCGGCAAAGAATGGCAACTTTTGGCTTTCTGTTGTCAAGCACAGGATGCCTGTTTGGCTTATTGAGGTCCCCCTAGGCCATCAACTGGACCCTTTCCACATGCGTTATGAGGAAAGGCTGCGTAAACTGCACCTCATGTGCAGAAAGACAGAAGAGCTCAGGGAGACATGATCACCACATACAAAATTCTCAGGGAAATTGATAGGGTAGACAAGGATGGATTATTTAACATAGATGGTACATGCACAAGGGAACACAGGTGGAAGCCGAGTACTCAAATGAGCCACAGAGACATTAGAAAGAACTTTTTCAGTGTCAGAGTAGTTAGTGAATGGAATGCATTAAGCAGTGATGTGGTGGAGGCTGACTCCATACACAGTTTCAAATATAGATATGATGGAGCTCGAGATGCTCAGGAATCTGTACACCAGTAGATTGACGGTCGAGAGGCGGGACCAAAGAGCCAAGGCTCAACCCCCACAAGCACAACTTGCTAAGTACAATAGTTGAGTTACTCTCATTTATCTATTTACTTTTAGGTAATTGTATTTAAATTCTAACAACTCTGTAACTCCATCTGTGTCCCCGTGTTAGTGTAGTACCCATGCTAAATAGCCTATTTTTGTCTGCCTTGTCTATTCTCTTGAGTATGTTTTATATGGCAATCATGTCTTCCTTGTTTCTTCTCTTGCAGTGATGTGAGGTGATCAGGCTTCTGCACAATACTGTACAGTTCTTACCGTCTCTCGTTCTTCTCCAAGTATTCTTGCCTCGTATGGTCTCAGTGTCCGAAACATCGGAATAGTTAAGAAGCTGCCTCAGGTCTGAGTCGGCCTTTTCCTCTTTAGTCTGTTTTGGTCTCTTGAACTTCTCCATCTATTTGAGAGGGAATATTACATTAGTACACAAAATAACTTGAGACATTTATCGTTATTTAACGAGATCAGATGCTAAGTAATAAAATGTTGCATATGTACTCCGATAACACTAACATGATGAAGGAAAAGCACATACAAGCAGTTACTGTATTGACACTACCTATAGAATGTGTCCAGTCACTCTCCTTACTGAGGGAGACATCAAGGATAATAAAGATCATACTACTACTACTACTACCGTGCAGATCTTAATGCAACAACAATCATATCAGTATTGAATTGTATCAAGGACCACAGGTTCAAGTTTCTTTGTCAAATTTCTAATGAAATTTCAAATAACATACACCAGAATGATTGTATTGACTAATGTTAGCTTCAAAACTCAGATTTGTTTTAGAAATATACTGTTACTTTTAAAAACATTTAATTGGTTGAAAGCGTCAAAACAAAAATATTTATAAATAAATAAAATTAACAAAAATAAAGATAATTTTGAACATTTATAGATGTCCTTATTATTGAAATGATAAATATTAATAATTTATTATTTGTTTGTAAAGCTATTGTAGCGACTGGTTATTCTGAAGAATTGACCAGACAAAACTCACTTTAGTCCCAATACATTAGATTTAGACGAAGGTGATATGTATAGACGAGCAATATTATAACTGTGGACTAATATATTTAAACTTTCAAACTTCAATGCTACATTCTTACTACACATTTTTTTCTTAGCAACATTTTATCTAATCATAAGATATTTTTCTGTGTAGTCATTCAGTATATAATAACTAGACTGGTGGCTGGAGAGATTAACTGCCCTGCCACAACTGATGATGATAATTATGATGTCTTAAGACAATTAATCATTTACCATATAGCATATATTATTGACACAGCATCACTAAACAAAACAACATAACATTAATTCAGTAATAAAATAAAGTAAAAATCATATATAAAATCTTAGAAAACAAAATGAAACTGACTAATGAGCATATTCTCCAACATAATTATTAACTGTAATAAATATAAGGTTAAGAAGCATTTCAACAGCCCATGACACATTAGTCAAATACCGATCGGCTCTTCAAACAAGGCTTGATGATTCCATTGGCTCGGTAATCTGGCTCCTGCAGAGAGAGAGAGGGAGAAAGAGAGAGAGAGAGAGGTAGAGTGAACAGTGATGACAACACCACATGTCTAAGTATTCAAGTGCTATATACCTTTACTCAGTGCGTATCTACACCGAATAGTATTTTACAGCTCGTTTTCTATCCAGGCTTATGCTTTACCATTTATGATTAAACAGTCTTTCCATGGTATAGTTGTGGCCAGAAAGCAGTGGTTGATGTGCATGTTACTCAGACAGACAGGTTCATTTCTGCTGGGTTTGGCAAGTAGCTGGACCGGTGATGATATGTAAATGCTCATCATTAGAGCAGCTTTGATAAGCTTATACTTCCTGTCCCTGACATGGCTCTGCAATGTTGGCATTAGGAAGCCAATTTAGATTCATCAATATACCCTAGACAATAACCTGCCATTCTTAAGGATGCAATTCACAACAGTCAACTAATTTTAAAGTATGTATCTATTTACTGCTAGGTGAACAGAAGTACTTGGTATAAGAAAATATGAGCAAACATCTTCCCTTGACTTGAGATCAACCCACAACCAATTAGTTGGGAGTTGCCTGCACTACAGGTCAATGTACTAGTAAACTATTAGAGTACTTGCCTAGATTTAAACTATCCTAAATTTCTCTTTTTACAGTATCAAGAGTTAGACCAAGTAATTATCTAATTGTTGTTACATGATGAGTGATGCTCATGGTATCTTGTCTTCCTTATAAACTTTGTCATAAGATGCTTTGAAACTACAGTAATGATAGTTATGACATACGCCGCAACCTCACTATTGTTCCGTCTATGACTGTTTGCAAAAAGAGAAGTCTCGTATATTTTTGACATATTTGTTTCCTTAGCTTGAACCTATGGCTGGTTGTTCATGAAATTGCAGGTTAGAGAAGTTCTTGTCAGTTGTGTTGATTCCTGTTTCTATTTGCATGATCGTATCACCTCTTCTTCTTCTTCTATCTTTCAGCTTTGATTGGATGCATTATTATGCTTATATTGAGCTATATTAATGTGTTAAATTGCATATCAAACATGTATATTAATATAAAAGTACTTTCCAGAAATTATCAATATAGAGCCCAGCAAACTGAGTAGTGATGTGGTGAGCAAAGTCGAATCACAACCAATAGGACTTGGAGTTTAATTTTGGTGCAGTTTGAGTCATTTGGACATGTTAGTTTACACCCAATGCCTTTGCCCACCTATCAGTAAATAAACACCCGAGAGTAGATCAACAGCTGGGGGTTGCTTCACTGGCAAAGGTAAGTAGTTGGCCTATGGTGAATCTTGATAAGCAAAAGAGTCTTCCTGTCCCTAACAATGGAAATCTATATTTGTACTATATTGACACTTCCTAAAGACATTCAAACTCCGGAGAAATACATTATTTTTATTTTTTTGACTTGAATGAAACCCCTTAACATATACTAATTCATCACTAAGTCTAATACTATTTTTTTAGATTCAATACTTTTTCTGGGATGAATATGAATCAAGGCTGTTAATTAGGGGCCAGGGACCTGACAGCTGAGTGGACAGCACTTCGGATTCGTAGACCTAAGGTTCCAGTTTCGATCTCCAGTGGAGGCGGAAACAAATGGGCAGAGTTTCTTTTACCCTGATGCCCCTGTTACCTAGCAGTAAAATAGGTACCTGGGAGTTAGACAGCTGCTACGGGCTGCTTCCTGGGGGGGTGTAACAAAAAGGAGGCCTGGTCAAGGACCGGGCTATGGGAACACTAAGCCCCGAAATTATCTCAAGATAACCTCAAGATTATACCTACAAAAAAGCATTAGGCCCTAAATGTTCCATAATGGTGGTGTAATTACCTATAACAAATACTTCACTTACCAATGTTATAATGAGAGGAGAGCCAAAATTATGGTGCTAAGTTAATGAAGCTGAGTGGATAAAATTACATATAATACACCATTTGGATGAAACATATATGTTAACTATATAAATGGTAATTGCATAAATTTTTACTGAAGTTTAATGATCTTCATGCTTTACCAATAAAACTTGCATGGGTAAGGAAACTTGTAAGAACAACAGCAATCTTGTACCATACTGGGTGCAGCCTTTCACAACTCTAATACAGTACTGTATAGTACAGAATAAGTAGTTTGGTAATCTTATTTATAAAAATATAATAATACTGTACTATAATTGATTTGTCAATTTTTATCAATCCATACCTCCATAATCCTCTTTCTCATACTGTTATTCCTCCGAGATGAATAAAATGTTTGATGGGTATTTCCTAATACAATATTTTACTAGAACAACCTCATTTCTACTAGCAATAAATAAATTTAGACAAAGATATTTTTAACCACTGCATACCTCCATGATCATCTTTCCACGGGTCTTATTCCTCTCCCGATGGTTTGCCTTCTTCTGAATCTGCTGCAGGACACGTTCTCGGCAGGTTCGATACTCAAGAGCAAACTCGCTAATGGTCGAACAAACGTGCTGTACTTTAATTTCTTGAGCCATGTGTAATGGGGAACCCAACCACACCAAGAACCGTTGAAATCTGCACAAATAATATTACCAGTTAAAATCTGTATACTGTACTCAAAATGTTTATTTAGTATGCTAGTACAGTACAATAGAGGAAAGTCACATCCAATACACCGAGTTAGCTTATCTATCACCGACTGAAAATGTCTGTTTGCCAGTGCTTGTCTTGCAAAAAATAAGGTTAGTAGGCAAGTAGCTCATTTTTTTAGTCAATGAACTAAATTTGTTTTGACTTTAATTTACTTTTTAACCAGCACTTTTTAAGGTAAAACACTTCACTAATGCAATTTCAGTACAAGTAATTAGGGGCTAATGGGAACCTGAGGGCTGGTGAAAACTTAGGATGTGGACGAAACTTTGGGTTAGTAGAACATCTTAAGTTTAGTGGGAAATCTTAGGGATTATGGGAAGATTTAAGGTGAATGGAACACCACAAATCTGTTTTCTGTGTGATGGTGGCATGTTTACACTAGTGGTTCAAACACTGTGGGCTCTGCCCTGGGTTACTCACCTGGTCATTACTCGTCGATAAATAATGCCCAGAACAATTATACGCTCGGCACAGTCTGCTAAAAATTCAGACATTCTGAAGAGAAATATAGAAAATTAGTATATATCGTACTTTATGTTTATAATCTATGTTATATTTCATGAGAAAGAGAAGGAATAGATAACAGACAGGCTGCTTCACATCTGGTAACTACTTATGATTCACTGAAAAATTACCTTAATTATAGTAGTGTATCTACAAACTTAATTGATAAAATATTTGCACATACCATAAACATAAAATGTGATAATTGATGATGAAAAATCAGAAAAGCATATCAGTTATCCAGTACATCTTAACCCTTAATCTGCTAAGCTATTTAATAGTCTAACATGAAGGTGTGCATGAAAAAGTATTGAAAACCCATGAGTAATATGGTGATTTGCACATTATCATGTGTACTGTACTCTATAAATACATTGTCAAAAATTTTTGAAAAACTTATATATAAGCAGCTTTACTCATATCTAGCCAAACTCAATATACTTAGCCCTTGCCAATATGGCTTCAGACCCAAAAAAAGCACTAACGATGCACTTATTAGTATGCTTAACTCGATTCATACAGCTCTTGATAAAAAGGAGTTCCCTGTTGGGTTATTTGTGGACCTGCGTAAAGCTTTTGATACTGTCAACCACCATAACCTTCTTCTTAAATTACATCATTATGGAGTCAGAGGACACTCCCTACAATACCTCGAGTCCTACCTTACTGACAGGCTCCAATATGTTTCTGTGAATAATGCACTTTCTCCCACCCTACCCATCAACATTGGTGTTCCTCAGGGCAGCATACTTGGCCCTCTCCTCTTTCTCATCTACATTAATGACCTTCCAAATGCCTCCCAACACCTCAAACCAATTCTATTTGCTGACGACACAACCTTCATTTACTCCAGTCCTGACCCTCTTGCTCTAAATGCCACAGTAAATACTGAGCTAAATAAAGTCCATCTTTGGCTAACTACCAACAAACTCACCCTTAACATTGACAAAACTTTCTATATTCTGTTTGGCAATAAATCCTCTAGTCTTATAAATCTCAAAATAAACAATACCCAAATTTGTAACAAATTAGATGGCAAATTCCTTGGCATTCTCATTGACCACAAGCTGAATTTCCAGGGACACATTCTAAATATATCAAAAAAGTTTCAAAAACTGTGGGCATTCTTTCTAAGATCAGATATTATGTACCACGCCCTGCCCTGGTGACTCTCTATTACTCCCTTATCTATCCTTATCTCAACTATGGTATTTGTGCTTGGGGTTCTACTACCCAAAATCACTTACGTCCTCTAATTACCCAACACAAAGCTGCTATTAGAACAATATCCAACTCTGGCCCCAGACATCACTCGGTACCCCTACTCAAATCTCTGAATATGTTAGATATTAAGTCACTGCACATTCTCTCATGGATGTTAATGTTTGCATTTTATATGCCAACATTATACACAATTTTAATCTGAATCTATTAGTAAGCATTCATAAATAGATTATTTTCATACTCTAATAATGTAATTTAAGTTTATAGTAGTCATTTAATGTGTAAATCATCTCTTCTCAATCATTCCTAAAGAGATTGTCAGTACATCAAGAAACAGATAACATTTAGTATAATGACACTGAAAAGATAGCTTACTTGAGTTTAATCTGCGTTGGGCCATCATGTTTTGCGATGGCCTTGAGATGGTCCCACGACTCCTTGCAGTCTACCTCCATCTTATCAATGTTGCTAGACAGCTCTTCAAAATCCACCTTTGAGGCACGTGTGATAGCACCAATCTACAAGAAGAGTGACCCTTGTGAGGCTTTGGTCTGGTGTAGGGATTAAAACATGTCAAATGTTCTCAGTATATTATGGCCACCAAAAGAGCTTATTGGCCAACCAGCAAGTATACATTAGTCCTGAACTTAGACCAGAACTAAAGTAAGCTTGTGTATATTCACCGAGAACCTTAGATAAGCTTATTTATATGAATGATCCAACAAGACATGAGCATACATGAGCATTCTTGTAAATACCAAAATGTGATGAAAGTAGAAAGTAGCAAAAGACTGCACATACATGTAGTTCAAGAAAATTTAGATAAACTGAACAATTTCTGCAAAATTTAATGTACACAAATGGTATATAATAGGATAATAGGAAAGAATAAATATCCTAGGTTGTAATAAATAGTTTTATAAATAGCATACAAAGAAAAGAACAATTTCTTTGGAGAAAATTCAACACAGTGAAGCAAAAATCATCTAAATAAAATCAGCATTGAATGTAATGAAATGCCATATTCTGGGTGAGCCCCGGAGGCTCCCCGGAGCTTACCGGGCTGACATGTATGTATGTATTAGACTGTAGCATCAGTCGATGGAATTTTTGCCTACCAGAGACCATGATCCAGAACCTCCCCCCCCCTCAGAGAGACACGAGGAACAATGGCCTATAGAAACCCCCCATGTGTTTGGAAGCATTCCATGTCTCCCATCGATCGGGGTTTGGCACCCAGAAAGGTAGGCATAACAAAACAAACCATAGTTACCAAACATGTTACATGTTACCAAAGACAGCAGCCAAAGGAGCAAACTTACGAATGTCATGGGTACGAGGATAGACCGCAGGCTGGCTGGACCGGCCACACACATTGTAGCTGACAATATGTGGCAGATGTCAGCTGACAGCATCAGCTGAGTGTGTGCCAATCTCTGTTATTGTCTGTACCCACCATACCAGCTTAGTTGTACAGTTATGATGAACAAAACATGTAGATACTTATATATATATATAATGTCTGTGTATATAGTTTAATAAAAGCAAAAACAGTATGGTGGTAGGAGGAATGTTGGTGAGTGAGGTGAGAGGGAAGGAGGTGGCATTTGCTGGCTGGTGTGTGGCAGCCACTCTTGTTGTTTTGACTCACCATACCAACTTAGTGCTTGGTTATGGTGAACAAAACATGCAGATACTTATATATAACCTGTGTATATAGTGTAATAACAGCTAAACTATTTGTTTATTGTTTTATGAACATAATAATTGAATCACTATTACGCACACCATACTTTTGAGTATAGCGATGGTTCACACATTTTATTATATAAATACTATATCAAACTACACACTATTGAATAATATTACTGCAAAAAAAATTAAAAAATTAATCAGAGACACTGAAATAATTAGGTAATATCATCTTTGTGGCAACTCCTGCCTGACAGCTCGGGTGGAGCTGACCGCCTCAGACGTTTACTCTGTCAACGCCTCAATTTTGCCAGACTTCCTCGCCCTACTGTGGCCAAAATGTCACCCTACGATTTTTTTTTCTGCGGTCAGGGAACATAACAGTACAGTATTGTAACTATTGTTGTGGCTTGTGTAACAAATCTCTCATGACATGCTAGCCAGCTTCTCTTACAATTAAATGAAAAACTTGTAATTAACTTGCCTCTGAATATAGATCTGAAGTGTCTGAGAACTTTTCAATGACCATGTGACACAAATGGTGGAGAAGAGAGTGCTTGTGAACTGTGTCTTTTACTTCGGGCACCTTAGACAAGTACTCAATTTGGAAGCCTCGGCATTCTGTACCATTAAGGAAATTACCAACAGACAGGAGGACCGACAAGATGATTTTGAAAGTATGATTCTTTTGAAGATCTTCAACTCCTTGCTTCAAGTCCATCAATGGTTCTGCAACTTCCTATTTTAATTAAACAAAAAGGAACAAAATAAACTATTAGCATAAGGAAAACTAATAAACAGGTGTAAAATCTATTCCTTTGTTTCCCATTTCCTACAGAGCTCTAGCTTCCAAACTATCAATTCAGTGCCTGAACACCACTATGATGTTTACAAAAGAATTATATTACAGGGAAAACAAGCATGTTAAGTCTTTAAAATGAGCTGTAGGTGGAAGAGCTCTTGCAAACAAGAGTCATAGGACTTCTTACGCAGTTAATTATATTTTACAAAATGGATAAATCATAAAAATAACTAAATTTAAACAAATAACTTTAACACCCCCCATTACTTTTCCTTCTCTCAAGTAGCAAATACTGCATGATACATGTACAACTACCTGGGCAGCTTTCACTTACCTTTTCCATGTTCTCATAGTCTAGTTTGAAGATCCAGAGTTTTAATCTGGCAGGAAGTTCCGAGATGGACGAGAGCATCATGAGGAACTGCTCTGCTGAGCCCAGAGGCAGCTCAGGGTTGCTAATGGCAGCTTCTTGAATCTTATGTTTCTCATCAGGTGTTGGCAACATTGTTGTCAATAATTTCTGCAGAAGGATAAGGGTATAAAGTGATATCCCTATTACCATTCTTAACCTGAATTACCTGAGGGCCACTATGTCTGGTTACCTCGAGGGGGTAAAGTAAATCAGCAGGGCTTGTCAAAGGTCTCCCCATTGATCATTCAGTATCACTGTAATGAACTAATTATATCTGAAAATGGCTTGGTTCAGTATTACAATTAAGGTGTAATGTAGTATCAGTTAAGAGCTAATTACCTAATTACCATATTACAGATATAATTTAATTCTAATATTGTTGTCAGCATCTAATTCTAACAAATTAGCTCACTATATTTGTCAAGATCTAATGTTATTTGAAAATATCCACGACCACTAGCAGAGTCAAGATCACATTCTAAATTAAAATGGCATCACTTGTTGTCACAACCAAGACTTCAATCTAACTGGAAATAAACTGGAATTTAATTATCTGATAGTGTACAAAATGTGAAATACAATAAATTTTATAAATTAAGTCTTATTAATATAAGCAGACATATTAGGCATTTTTTTATTATCTGAATTCGATAACTGGAGAATAATACTTACAAATACAAATTCACAATGCAGCCTTGCCTGACTTGACCACCACAGTGGATCACAATATTTGGAAGAAATCATTTCCCAATTGTCAAAATATTGGTGAAATATAATATGATGTGTGTTTCAGCAAGATATCTTTATACACCACCCCAACTCTGTATTGACATGTCATATTGATTTTGTATAATTTTAACTGATTATCCTGTGTTTAGCAGTAAATTAATTTCTGTAATATTTAACATTATATACAGTACTGTATACAGTGGAACCTCGACTGACAAGTGACTCCAGTTACGAGCATTTCGAGTAACGAGCAAACCACTTGCAGACAATTTGTCTCGACTGACGAGCTTTCGCTCGATTAACAAGGGTTCCCGCTGGTTCTCGGACACCTCCAACGATAGTAGTGTTGTTGTTTTGCAAGACAAGTTTTCCACATGACGAGCTCGGTGCCAGAACGGATTAAATTCGTTAATCGAGTCGCCACTGTATTTATTTTTTATTATGTTTTAAGTTGAACAGTTATTAAAAATTGTGTTTTTCTCTGACTGTATATAGTGACCTCTCATAACTTATGATTTTGTATTATTTTCCAACGATATTTTGTTATTTTTGAGTGGAAAAATAGGTATGAACAGTAGTGTGACTAACCCAGGAAGAGGAGCCATCTTATCATGGACGACATGGCTAAGCTGACAAAATCTGAACAAGGCAGCTTGACAAGATGTTTGCTATTGACACTAGTACTCATGGCCATGGTCCACAGGGAAGAATGATCAAGAAATCAAAACATAGCTTGATAAGATTGCTTACAAGTGCTCTATGCAACTGCATAATGCAGCAATTTTGTACAGTACAGTATTTGTTTTGGTTTCCCCATTGTTAGTGACAGGAAGCACATTATTATTCAACGGTTGGCAAATTACTGAAAGGTGAACAGAGGCATTAGGATAAGTAGCCAAACACCTCGTCCCACCCAGAAATTCAGAAGTAAGCCTACACAAGGCAACACAAGCTAATCTACTAGCCTACAACATAAGCCTTTTGTTTTATTTAGATCTTTTCTTATAATGTATTTACCTCCCAGTACTGTATATTTAAACTCCATTCTTATACAATACAGTATACTAATTGCGTACAGTATGTATGCAGGGCCAGTCTTAATTTCTCTTTTTCACCAAAAGTTTCACTATAAATATACAAGTCAAAATAAAAACACCATGAAAATACAAAATTGTCACCTCAATGCCTTCTCGGTTGATGATTGAAGAATCCATCTTTAGAATTGCGGTCTTGATAGTACGTGGCGGCGGTAGCTTAGTCATGCCGATATTTATGACATTTGAGCGTTTGGGATCCAATACTATCAATTCTTTCACCCCCTTTTGTTCTTGTTGCTTCTGTAGACACGGAGGAAGATTGTTTAAAAGGTTATGTATAAACCGAGCAGACATCCCATTTGTTAATGATTTGTAGAATATTATACTACTTAAGCTGGCAGAAATCTGAACTGCCAGAAGCACTGTAGATTGTAAATTGTGTAAAAAATTCCTGTCTTACAAATACACACAATTTTTTTTTTAGGATTATATTAGATTCAGATGTTTAGCAATGTTAAAAGCATCATCACTATCTTCATAGTAAATGTTTGCATGATATAATGTCACACAAGAATTTATACATTAACTAAATTCATTTCAGGATCTAATATAAATTATTATCAAAGTTGATATAATATAATGACAAGACACATAGGAACTTAAACATCACAAGAGTCAAACAAGAGACAGTCACATGGTCAGGGGTCACGTCACGTCACATTCCACACCTTCACCAGGGAGACAACCTCCAAGCAACACACACTCCCCATGAACACAATTTCTGAAACATTACTAATTATCTTCTCAATATGTGAAGCAAAGAATTAGGACAAATCATTCAGATTAAATTATCACAAACTTTGAAAACTGGTTTATCCACTTTGGACAGTGACGATTGAAAAATAATGGTACCTACTGCAGATAAAAATCAAATGTAAGTAAATGATTTACAAAGGCAGTAGTGTCAGATGTGTAGCCATAATCAGTATTTATTTAAAAAGTAAACAGTATTTATTGTATGAAATAAAATTATTTCAATGCAAAAAACACTGATTCATATCACAAGAATAAGTGACTTATCATATAATTTGTGTAAATCATTTACAAAATTTGGCCTGGGGACCTATTTTTATTATGTTCTGCTTACTGACAGTCAAATGCCCCCCTTTCTTATCAACATGGGAAGTGGGGGGTTGCAATAATTACGTTTCAGAAGTTAGTCCATGGTGTCCCAGGGAACACAAGGTATCCACAAGTTATAAAACTACAAGTTTCTCTAATCCCATTCTGTATCATTGACTACCTAATAACATAACCCCAGTCATAATACTGGCTAGTACATACATGTGTATATAGTACATATATATATATATATGCATATATATATATATATATAATTTACATATACGTATGTATAGAGTAGGTATAAATTAGAAAACATCTCGGGAAGCAAACTTAATCCTTGTATACAGAAATTTAAAAAACAATAAATGCAATGCTGTAAAAATATATCTAAATTATGTATTACAGGTCTCAAATACAAATCAAACTACTCAATGTTTATCAACGACATATTTTAAATTCATTGTCAATCAGACTTTCGACAATAGAATACAGTACCTGTAGTGTCAAATTGGGCAATAGAGTAAACCTTGGGTGTGCCCGAGAGACAGCCACAAGAAGAACACGGTGCTACTCTACAACCACCACTATCACAACCTACTGGATAGTCTTAAATACAACAATACCATCAATAAGACTACCATTTTCTCTCATTCTCAGTCTGTTTTCTCCTTTCTTGTTTTCCTAATTTTCGGTCTTTAAAAGCTCTTGCCAAAAAAATATGAACTTTTCTGCACATTAATGTTTACCAGCAAGACTGGTGGCTGCTTCACTACACTATAGCTGTAGGCTGACCAGTTTGTTATTTTTGTAGTAACAGTTTGAGTGGAAATCAGGGTTAGCTGTTGATTATATCTCAGTGCAGCTAGATTTTATCTCCACCTGCACAAGAGATAAAATCAAATCAATTCACAATTCCCTACTGTATTTATATAAGTCAAGAGCAGACATATTACACACAATTGAATCACGTTGTGTTGATTACACAACCGAGCAAGCCATCAGCATTCTACATCACATAGGTTAGCATTGAACTGTGCAGTTTTCTGATGGATGAACTCAGCTCAGTCCTTGTAACAACTGTTGGTACCTCCAAATATTTATGAATGCACTTTCAGGTCTGTAAAACCATTCAGATTCTGATGGTTACTTTTTATTTATTGATTTTTATTTTTTTACCCGACTTACCTGAGGGCCACTAACACTAGCGGCCTTGATGAGGACAGGAAGCCGGCCGCTTCTTGAAGGTCCCCCCATTTGCCTTGATGATCTTTTCCAGGTATATTTTAAAACTCTAACACAGTTTTGGCAGTTACAGCTTCGGCGGGTAGGCAGTTCCAAGGGTTAATAACCCTGTGGGTGAAAAAGCATCTCCTGTTCTCAGTCCTACATTGTGGCTTGTTAAGCTTGAAACTGTTGCTCCTTGTTTGTGTTACATCTGACCTTCTGAAGGAAATATCCGGATCAACATCCTCCATCTATCACAAAGAACCTCTACGTATTGCAGAGATCCTCCATCTATCGCAGAGATCCTTCATCTATCGCAGAGATCCTCTACCTATCGCAGAGAGCTTCCACCTTACACTACAACCCTTCAACTATACTAACAAGAGAACAACACACTCAATGCTGCTAATTTATACTGTTGAACAAAGAAACACAGTTGAAAAAAGACAGAAAAACAAGTAAAGGTAGAGTTTGAACCGTAACAAATTACTCAGGCATACAATAAGCTGCAATAGATCAAGAAATATCGTTAAGAAAACACTTGCTAGACACGGTAAAAAGTTACCCCTCTAACTACAGGGAATAATGTGGACAAGAAGCTAAAATTAATTACCAGTCACAATGTGCATACAGTATACAGTATATTGATAAAACAGGTATTTTATACATAGTAAATAAAACTCGAAGCACCTTAATAAAAGAATGCAGAGTAGAAAATGGCTGAGGAGAGAGATGAGATAACACAACACAAACAACGAGTGAGGTTTGGCATCCCCATGCAGGTGAATCTGTGCAAGCAGTGATTTGATTTTCAACATCCGAAGATAAAATGCATTTTATAACGAGCACTTGATTATGACAATTTCATTATCACACTACAATGAAATACAGCATTTTCTAATAATGAAATCTATATTATCCCCAAAAGAAATCTTTAAATTTATCACAAAATATCCACAATCTTAAAAATCAAATCAACAACAGGAGCATAAGAGAAAAACATTTAAAAAGGCACCAGCGCATATAATATTAAAATAAAGCCTGACTTACCTCCTAGGGTCGGCAGCAGCACGGTTATATAGCAAGTGAAACAGACAAAATATTATTAGCATTTAATAATACATAGCATTTATATATGGAGCAAAAACAAAAATGCTGAGGCTTTATAAGCTGTTAAGGAAAGCATTGTTTTATATATGGCTGAAAAGCTGGGAACCACAGCAGTACTGTACTACAAATATGTACAGATCTGTGATTGTGAAGGAAGATTAGTATTTACCTTTCGGGGTTAAAATATTGAAATGTGAATGATGGTAACACCTTGCAAGGTGCACTGCAGTTTACACCACCAGTGAGGGTTGTTACATAACAGCTATCAAAAGGAGAATATCTTATACAGTACTGTCTGCAATAATATGAATTTCATGACCTACACAATGTTAGCAAAAGGTCCCATATTGACATAACCAATGTTAGCACAGGTCCCATGCCGACATAACCAATGAGTGTGTCACGCGATAAATCCCATACAATGCTGAGTAAAGTTGCATGAGCGTGCTGGGCCCACTGTGCCCACAGCTTGCTCTAATAACAGTAGACCAGTAGAGTGCAGTCATCAGTCAGGTCAGGTCATGGCAGTAATATAACACGGGCATATTTAATACCTGCTGTTCACATTTAATTTCTTTGCAATATATCAAAACACATGCATATTGAGGATTTAGCATTTAACTAGGTGAGCATTCCACGAGTTGCTAAATGTGTCGCCTATTATTACAGACAAGACGCAAGCTTTTCACCTATGCATCTGTGAACATTTATACAGTGCAGCATAACTTAAAAATTATATTACTTTAAAACTTTACCTTAAAACATTAATTACTAATATATATTTGGGCCTAATTTTAATGACATTATTCAGAGTTTTTTAATATTATAGGTATATTTAGGTTAGGTTTATTTAGCTTTGATATATTTAGGTTTTATATTTATAAATATAAAACAAAAAGATTGAAAATTAAATATTTTAGGAAAATTCAGCTAGATAATTTTGGTCATTAGGGCCGGCATTATTATATTACCACATGCATGTGTGTGTGAGTGTGTTTTGTGGAGGATGTGCTGTGGCAAGAAGGGTGTGGCCCAGAGGGTGTGGCCCTGGACAGTGTGGCCCAGAGGGTGTGGCCCTGGAGGGTGTGGCCCAGAGGGTATGGCCCTGGAGGGTGTGGCCCTGGAGGGTGTGGCCCAGAGGGTGTGGCCCAGAGGGTGTGGCCCTGGAGGGTGTGGCCCTCAGAGGGTGTGGCCCTGAAGGGTGTGGCCCTGAAGGGTGTGGCCCTGGAGGGTGTGGCCCTGGAGGGTGTGGCCCTGGAGGGTGTGGCCCAGAGGGTGTGGCCCTGGAGGGTGTGGCCCTGGAGGGTGTGGCCCAGAGGGTGTGGCCCTGGAGGGTGTGGCCCTGGAGGGTGTGGCATTATTTCCGCTCGCCACCAATGAACTAGTACATAGTTTAGCAAAGTTAGCCAAGCTAAAAGTTTGTATGGTTATCCTGAATGCAATGAAGCATATTAGCAGTCAGGATTATCACAATCAAACACAGGCATTAATGTATTCATTGGTGATACTTCACAGCAGGGGAATATATTGCAATGTGATTCGAATAAGACCTTGTGTATTTACCATTTAATAGTTGGAAATTTGTCAGTTATGTCTTGCTTAAAAACAATAGTACAGTAATTATTTGTGAAAAAATAAGATGCAAAATGGGCAGCTGTAATTGAGATACAGGCTGAGCCACTGTAATTGACAACAGTGATTCAGTATTCATCAGAAAATACTCCTAATAAAGGGCCTTAATAATCAAAGATTCCTATACTGTATAATAAAACCATCTCATTGTCACTCTTGTTTATTTTCCCCTCAATCACTTGCAGATTTGAATATATACACAAATTCTACTTTCCAACACTAATAATATGATGTGACAGTGAGTCAGAATACGGTGCAAATGTAACATGTGGTGATCACATATGTACTATTAGCAGACATATGTAATTACATATTACATATGTGGTTATGTGATTGAATAATTAAATAAACAAGGTCTCACTTTATTTTCCCAGCAAAAACAAATACAGTAATTTCAGTGTAAAATTTATAACCAAAACTTAATTACGCTTAATTTACTATTATTGGGAGCCTATGATGAGCATAACTTGCACAATACAGTACATGAATTTTGTAATATATTTGTTTTTTTGCTGCACACGTTTAAGAAGAAAATCTGGAGAAGAATGGCATTTTCCCCCTTACCTTTGCAATGAGATCCTTCGCTCTGGACTCAAATAGATGTTCAAGTTTTTGAGTGTCAATGGAAACATTTTCTATCTTATCCCATACAGTGCCATCGTGTATTCGAGGGTCCTCTCGAACCTGTGGAAATTATACTTAAGATACATTAACATTACCTGCTTCAGACTCCCATAGGGTGGGAAGGCACCAGTCTGGAGAAAAAGGGATGAGTAACATAGGAGTATAAGAAGGTTACAGCTTTTGGCTTCCAATTTGGAAGCCAAATTTCCAAAACTATAATTTTGACTTGGGGTACAAGAGACCTGTTAGATTTATCCAGGTCCCCCTAGGCTAACTACTGACCTTTCCCCTATTTGCAATCCACTAGAGTTATATAATGTTCAGGTACCAATTTTCTACTAGGTGAACAGTCATCGGGTGAAAGGAGATTTGGCCAAACATCTGTCCTCTGAATGGGAATTGAACCCTGGACCTCTCGGTTGTAAACCTTCTTTGAATGGAATCAAATGTGATCTCAAACTTAACAAAAAGCATATGTCATCAATGGATAATCTTCATTAGGAATATTTAGTGAACGAATCTCTTGACCTGTGAGCAAACTACCAAAAGAATAAACTAAGGACTTTGTGTTATATAATTACCATTACAGTACTATTATATTAGAAGTTTATGAATCTTTCACAGTTTCATCCAACATTTAATTTTGAGCCATAAACCATGTTATTCTCTAAAAAGTAAATTTGACATACTGTATCCTGGAAATAAGAAATTCAAATCATAAAGTAGAACAATACTTATAGCCTAAATTGCATGTAAGAACTATTAAAACAATTAAAAATTTTACAGTCTTACTATCAACTCATTACACTATACATAAAAAGTCATAATACTGTAATAAGATTATAAATTCATTCTACTTCAGTGTAATTATCTATTCATTATTGTGATCATTAACTCATTATTGTCAGCATATTAAAAACTAACCTCTTTCCAAAACAGCTTAATGGTTTTCTTAGTTTTATGAGGCTTGAGGAGAGACAATTCTTGCAGGTGTGGATCTAAACCATTCTGCGGTGAGTCTACTGAGCATGGAGGAGCTGGTGGTGCTGGAGGAGCTGGTGGCATCCCAGGGGCTGGCGGAACTCCTGATGGTGGCGGAGGTGGTGGTGGGGCTCCAGGCGGCAATGGCACCCCAGAAGGTGGAGGCGGAGGTGGAGGTGGCACACCAGTTTTCTGTGTTTCTGTTATGAGTGTGTCATCATTCATTGTCAGATCTGTGAAGTCTAAGTCACAGAGATGAAGGGGTCGATTCAGGTGTTTGATCAGAAGCTCCCATTGGATGTCATTTTCTGACTTTTTAGGTGCTTCTGGTAACTGAATGAGATTGTCTTTTACGTCCCCTTTGGAATGTGATTTCGATAAACCATCCTTGATTTTATTGATGCGGTCACTAATGTCACCTTTACGTCCTTGCTTTTCACCCTCCATGACTTGACCAGTACTGGAATTTATCACTTTGTCTTGGAGCTCCTGAAGGTAAAAAGACACGAAATCAAGATTAATTTAAGTCGCTTACCCATAAAGGTACAGTATGACTGTATAAATGAACTCTTTCTCTACATCTCCACACACAGTGCACATGAGCAGTCCTAGTTGAGAACTCTAGTACAGCAGCAGGAAACTGAAAATAATTGTTTTGCTTATTTTGCTTAAAAAGAGTCATACTGAAAATACATTGCCAAAAAACTGGAAACTATTCAATAAAATTAGAAATAAAGCTTTGAGCTTTTATGGAATCCTCTTTTTCTAAACTGTATTATTCAGCTGTTAATTCATGTAAGATCATATCGTGTCCTTGGATGCTTATCGAATATTTGGGTATGTGCAACATATAGCATATTGCTACAGGGAATTTTAAGTATCCCTGCATAGTTAATGTTCTGAGAACATTTTATTGAGAATACTCAAACCACCCCAGAAAGAAGTTCCACATAACTTTAAAGCCTTTCCAAGCTCTCGCTTGTGATCACAGGCGATCTCCAAACAAGGGCTGTCAGCAGCTTCCTGATCCAATCAACTGCTCACCACCAGTAGGTAGCACCTTACTCATCCTGGGGTTTAATGACTTATGCCAACTAACATACGACCTCACAGTGAAATCTACACACGAGAGGGTCAAAGGAATGGTAGGGATGGAAAGCAGATAAATGAAACAGCTCAGGAAATAGCTTTTCACAAAAATTCAAAGGGGTCAAATATGGTGAGATGAATAATATTGGGTACCACTCATTTGTGCTGCAGGTGAACATCCAGACACTATAGTGGTCTCTAGCAGAAATATGGCGGCAGCAAAGGTATCACAGATCAGTCCCGAGTCAACTCGGCAGAGCTTTGATTTGCACTAGTGATTTTGGCAATTCACCGAGCAGGACTTAGGTTAGAAGAAGATCCATCATGCACAATGTTATATCTAGAACACCTGGAGTCTTCATACATCTACTAAGCAAATATGAATAAAAAAATTGAACACAATATAATGGGCCATGATAGCAAAATAATTTTACCTAGGAAAAGCCATACTAATGATAGTGAAAACCTCCTTCCACTTAAGGACTTAAAAACAGAATAACAATTGCCATGCAGAAAACAGTGTTACCTGCTAGCAAGGCAGAAGGACCAAACACTTCTTACATGAAGCAGACATAGACCCAAATGTTATTCAGAAGAAACATTTTGTCTCACCTAGCCTTAGGAGCAGGAAGACAGAATGTCAGAAACTCTGAAAGAACAGGTCCTCCTCCTCAACAAGGAAGAACTGAACCTAATATGGTACAGAACTATAAACACAATCAGACTTAGTAACCATAATGTAACTAGCCAAATTGACACCAAACTGCGTCCTCATCACATGTCACTCCTACGTAATCACTGTTAAGTAAACACTGTTAGGTAGGCACACACCATCTGTTCAGATCATATTAAAAAAAAAAAAAATCACAAAGAAATAAATACCTTAACAGAAGCCCCGGAATTAATCTCAATAGGTAAACGCATATTATTATCTACATTTTCTTTATCTTGAAGGCTGGATATTCTTGATGCAATATCCTGTATGTTACTTAATGACTCCCTGCGGCCCGTTCCATCATCATCCCTTTTTCCGTACATCATATCCATCATCCATGATGCCTGCTTATTTAAGCCAGATATTTCACTGTTTTTACGGTTTTCATCCTCCACATTGTTGCTGAAAAAATTAATAATTTATTAAAACAGAAAAACTGATACCCCTATCTTTAACCTCCTGGCAAATCTGGAAAAATGACGTTGATAACTATGAATCTTACATTGATTAAAGTTACCCAAACATGTTTTGCCCACTGGGCTTAGTATGATATGATATGGTATTTACAAAATACTGTATGTTTAAAGAGTAGCTTTATTTAATAATGATATATATTTTCAGTACACAGTTTTATGTTATTACACTAGATATTATCTATATAGTCAATATAAACAGATGTATAAAAATGTGAGGGCTCACTCAGATGACTGAGAGCCTCGTCGAGTCTCATTAATAATTTCTTGCTCGTTTATAAATGTTCTATGGCGTTCGGCTCGTTCACGTCGTCTTCGAAGTGCCGGGGTTACACCTGCATCAGCATCTGAACATGAAAGAAATTCCTTTTGAATACAGACTAAAAATGGAAGAATAAAGATGAAGACAACTAATGGGCATCTTTAAAGTACAGCATAAATTTGATATTTTACAAGCTTCCTCATGTTACTCTGAAATGTCTATTGACTATCCACCTAATAAACACTATTATACAGTGCAGAACTGTATAATAGTGTTTATTATTATAGAACTAAAATAATCACTGCTTACGTTTAACACCAGACAAGTCATCGTGCGGAATACCAAATGACTCGCCATTGATGTTGATGACTGTGATGTGGTCGTCGTCGCTGCTGGATAGTCTACCACCACCGTCCTCCAGGTTAACTCCCAAGTGTTTACCCTGTGGATAATATATGATATTTCTTACAAGTCTGCAGTAATAGTTGTTCATTTTGCTTCACCACTAAGAGGGCTCTCCAAGACAAGTTTTGACCCAGTAAAAGTGGGTACGTGATGTTTTATTTAATTTCTGATTGTTGGGGTCAGAAAACATGTAAGGATTATTTAGGTCCCCCATCCTTGGTCAATAGCTAATCATTCCCCCTGGATACAACCATAATATTTTACTAATCCCCAGGTGCCTATAGCTACTGCTGGGTGAATAGCGGCATCAGGTGTAAGGAAACTTGCCCACATGTCTTAATCTATATGGGCATCAATCCCGGGCTCATTCAGTTATGATCCGACACATGCTGGCCACTGCACTACAGGTTACCTGTCTGGTAACATCTAATAGGCCTATACCTGTAGTCTTTTTTCCCTATAATACTTTTCAATCATGGGGAAAGTATGATACTCACAACTGAAGGACCCGAGTTCATTTCCTGGGCAGGGTAGAAATGATTGGGCACATTTTCTTTCACCCGATGCACAGGTACTACATCAGTTCATCTATCAGTTAATAGATACCTGGGAGTTAGGCAATTGTTGTGGGTTGCACCCTGGGGAAGGTTAGCAGTTGGCCTAGGGAGGACCTTGATAAGCCTAAGTACAGGCTTCCTCTACCTGACACCAGGAACTGTAACCAATACTGTCCTTAAGTACGTAGTAAGATGATGCACTGGGTGCTCAAAGGAAAATGTTGCTGTACTTGGTGCAGTAACAAGAAACACCTTTATGAAGAAGTGTTGCAATAAATGGGCCAAGGTAGTTTGTGGTGCAAATAGGTAAATGAATTTAGCACCACAAGATATTGTCTCCAGTATGGTAAAGAGCCGAAGCACATCAAAGATAACAGTGTACAGTACTCTTACAAAAAAAGTCGAAGGCAATATTTACTAGTAAAATATCCCAGTTCTTTTATCCCGATTATCCCAATAATCGGATCACGATTAAGGGTCCCGGTAGAACAGTCGGGTTCGTTCTCGACTCACAATCGAGAATTCCGGGTTTGAATCCCGGGCAGGACAGAAATGGTTGGGCACATTTCCTTTCACCTTATGCTACTGTTCACCTAGCAGTAATTAGGTACTCAGGAATTAGTCAGCTTGTTGTGGGGTTGCATCCTGGGCAAGGTCGGTAACTTGATCTAGGAGGGAGGGGGGGGGGATGTCGATATAAGCCTAACGTGTATGAATACACTCTGGCTTCCTGCCCCCAACACAATGAATTAAAAGATGAATGGATTTAACCAAAAAAATCTTAATGTGTATGGAAAAGTTTTTGATTGCTTTAAATAAAATATTTCATATTAAAATATACAAATCATTACCATTTATAGGTGAAAATCTATACAGTGCTCATTATTATTTATATTTATAAACTTTGTATAATAATCAAGGGAAATAGTCAATGCTGAATTTATACATACATACATACATATATATATATATCTGTATATATATACTACATTTATACAGACTAAATTTTGGTGTTCAACAGGTGCAGACTCCTCTTTGTCTAACTAAATTATTTAATAAATTACTGTATATTTAATTTTGATGCAAAATGTTTCAGTCATGGTGACATTTAACAACTAATTTAAATTAGCTTATAATAACAATTTAGAAATGTATAATTTTAAAAACAAAGATTGTACTGGTATATTATCCATTTGATTCATTTAATGAGCTACATTTACTTTAAAAACTAATGTGCATTATTTCCATTAGACTTAAAAATGGTCACTTCAGTTGACTTGTACTATTCAAACAGAAGACAAATTTATATAAATACAGTACAGAACTATTATTAAAAAGTCTACCTTCTTCATTTTTATAGGAGATGGTGACTGGAGGTGTCTTCGTGACTTGCGACGATCAATGGAATCTCGATCGGCAGAACATATGCGGGGCACTTGTCTGCCATGAAAATAAGGGGTTAAAAGCCAATAAACACAGATGAAAAAAGGGGGATGGGAGAATTAAAATTGTGTATACAGTATTATGTATTGACTTTGGGAATTCATTTTGAGCCTCATGTAAAGTCTTTTTCAATATTTCAGCCACCGTCTATACTGGCCTCAATTGTAAATGTATCTATCTAGCAGAATCTAGCAGGCCAACCCCACCCCCACCAAAAACCCAAGGTCAAGGTTGTGTGTACAGTTACCAGTGCTAGCCTTAACCTGAATGAGTGATGCCCACTTCATTCCCTGAAAAAGCATAAGACGGGAGAAAGGAGTGCCAACTAAGCTGTAAAGAAAATGTCTTCATTGTAGACCAGATTCAAATATAAAGATTCAGACACCAAGATCTAGATATCTCAGCCTGTTCTTATAATTTGACAAGTGTCAAATACAAAGCAGTTTTACCTAATCAGAAGACTACCAACCAATGCCACTCACCTACCCCTATTGAGGCTGATATTCATTAGTCAGAGGTAGCATAAATTTTGCAGCTTTGTACTTTCCCCACACTGTGGCTGAGTGTCAAAGTTGCCGTGCGCTAAATGTCAGGACAGGCCGAGGTATCAAGACACATTTTTTCCTGATGGCAGCCATCTGTATTGGCTATGAAAGGGAGCGGAAGTGTATGGCTTGTGAAAGTTCTTTTCTCCCATCTTAATGATTACAATAATTCTTCAAGCACTATTCTAGCAGGTGAGCAACATTAAGTTAAGAGTTGTTAACCAATGGCAAACTATTGCTAGCCTTATTTCTTTGTTTCAAGCAGTCATTTGTTTTGTTTTGTCCAAATTTCTGATTGTTTTCCTCACTTTGGGATAGATCTCCGACTTCGTAAGATCCCTTCACCCACAGATAGAGCCAATTTTTTTTAGCCTGGCTCCTTGCAGGGCATAGTGGTGTTGGAGGCATGCATAATCCTTACTATTAGTGGTATCAACGTGTAGTAAGCACCATAAAGCTACTGATGAGGCCTTCCTAGAAATTATATGAAATACTTTTTATAAGTGAGTTTTGAATCAAAATAAGATTACTGTATGTGTAAAAGCATGCTCTATTGTTTGCACCAATAAATCCATAATAATTGTGGGCATACAAAAACAAAAAATAAAGTTCTGATGCAATAGAGGTTCTTTAACATTAGAAACAGTCCTGAACAAATAGTTGTGTTCAAGTGAGACACCACTGAACAGCTATACATTGAAGATGCAGTACAGTATGCAGAATAGATGCAGCCTATTAGCCTCACATGAAAACAACAATAATAAAAAATAATAACCACTACTATGCAAAGTGTTTTGGGCAGAACATAGAATAGTTCAGAGAAAATTAATACTGTAATAGGCATAATGGGATAAATACTTAATGTTAAATGAGAAGTAGGTTAACATATTTGAGATGTTAAAAAAAAATAACAAATGATATATGATGTAAAAGAAGATACTTAATGATGACAGGCATATACTCTACGGCTATAATTATAATACTGTACTGTACACAATGGACTCCAGTTCAAGTGTAGAAATTCATATTGGACACTATTTGCAGCAAAAAAACTTTGGTTGCACCTGAAGGATGTTTCCTATATAAATAAGCAATTGTGTACTTTATTTGACAGTCTGACCCTGTAAACCTTGTCTTTACAATTTATATGAAATGAGCACAGTAAGAGTACCTGATGGTTGGATCGATAGTACATGTGCGGCAGATGTCATCACCGTCCTCGTAAGCCATAACTGCTTCATAGATAGTAAACTGTTGGAGCAAATCCAAGTCACTGTCTGGTCGATGCATGTACCTGCACGTGGGAGTTCAAACAATAACACATGATACAAATAAATTGATTTGATAAAAATTTGGTTTATTTATGTAATGAAAACTCAAAATTCATTGTTGTTGAGTGGCTTTGATTTAAACTGTACTTCTACTATAATAGTTTTTATATAACAAAGTATTTTTTTATTTATTTTATTTTTATTTATTTATATATACAGTACAAGAGCTCTTACATTCTTGCAAAGCCACTAGCACACATAGCATTTCAGGCAGGTCCTTAATCCTAATTTTCCCCAGAATACGACCTATCAAATCGTTTAACAACCAAATACCCATTCACTGCTGGGTGAACCGAGGCTACAGTTCAAGATTGGTGTCCAGTCATTCTTTTCCGGCCAGTATACGAACCCAGGCCAAAGCTCTCGTGAAGCGCTGGACGCTTCGCGAGCTTATTCAGTAAAGCCTTGTAATACAAATACCAACATTTAAAAACCAACTTACAGTACCCTGATACTAGGGTTTTATAATATACTTACTTTGCAATTAGGGTTTCAATGCCTTGCTCCTCAAGATAGTCTGTCTGGTCATAATAGGTATCTTGGTCTGGGATGCCATTTAATGTCTTGTTGACTAGTGTCATGGCATATGTGAGCAGCTCCATATCAAGACTATCCCGACCTTCTAATAGTCTCATAATTGTTGTCCACGGCAAGTCACCTGGTGGTGGGATAGACACTGATTGACACAATGAAACTTTTAGCAAGTGAATGTACTCTATGAATAAAGCATCAAGTATTATTGTTTAAAGAAGTGATTAATAAAACATAATAACTAATAATTACAGCATGGATAAAAACAATGCTAGAACTGTCATACATGTAGCTGCTTTATCTGTTAAATGATTAGTAGTAAAATACAAACAATATTCAGACAATTGCTACGTACAAACTTTAAACATGCATATGCAAGTTTATAACATTTTGTATGGGACATTATACTAACAGGTAAATGAGTTCACAAAATACATGATGCAATATATATACAAACTCATTCATTATACTTGTGATGTGCTTGAATGTTGTTCAACAAGACGACCAAGGGAATCAAACATCTAATATTTCCCCATTAACCACTTCTTTAATTAATATATTTCCTCTTACTTAGTGTTAAAATATTATAAATGTACTATTGTAACAGTTCTCAAAATTTAAAACTAATACTACACTTAAATTATTAATTATAATTAATTATTATGTAAACCAATCATTCATATTCTAAATAACTGTTGCTCACTTATATTAATATCTAATACAGTATACTATTTAAATAAAATCTTTAACAATCATATGACCATGCATATAATTTTAATGATTATTTTTTAAGCATTTGTAGTTACTGTATATACAATACAGTATCTGTTAATGATTAATTTAAGCCCATAATGCTATGCTTGATTACAGGCCTTATAAAAATATAGCATGTTATACTGTACTATGTATCAATATAATGTAATATAACTAGTGCTGTATATATTTTAATACATAAATAATAATAATTAATATTATCTCTCATTGACCTGTTTAAAGATACTTGTCCAGACTCACCTCTGGAGGAGTCTATGGTTTCGATGGCATTAACCAATATGAGAGCATTGGACTCTGTGTACTCGACAAACACGAGCAGTAACTTGAGAGCGGTCTTCACTACCAGACGATACTTGGATGATATAAGAGAGTATAGCCACTGGATTGTTTCCTGGTGTTCCATTACGCCATTCATCCCGTCAACATACAGCATCACTTGTCCCAGGGCTGGAAAATACAAATATAGAGCATTTTTGTCTGGCACTTTTAAGGTTAGGCTGCTGAATTAAATTACACTTTAACTAATAAAATAGAAGTGTCTTTCCACGTTAATTTCTTTAGCAGTTATTATAGATGCAAATGTCTGCTCTTGCTGCTTTCATTAAGTCATAAATTTGTGACTGTTTTAATAAAATAGTATTATGGTAACGTCACTTTTAGGCCACCATATTTATACATATTATATATATATATATATATATATATATATATATATATATATATATATATATATATATACCTATATATATATATATATATATATATATATATATATATATATATATATATATATATATATATATATATAAATAAACACACACACATATACACAGATAGGTATTTGCAAAAATGACAGATACAGAATAGCCAAGAATATAACAACAATGCAGTACAGAAATGTACTTAATTTTAAAATTAAAAAGTGTTACAAATAAAAAACATTAGGCTTAGACAGTATATCAGCAGCACATGGCTGTGTTTACGTAAGCTTGTTAAAAAAAGTTTTTACTGTATAATTCAATGAAATAATATTACTAATGTATTTTTCAAAGAAATACATACCATAGGCTTTGATATCAATACAGTATACTGTATACTGTTTTTAGGAAACTTTTAGGCAAAACAGTTCTATTAAATTTGCATTTTATATGAACAGTAATGTAAATAAATAAAACCAAAGTATTTACATATAACATTTCAAAATGTAAAACATGAGCTTTATACAAGAAAACAGCATTAATGTTTGACATGAAGAAAGAGACGTTATTTGGTAGTGACCTCTGAGGATGTAGTTCTGGTAGTTCTGGTCGGCGGACGACCCCACCTTAATGAGGCAGGTAAGACCATCGTTCTGGACAAAGGCGTGGACCAAATCCTTGTCATCCTGGAAGATCTGCTTGAGAGAGAACAGGGATCGTCTCAACTCTCGCCCCTCGGAGTTGAGCAGCTTTTCTGTCGGGAGAATACATTGGTTAATTAGCACTTCTGAAGAGGCGTTTGAAGGGTCAAGGTTTGGGCTGAGTGCCTCAAGAGGTCAACATGTGCCGTTGGTAGTTTTCCTAAACAGCTACCGAAAGCTTGAGATTTTATGAATATTTTAATTCAGTGTTGTAGGTTTGATGGGCAGCGTAAACAGTTAGAGAGAGATGGACGAGGTTGACCATCATAGTGTGCCACCAGCCAGTAGTCGCCGGCGAAGGGTCCTTACCCCACACCATTCCACGAAGCTCGTTTTCTGTTTGCTAAAACCGTGTATATTGCTATGCAAGGATGGATTAGCTTAGGTTAGACTGTATTTCGCTCGAGCGAGTTAGGTTATTTTGGGTAGGGTTGGGTTAGGTTGAGCTAGGTTAAGTTAGGTAGGTTACAAAATTTGTTAAGAACATAAGAACAAAGATAAGATAACCTACCTTACCCCTAAATGCCAACCCATGTATTACTATTGTAATCAATGCTGTTTGTTGACCAACTTGTATATTTGCTATTCTCTGCCTTGATCCTCCCCTTATTTTTTTTATTTTTTCAACATAATTTAAGCTCAATTACTATTAAGTCTTAGTCTAAGTATTTTTTTTTCCACACCTTGCCCGAAACGCTATGCGTACTAGTGGCTATAGGTATTGTATGTACTATCTCTGTCTTTGAATCCAACATTATGTATGTAACTCAATGTATGTACCTTTACCTGAAAAAAATCTAAATCTAAGATAACTGCAGAAGGCCTATTGGCCCATACGAGGCAGCTCCTATTTATAACCACCAAATCCCACTCATAAACATGTCCAACCCACGTTTGAAACAATCGAGGGACCCCACCTCCACCACGTTTCGCGGTAATTGGTTCCACAAATCAACAACCCTGTTACCGAACCAGTATTTACCCAAGTCTTTCCTAAATCTAAACTTATCCTATTTATACCCATTGTTTCGTGTTCTGTCTCAAGAACAGAATGTGACCCATTGGGTCACATTTGGCTGCATGCACTACCTATAGCTTTCAAACTGGGAATATTGACTAAAATTGTAGATTGGTTGTATATAATTTTTGAATTAGATATACGTTTCTTGACTATTTGTGATAGTTATCTTTAAATTCATTCATTTTTTCGTATTCCATCACATAGTGACGCATTCATGATATGTCAAATCAGATGAAAGGACTAGGATTGGGTGGTTATAGATAGGAGCTGCCTCGTATGGGCCAATAGGCCTTCTGCAGTTACCTTTGTTCTTATGTTCTTATGACTAACGGGAGAGGGTGTAGAATGTATAATTAAATAACTTGGTTCAAAAGCCAATATGCCAGGAAACAGAAGGGTCGATCGGGAGTCACTACATTGGACAACCGACAGCTGGTAAGGCGGGGCTCAGGAGTTAGCGCTCAACCCCTGCATGTACAGTTAGCTGGTATATAAATAAATAAATAAATAAGCTAAACGGCCACACTCACCAATAATTGCGTGCACACGAACGGACAGTTGCGTGCGGAGGATGATAGCGTTCTTCTTGCTGCAAAAGACAAAATATCTAAGTTACTAATCTCATATTGAAACTATTAAAGAACAGTTTAGTTAAGTTCATTTATTATGCACCCCATACCCATCTTGTGGGCGGTAGTGGAAAGGGTTATAGAGGCACATAATGGGCTCAGGGACTGAATCACACAATTCATTTAGCTAAGCAAGTTACAATCTTGATGAACTAGTTACAAAATTCAATACAAGTCGTCACATCAACAATGGGTTCTAGATCGACCACAAGTACAGTTTCTAAGTTAAGCAACTGACATATGTGGAGAGCTAGTGTCACAATTGATGTTTGTCCTGCACACCGCCCCCATCCAGTGGGCAGCGGTGTTTTCCTTTTTAATGAAAGGACCAAACGGTAAGAAGACAATCCATCTCATTGTCTTTCACGACTAACTTATACATTCACCAGCTGAAGTTCTAGATTATGGGTACCCGGCATTGCCCGGGTCAAGCCCTCCCCACAATCATGTACCATTTTAGTGCCGGGAGCACCCAGAATACAAATCTGTAATCAGAAAACGCATTTTGGCATGTCTTCCCCAACCGACCTCATCGCGTTCATGATGAACTATTGATAAAACTCCAAGGACTCTCACTCGAACATTTCATCTCCAGCGACTTGAGGAGGCATGGGGGCCAACCCCGACCAGCCTATGTTGACTATTCACAACAGGAGTGAATGTCTTCACATACAAGGGGAGGGCGTACAAGGGGAAGGCGTACAAAGGGAGGGCGTACAAGGGGAGGACGTACAAGGGGAGGACGTACAAGGGGAGGGCGTACAAGGGGAATGGTACACCTGCTCGTCTAGCTCTCTCATTCTAGCAATTCTCAAGACTCCCGTCAAATTAAATAATTTACTTTGAATCAACAACTGAAACTACAAATAATTATATTAAACAATTACAAAACACCAACAATATTCACCATTTTTATAAAATGTAAAAATACTGACATAGGCTATACATTATAATAAATAACATACACATAACAATACCAAACCAAATTTAGGCTTCCGTATAGAACCCGAATATTTAAGCCCAATGCCAACTACGCCACTAGAGCGTATATGAACATACGTATCAGGCTGTATCTTGAACATACGTACTAGGCTGTATCTTAAGTTCTCGGTCTCCTGAGGGATAATGTCCCTAGCCTTGCTAAACTTTCCCATGACTCCCAGGGTGTTCCCCTTGCTGGTGTACTACGCTTCCCTTCTTCACCCGGCTCCTGCCACAATGTTCTTTCCACGTCAGAGAACACCGCGTGAACACCAGAGGTCCACGGCTGTTCATATTCTCCCAACTATTGAGTACTACTGCACACCCACGAGGATCCCGAGGATCCCACTGAAGCCTAACACAATCAATTTCACACAATTCCCCCCCATGCACTCGGCCTCTGTCAACCAGTAATACTATCTCTGACGCCCCTTGGGCGACTAGAGCACGCCTGGGAACACCCGACACACAGGTTCGAAGCCTCACCACGGCTCCTGTTGGAGTTGTTCATTAGATATATTACGTATTAATACTATGTGATGTGTGTGTGTATTAGGCAAGATCCTGCAGGAGGTACTGGAGCAACCGGGCTGTGGGGAGTGTGGGCGTCAAGTAACAGCCTGATGTGTCAAGTTATCACAGTCAAGCCTGGCCATTGTCCGGGCTGGAGGAATAGAACTCCCATGCTGGCAGAACTCACTTCAGGTATACTTCAGGTATACTCTCACCCACCTTTGTCTACTCCTCCCCCCTCCTCCTCTCCATCACTGCACGAGGGCACTCTCGTCCCCTCTCCCTCCCTCTCTTTCCATTCTTCGTCCCCTCATTTGCTGTAAGAGGGCACTCTCCCATCTTTCCCTCACCCTCACCCTTCCCTGTACTGGTGGAGGACACTCTACTCTCCCCTCCATTCTCTTTCATTTTCTTAAATGTGAGAGGTGACTCCTCCTATTGACCCCTCTCTCCCCCTGCTTCACAACATAAGGGTACAACTCTCCACCGCACTAATACACCAGACTGAAGACTGGTTCAGATGTTGAACAGATTCAACGTGAGGTTTGATCTATCTATCTCTCTCTCTCTCTCTCTCTCTCTCTCTCTCTCTCTCTCTCTCTCTCTCTCTCTCTCTCTCTCTCTCTCCTATAACCTCCTTTCACATGTAATAGATCAATACAGACCTCCTCGGCTCTTGAGTATCAGTTACTAAATCTCTATTATTGGTTATAGTCTTAAGTATTATTATATTTTATGAATTTATAGTTAATGGTCATTAATTACTTTATCTTGGTCATTATTTATGATAACAGCGTGTTGACCTGACCCCCGTAGGGCGACTTAGACAAGCCTCACAGGAGCCCTTCTAACAATGGTATAAAATATTGCATGAAAAACTTGGAATAACATTTATAAAAAAAAACTAATGATTAACTTTAGAACAAAACCACTAACCAAAATATTGAAGAATAATTCATCATATTC